ATTTCCCATGCCAAAATTTCAAAGATCGAAACTGTTGAAATTTTGACGTGTCGGTCTTAGACGTATTTATGGCAGAGATTGGCAGTTATTTATGGCAAGTCAAAGTCCAAAATTGTCCAAATTGGAGTAAGATGATAGATTTTTGACTTGGGAAAAGGTTTGATTCTGCTAATTGTTTCACTCTTTCGTTACGTCCGTTTATTAAATACTTCGATGCCCTGCCCATTGTACAACTCTATGGATTTGGAATGGATTTGGTCCCAAATTGAAACTATTAATGCTTCACTTATGACGATATATCAGTAATTAATATAAATTGGAAACTGTGGGCTTATCCTAAGTAAAACTACGTAAGAGAAAGATACATACCCAATGACGTCAATAACGTCCATTTCGGAAATGTCGGCTTCCTCGAGGTCCATTTCTCCAATCATTTTCGTCCCCAATTTTTTGTTCCTCTTTTTTTATTTTTTAGAAATTTCTTCTGTAAAAAATGCACAATTAACACGTGAGATTTCATTTTATTTACATTCCACTTCCGGAAGCGGGTTGACAGCCGGAATGATATACGGGAGTAGAATTAAACGATCCAGAAATCAAAAAGGGTTTAAAACCTTGTCGTCATCTCATACATAAATAAATACGCACTGAATTGCGGATCCTTGCTGCCGAACAGTGGCCGCGGAAGCGTGGGGACAGGAGGACAATATCCCCACGGTTATCGATGCCCTCATAGTCTGCCCATGTTATGTTAACCCCTCCCTCCCCTATCCTACAATGCTAACGTCCTCAGATGTCCCCACAGCTTCCGTGGCCACTGCTGCCGAGGACCCACTGCTACGTACATACTTTTTCTAATTTATGTAAAACCTAATAAAGATAAAAATCACTTACGCTTCAATTATTCCGCTGCATGGACAAGTTTCCTAATTTTCGCTGCATTCAATTAAATCCTCAATGTGATCATTACGCTGATGCATATTTACATATGTAACGTTCCTTCCTTGACTCTGAATCCTTAAGGGTCGACGAAATCGTGGTGGTGAGCATGTTATGCTCACGATGATGACTTTTATTAGTTCAGACACTACTTTAGTATGAACCCTTTTAAAAAACTGGAGCAGTGAGACACAAGTTTTTTTCCCTCAGATTTTCAGACTGTCAGACTTCTCTAATTTATGTCCGAAATGATTAGTGGATCGTGATGGCACATTCATATTATTCCGTCGCAAGAAGACGAAGAAGATACGACGGGACGGGAAATTTAGCTCGGAATTTGTCGCAATTAAACAATCTCTGCTCCGTCGTCGCATTTGCTGCTCCTCTTTTTCATGGATCATCTTCTTCCAGCCGGCGTCATTTCAGGCAGATCGTCTCACCAAACTACTAATAACCGCTCTCAAATCTCGTATTTACATGTGTACTACCCGCCGACTCGAAATCAATACCCTTCTCCAAATGTGGTCCAATTAAGCAGAAATAATTTCACTTTCTTCTTCTCCAGAAGTACCGAAAAGTTGACTGGGTTGCAGAAGACGTTCTTCGTCTAGTTACCAGTCTATTATTGAACATTTGCTCAGATTTTTATGGCGTAGGTGGTACGGAGCACAACAAGTGGTCGGATCCACTCAACATACGGGGTCACCCAGCAGCCAGCCGATATATTTATACCGGCGAATATGTAACGTACGTAATAGCCGTGTCACATTATCATCATCTCTGTATAAATATATGTCATATGTACGTAGGCTGGAGGATTCTGTCCACATTTCTTGGCAAGAAAGCAGTCTCAATTCTCCAAGTTGCCACGTATGTATCATGCTGTCAGTCAATTTATATAATAAATTTCAGATTAAAAGAGTAGCTGTCTGCTGGTGATCATGTGTCGTCGTTGTCAAACATAATTTATATATATTTCCAGTCCCACTGATGAGAACATGTACTCGATAAGTATTTTAGGATGGGCATCTTCCCACCCATTCACGTAACGTAACGCATCATTAAGAATACATGTGGTTTGGTTCTTAACGTGTCTTACGTTAAGTCCAGTTTTATTGGAGAGATATATTTATTTATGGGGCTGATTAGACCATCCGCACCCTGTTCTGCTCAGGTATATAGAAATATATTGGGTTTTTGATAAGACATTTATGGACAAGATTTTGGTCAAAGCTCATTCAGAAATGGATATTTACGCTTTTATACATACGTATTTTTTAGTGATTGAGGCGCCTACCAGAATACCTTGAGAAAGAGGTAGGTAGATAACGCCTTATCGAAAAATTGTCATGTATAATCCAAGGAAGAAAGTGTGAGATTAATCCTGGCTGCTGCGCATATATTTCTTCTTGTTAATTTCATTGGTGATGATTGCTCCTTAGTTAAATTCTGTCTTGGATAAGATTTAATGTCACCATAAGAAAAGGAAACTAAAGTTGGTCCACGTTATCGCACGAGTGGAAAGATTCCTCCTCCTCCTTCTCCGACCTAATCAGCGTCTCGCATCCCACCAATAAATCATACCAAGAGAGTCGCCCCCTAAAACTTTAAGCAAACGCAGCCTCATTTTCCATTCATCCTCTCATTTCATAAAATAATGTAGATATTTAATGTCACAGCAGTTCATTCAATTTTAATTGCGTGGATTTATTTCCGTCACCAGACCAGACCACAAAAGATTCATATTTCTCGGAGCTGCGCAGAGAAAGTTTCGTTCGAAATAGTGTTTTCAATTTCTGAAATTAAATTCAAAAATTATGAAAAACACTACGCTTCTCGTCTCATTTCGTAAAATAATGCTACAGTCCATTCAGTTTTAATTGCATGAATTTATAACCGTCACTACAAACGATTCGATCTTTCCGTAGCTGCACAGAGAAAGTTTCATTAGAAATAATCTTTTCAAATTCAGAAACGATAAAAAAGCTATCGGGTCACGTTTCCCACATATGTAGAATAAATATAGTGCCAAATTAATGCCGAAATTTCGCGATTTTTCACCCTGATTAGAAAAACAGCAAAAGAGATGTAATAATAATACATTCAGCGACGCTTGACTTGGTGTGATACATGTTTCTCGGCTTAAATTATTGTTGTTTTTTCTTACGTATGTACATGGGTACGATTCCGAGATGAGAAGTAATGTCAACAACCAACATCGCATCGTCTCGTTCATTACACGAAGGAACCAAGTGAAACTGACGGGGCTTCTAATGAGCCGTTTGTTGTCTCTTTTTCACAGATGAGATGAGATTCGGCTTCACCACAAAAGCAAACGCATCCCGAACTCCACGGCTTTTGCTTCTCTTCCGATCCCATCCAGTTGGCGTAGCGGAACAATCTTTTTTTAATGCGGTGACGACACAACGACAACACGGGACGAGTGAGACGTGATATCGGTCGGGTGGTGCTCAATCATTTCCATGTCTTTTACTGCACTGCAATCCAGCCCAGTTTCAGGGGCAGTGTTTCGGGGGGAAGATAAGAAATAACGGGAACAAAGTGGTTTCTTGAAGCTAAATATTTTGACCTGCATGAAATGCAAGCGCTAGAATCTAGGTCCAGCCGCTTTACTTCACACGGCGCGTGGCTAGAGGGCGCTTATTTCTTGCACTTTCTTGCACCTCGCATTTCTGGCGTTTCTTGTTTTGCAGTGCAAGAAATGTAGTAAACTCGCAAAGAAATGCAACGGTGGAAAGCAACCATATCCAAGAAATAATCGCAAGAAAATGGTTTCTTGTAACTATTTTGACCTGCAAGAAATGCAAAACGCAAGAAACTACGTGTCGCTATATTTGTCGCTATATTTCATACGACGCGTGGCTAAATGGCGCATATTTCTCCCAGTTTATTGCACCTCGCATTTCCTGTGTTTCTTGCTTTGCAATCCAAGAAATGTATTTAGCAAACCCGCACGAAACACGAAACCCTGTTCCGTTGTTAAATTAAAACGGGCTGTTCAACCGAACATAACATCGTGATAATAATGATGATGATGATGATTCCCCAACTATTTTTATGACCGTTGTTCCGACTGGGTTGCAAATTAGGAGGTAGTTCAATCCGCCTTATCGCAGTGATTCATGGGACGACGAGTGGGGGAATGCAGTACATGGTTTGGACATCAATTATGATTTTATCCTCAAATCTTTATTACCGCGTCGTCATTAGGTCGGCTTATTAGTTAGTTTAGGGATCATCTCATCGGATGTTTGCTGATTTAGCGAATTATTTTTATGCCGGAATATTTTTAAGAACGTATACGCAATAAATAATTTTTCAGAGCACATATTTCTCTTCTCTGATGATGGGCAAGGAATAAAAATATCGGTAAAAGGAGAGAGTAGGAAATTATGTGGACCGGAAATGGGTGGCAGGCAGGCAGGCAGGAAACGGCAAAGGTACAAGAGAAAGTGTTAAACAAAATCGGAATGACTTTGTCAACACGGAGCATTTCGTTTCAGGTTAAAGCAAAGCCGACAAAAAATATTATGCGATTGATCATCAATCACACGCTTTGAGAAACCCGACGAGACGAGATGGGAATAAAAACTAATCAGCAGTTAGTAGAGCGAAGAAATTTCGTGGTAAATGTTTTCACAAGTTTTATTATAAATCAGTGCCCGCGGAAGCCGTGGGGACATCTGGGGACGTTAACATTGGAGGATAGGGAGGGAGGGGTTTGTATAACATGGGCAGGTGATGGGGACATCGAATGACCGTGGAGACATTGTCCCTTTGTTCACACGCTTCCGCAGCCATTGTTTAAAAGATGGCAGTTAAATATTTAACTGGACTAATTAACTAACATTAACCATGGTGGATTTGCACGTGGAGAAAATATGTACAAATTGGTATAACTAACAAAAATTAATTTGCGGAATTGTTGTAAATCCCCCAATTTATGTTCTGAAACCATTGCCTGATAAAATTTGCAATTAGCATATGAAGAATACATAAATCAAAAATATATCCTCATAAATACTGAAATAAATAAATACTGAAAAAGATGTGCAAATTTAATTTGCACAATGAAATTTAACACTTCATTTACTATTCTATTCTACAAATGAGTTTGGATTTCTGCAAAAAACCGAGATAATTGTTGTCGTCTGTAAATAATTTCAAGAATTTTGCAGAAATGTCGTAAGTCTGCGGGAGTAAATAGAGTGAGTCGTCTAATATTTTTTGAAGGGAGCCGACAAAGGCGGAAGTTTCCTTTGATCCGCTACCGAAAAAGATATTCTATCCGTGCATCCGTCGCCTTTCAACCTGCCGAGAAAGCGAGCGAGCGAGCGAGGAGATGACGAGCGTGTAACTGCGACACCTTCATGGCCAATGATGCTAATGGTTCTTCCGTAAAAATCGGAAAATCGTTCACCCACTAAAAGAAGTCATTGATTTTGTGTGGTGGTGGTGGTGGTTGGAGAACTTCTGTCGGAAAATGTGGACATTTCCGGCCCCATTTTCCTCGCCTCAATCACCCAGAACGCCCAGCTAATGAGCTTGATTATGTAATTGGAAACAGTTTATGTGCATGTTCACTTCCGCCGTATTGCTCGATTTATTTGTGTATCCTCTCTCGTTTTAAAAACATGTATGCAATATTTCTAAATTAGTCTGGCAGGTAGGCAAACTTTCTCCGGTGTTGGTGGCTCTGATTCTGGACGAGTTGAATGATTGGGTCGGAGAAGGAGCCAGCTTTTACGGTTAGTGAATCCCAGTGGGTCACGTTTCGGATGAAGCAGAGGAGCGAGTTGTCGTCCATCTATGGATAAAAAACATGTTTTTTTTTACGATGTGTCACATAAGCTATTGACTGACAATGTAGGTCTCCTAGCGTATGCTCTCCGATTTCGAGAAAATTGCAAACTTTATAAGTAATATGAAATTTGCAGAAGACACGATCACCTAATCCACAGGGTTGACGAATTGCATCCGAAAAGAAGAATACACGCAGTAAATTTGTAAAGTGTAAAATTTGTCACCTTCAAGGCCCGTATCCTCCTCTTCGGGTGCAAATATCTCCAGCAAACCTTAGCATTGTCATAATGTGTGGCTTGCAAATGGCATATTAATTAAATTTGTGATGGATTGAAGCTAGTTTAATTAAAATTTGAGAGTATACGCTGGGAGACCTCCATTGTTAGTGAATAAATGTAAGATGATAAAAACCTGTGGAAAATTTAGGCAAAACTCGTGAACCGAGTGGCATAACGAAATTCCATTTACAACACCAAAACTTGTCACTCGTGGTGAACCAAGGTCCAATATTTTCAAATCTATAATAATACAAATTAATATGAGAACCCGATTCCCATTTTCATTTGTAAAACTAATGTGCATCTCTCACTCGATAAGTTTCTGAGTGAAGGGAACTCTCTCAAATTCCTGGTATTGTAGGCCCTAGAAACTTTGACATTTTTCAGCACGTCCTGCACCTCGGGTGAGATTCCGGTGAGAATCGTGTCCGTGAAAAAGCCTTCCGTCGCCCCCAACGCCTCCAAAGAAGGAAAACTCTTGATCACAGCGTGCAGCAAGTCGTCATCCAAAAACGGCATTTTGAGACGTTTCACATTGGGGAAAAATGTGCCCAGCTTGGAAACGTCTTTCGGAATGTAGTACACCGCGTTGAGACAGAGCTCCCTCAAGGCCAGCAAAGGAACGGAAAAAGGTTCCTCCTCCGGAAACAGAGAGACGGGAACCACATTAAAAACGTAGTAAATAGTTTGACCTATGTCGAGGTCAAGGTCAGTGTATTTGTACTGATTCGTTTCTGATGACTTATTTTCTGGTGTGAAGGTATTCGTGGGGCCGAAACCAATCCCAAAGTTGGACCTTCTCCGATACCGGAAATGATTGTCGAGCCCCATCATTTCCGATCCGGTCCCGTGTACCGCCAAATGCTTGAGATTCCGGATACTCTTCAACGCCGGGAGTTTGCATGCACTGCTGCGGTACGTCATCTTCAGCCGTTTCAAACTACCTTTTAGCGAGGTTAGCAGAGCGTCAATCTTCTCCGGAAGGATGCCCGCGTTTAGAGGAAGGTGGACGTAGCGCAGCGGTAAATGCGCGGCGTGGAGGAGGTCAACGTCTTCGTCACGGAGGTCGACATTTATATCGAGTCGCGTCACCAGACTATTTGTTCCTCCTCCAAAAATGTCCAACACCGTTCGGAACAAGAGTTTAGAAAATATTGTCGTGGAGGGAAAACCCGGTTCAGAAAATCTGTTCCCGTCGCACGTAATCTGACCAAGATTTGGGGCAGAGGTGCAAAGTTCGATGAGAAATTCGCCATTCGCCAAATTTTGTAAATAGTCGTCACGCAGGTTTAAATGGAGAGAGTGCAAATTGGTGAGATTCATGGGTTTGTGTTTCTTCTCCCGGCTTTGATTATCAGTTTTTGGCAGGATAAAATTCTGCGAGAGGGTGAGCTCTTTGAGGTTCGGGAGATCGTGGAGGACATTTCTGAGTTGAGATGCGGTCCAAGGCCCACTCTGAATTTCTAAAAACTCTAATTTGAACGGTGAGTGATGGAAGGCAGACTTGATTTTGAGACACAACTCGGAACTCATTCTCCCATCGAGGATCACGTTATTTGTGATGCTACTTCCTTTTTCCTCGATTTCTTGCACCCAGTCACCCACGCTTTCCGAGGATAACACGATGGGACACTTTTTCACAGGGAGAATCCGATTTACTTCGTCCTCCCAGAATTTGCACACCAAACGACACAATTTCAGGGTACAGATGTCACAAGTGGTAAAAATTTGATGGATAATCTGCAAAATAAAGAGAAACTTAAAATACCTGCATATTTTGTATGCATGAATTTGTCCATAAAATTCTTACGTGTGGATAAAGCAATGGATTTCGGTATGGAAAATTCCAGCCTTCATTTTCCTCTTCCTCCATGATCCTACCACTTACACGGTCTTTTTCATAGTATGAATATGGTTCTGGATCTTCATCACTTTAATTAATTTAATATTTGGGCAAAAAGAAATGTAAAACGCACTTCGAAATCTGTAAATCTTGGCTTAAAATCCTGCATAAAACTGGAAGACTGACTTTTGTTCACTTTAAGATGTACAATGCATTCCGTATTTAATGTTGTTTGGCACCTGCTCCAACTGGACTGACGGTGGGTATGAGGACAGCAAAAAATTGCAATTATGTAGACGACGGCAGCAGCAGATCGGCAACAAGGATAAGAAGACTCCACCACCCTCCCTCAGTCGTATGGATGCATGGAAGGATACAATATTATTGCGTAATTAAGACAAGTATTAACTAAGAGAAGGTGATTTCATGGACAGTGATTCTACTGGATGAGAAATATTTTTATTTCAATGCACACGAAACGATTAAATAAGTACGTACATGACGTCTCTTCTTCTTTTCGTGCAAGACAGCAATAACATCTAAATACTAAACTAATCCCACGTCCGTCCTCGTCCACTAAAGCATAAAAATCAGTGCTAGATAATATTTAGCTTGTGAATCGTCAAGCACGAAATTTGTATGTACTTGGTTTTGTGCTACATAATGCAATTGACAGGGTACACACGATATGTGGGACATGATTCAAGTTCAAGTTCGAAGGTAACTATCGTCAAGTTCAAGAGGATCTCGACGAGAAGAGTTCCCTACACGTAAATATGCATGACACACATACAACAGCAAGATATTGGTAATTGTCTCGCATTATTACAGTGGACTTCTGTTGACCATTCTTCGTATATCAAAAAGTGAGCGGAAGTTAACGCTTCAATGTGAACGAGAAGAACTTTGTCTGAATTTCATTCATGCTAGTAATAAGTACACAAAATGCAAAAGGACGGAAAAAATCAAGGTTCTTTTTAATGCGTACTTTTTTGCTCCAGTCTAAATTAGCTGACTATCTAGATGAACGGATTACGTATGTATGGGAAGGTTATTTCGATCATGAAAATTTACGTGGAAATGAATTTCATGCGATTTTTTCGTAGGTATTTATTATTTAAAAAGTTTTGCCAATGTCGATTAGAATTTTTGATACCTAAATTGTTTTCAATTATGCAATATATAAGTATGTATGCATTTGTACATACCTAAAAAATACCGCGGTTATGATGGTGGTAGCCCTCCCATAATTATTAGTTAATATCTGTAAATGAGTTTGGGTAGTTACGTATGTGGCTGGTTGGTTAATGGGTCTAGTTTTCAATGGCGTTGGCCATTCTGGAAATGATTGTTGTAAGGTCCTGTCAATAAAGTCGTAGCTTTCAGTTGGTTTTATTTTCCTGATGTATGCAAAACGTGTTGCTCTTGTATGGTTTGGAGGGGACGATCGAGTGAGACATTTCCCTCTAGGAGCACTTCATGCCACGGCGGATACGGTGAAGGCGAAATATGCGACGAGTAAGTAGATATTCCAGGATGTACAACATGATTAATAAGGTGTCGAGGAAAACAGCAATCCTGATGGCTTCGAGTTAAAATTAGGGGACTTAATTTCGAAAATTTTACCATTGTGAGATTTCGATATTATGGAGTATTCCAGTTTCGTAAAATTTTGATATAAATACCACTTACTAGTAGTATCAATACCAAGTGGTATTGATATCGAAATTCTAAGATTACATGTTTTGGTCAAAATGCCCGTTATGACAGAAATATATATGCACATACGTAACAAGTAAGGCTGTTTTCCTGGAATGCGTATTAGAGATAACGATATGATAAATAAGAGTGGAGGGGGCAATAAAATAATGTTTATATATTATTGCAAACTATGCAAAAGAAACAGTTCATTTATCAGCCAAGTTTTTGTCATTTGTGACACAATATTGAGCATACAAGCAACCTGTTTTTATTTCAACCCGAGTTTGCATAAAAAACAAACATTATCAAACTCATGGAATAAGAGATACAAGACTATACGTCAGAATGTTTGTTGATATCAAAAATCTGACTCATCTTATTTGAGTTGACCACGGTAATTCATCCTTATCAAATCAATGCACTGATGACTTTATTTTATCCATTGCTTACTTATTAAATTTGTAAAAACTTGTTCAGCTGCACAGCTGCACATAGTAAGACATGAAGTTTTACATTTATTTGATAAGTACACACGCCAATGTCATAATTAGTGTTTTATATTCCATGCTTCTCCGTTAACACCAGAGATGCAGATGTGCAGCTAGATAATCAAACTCATCATCATCACAAAAGAGCAGTCATAAAAAAGACTGCTTCCGAGTTAAATTCGTGTAATGTCCTGCAGACGGTAGTGCGTGCCAATTAGTTATATTGGGGCATTGTAAAATTGCAAGACCTAGAATATTCTAAGAACTATACATACGTCTAAGAAATGGAAAGGATTCGGACTTGTATGGAAATTAACATTATTTAACGTTGTTTAATTATAAATTTATTACCATGATAAAATTTGTCCATGCAGATATTGCCCTTGCTTCCGTTCTCAGCATCCTAGAAGATCAGAAAAATTCACTCCTTCCGAAATATTTGCACAATCTGTGTGAACAATTGGAAGTTAACAATGGTGACGTAACTATTAAAGTTAGTGGCTTTCAATCTGGTTCGGTAACGTATAGAGAAGCGTTATCTTTTTGCTTGACGACATGGTTAGAGAAAGCTGGCGTTAAGGGAACAATCGCAAATCTGATACTCGCTCTAGAGAATATTGACCCGTTATTGACATCCGGTATTGACGATGGCAAGAATGAAAATGATGGCGACAATAATAATGCCATGCAGGATCAATCTAAAGCAGCAAATCGTCATCCCAGCGATGGTGCCATACAAAAAGAAGCACACACCGTAGATGCCAATTCCAAAAAAACTTTTTGGCGAAAACACAAAACATGGTTGCTATCCGGTTGTGCAGTATTTTCAGTATTGGCAGTACTTATCATAGCACTAGTCCTGAAATTCCCGATTAATTGTAATGCCGCCGTAACATCACCAACTTCGCAGCCAGCGTCGTCGAGCAGTACGTCAGCAGTACCCTCACCAGTGGACATTGTAGCAACTAATTCGTCAAGAACAAGAAACAATAACTTCAAAATCTTCGATGCAGAAACGCTCGGAAATATTGAGTGTAAAGCTACTTTTAGAATTCATCTGATATTGCAGGACGTCGCGGCGTTTAATTTTAAAAATGAAAAGTTTAAAAAATGTTTACCTCTGATCGAAATTTTGGAAATTGATGGTGGTGGAAACATGAAGATTGAGCTATTTGACGAGCTCCTATCTCATTTAAAAAAATTGCACAAAATCGTTTTTCGTAACTTGGATGAATATTGTTCCAAAAGTAAACCCAAAAATGTGTATGTTTTGGACAATACACTGAGAAACGAATCCTCAGCCGTACATTTTATCGAGTTTCGTGATATTGGAATAGGGTGCGAAGATGGATTAAAGAAGTTGGGTCAAATACCAACCTTACAAGCGGCGTGGAATGTTAAATATCACAATTGTTCGTTCACAGAGAGTAATGTTCCAAAATTTGCTGATTTTATCGAAATGTCGATCTATCCTGTGAGCGTGATATGTGTTGGGAGAAAATGTAGTAGCCTCAAGATATATTTAGACGGTAGGATACCATTTAATGAGGTAGATGAATATGACACTTTTTTATCATTTACTAAAGGTTTGCTCAGTGAGGCAAAGAAATAGGACGTTATATGTAAGCATGTTTTTATTATAAGATTTGATATTACACAAGATAAATGTAACTGATTTTATAGTTAATAAATAAAATTTCCAACATTTTATCGTCAAATGTTTCGTCAAATACTAAAAACTTTATATTAAAACGATGCGAGAATAATAATTAATAAATGAACACTTTAATTTTTGGCGAGTTTTAAGTCAAGTCAATAATGTCTGGGTCAGACTTCTTTGACGACGAATTTGCCAGGATTAGGAGACTGTCACTATCATTACTTTCATCACTGTTGTCCAAGTCTATAATTTGTGGGGCAGGTTCGTAGTCCCAAGGTGAATTTTCCTGGATTAATAGAGGGTCATCTTCGCTATTATCTAGAAAGTGGCGAAAGTTTTCGAAATGACGAGTGATCTCGATAAACGTGGTGGGAGCGAGGGTGGGAGCAGGTGTAACTTCCATCGGCTGGAAAAGATTAAACCAGATTATAGCTTTCAGATCACGATTAAGGTTAAATGTCAGTAATGTCACAGAGAAAAATGGCCATACCTCTTGCATCACAACTACGACGTGTTGAAGCGGGTCTGTAGATATGGATGGGGTCTGCATAACGTAACGTTGGAAAGGGGTAGATTGCTGGGGTTTCTGGAATTCACCCAATCCTACTTTAGCCCTTAAAATATTCGGTTGCTGTTGATAAGTCTTCTGTGGTTTGCTCCTTACGACCGACAAGATTTCAATCTCAGTCTCATCATCATCTGATGTTTTGATTTCGGGTGACGTCGTCTTATATGTTTTACGACCATACGGATTTGCATAGTTGATTGGCTTCCTTTCTCTTTTGGATAAAATTGGTCCAATCCATTCGAGTTTATCACATGGTTTTTTTATACTCAAGGTATTCTTATCCACCACGATGTCATTGTCTGGTTCGGGACCTTCGAACACCAAACTGCGCAGATTAGATTCATCCGCAGTATCAATCTTCTCCGCGAACTGCTCTTCCTTAGATTTACTGTGCTTGAGGATTGACTCAATTGTTTCATCGGGAATTGTCTCGCTTCCGGATTCCTTAGAGAAGACGAGATTAGCACCGTAGCGGATCCAGCTTAACATTTCATCCTTTCTGAACTTTTGGGTGGCCGCGTCAACGAGGCGACCTTGTTGGATGACGAGTTTATCCAGCTTTAATTTCAGTGCGGCACGCTCCACGATCTTCTCGTCGACGGTATTCTCTGTGATGAGACGGAACACACGGACCTGTTTCGTCTGTCCGATACGGTGTGCACGGTCCTAAATTTTATGAGATTATACATAAACATCAATTTCACATCGAGTTTGACATAAGCGTTCATTTCCGGTCAGTTACCATTGCTTGCAAGTCTACTTGTGGGTTCCAATCAGAATCGAAAAAAATTACAACGTCCGCTGACGCGAGATTTATTCCTAGCCCACCCGCACGTGTCGAGAGCATGAATATGAACGTTGAACTGCCTGGCGCATTATATTCATCAATCAACTTTTGTCGATCTTCGTGTTTTGTATTCCCATCGAGTCGATGAAACGAGTACTTCTTCCAAGCTAGGTAATCCTCTAAGATATCCATAAGTCGTGTCATTTGACTAAAAATGAGGACGCGAGATCCTTCACTTTGTAACTTTGGGAGGAGTTTGTCCAGCACGATCATTTTTCCGCAGTTGGACACTAGATGCACGTCATCCGTGTATGGAGGTCCTTCTTCCGCCCCGGTGAACAGGTACGGATGGTTCGTACATTTTCTAAAAAGGGTACAAATTATTTAGTGCCCTTAATATTTAATACAATAGATTTTGTCATTATTAATTAAGCCAACCTCAATTGCATAACAAGATTTAGGAGTCGAACCCTCTTCATTTCTCCGGCTCCATTTACCGTGTCAATTTCTTTCATGAGTATCTTCTTGTACCACAAACGCTGCATTGCCACCATTGGGACATAGACTTTGAACTCTTTTTTAGGCAACAAGCCTTTTTCCACGTCCGACTTGATACGGCGGAGGAGGAATGGGCGAAGAATTGAGTGAAGTCGTGTAACAAGAGAATCGTCACCAAAACACGATTCCATGTTGAACCACCCATCAAAATTCTGTAAGGGTTAAAGAAGAAATTAATGAGGGAAATAGATTCCACAAATAATGCAAATCTACAAACCTCAGATGAATTAAAGATATCGGGCAATAGAAAGTTTAGCAGAGCCCACAATTCATGGAGGTTGTTTTGTAAGGGGGTGCCAGTCAAGAGGAGTCGGTGCTTAGACTTTAGTAGTCGAACAACTCCGGCTATTTGCGTTTCTTCATTCTTAATCTTGTGGGCTTCATCAATGACGAGATATGTCCACTTGATCTTTTTCAAGACGCATTTTTCTCTCAAAACCATTTCGTAAGAGGTGAGCAGGACGTCCCAATCGTTCAAGTGAAGAATGTGGTCCTTGATGATGGATTGCTGTAAGTAAAATAATAATAATGCAATTTACTCTTAAAGGGTTCCATGTAGGTTTCGTCCAATTTTCTCACCCTGGCTTTTGCGTCCCCAATCAGTGAGATTGTTCTCATTGAGGGACACCACCGTTTGAACTCGTTCTCCCAGTTGCAGAGTGTAGATTTAGGTAGAACGACGAGATAGTGGCCACGAACTTTTTTGTAATGCTTTAAATATCCAAAGAGAGAAATAGTTTGTAACGTTTTGCCCAAGCCCATCTCATCCGCGAGAATCCCGTTGATCCCATTTTCTAAAAGATTAATGAGCCAATTCAGACCACGAATCTGATAGTCACGCATCTCTCCATTTTTTATGTAGGGAGGGGTTTCCGTAAAGATGACGGCGGCTGAGTGCACCCCAGAAACTGGGTTTTCGGCATCCTTAATGAGCTCTGCATCTCCTTCCTTCTCTGATCTACGATAACGACTGAAAAAAAGATAAGCTTGAAAAGGGAATGTTCAAGATTCTTGATGATACAGTATGTCTGGTGCAATTTTGTAAAACTTACGTGACTTCCTCTTCACTATCATCTTCAGTTTCAGTTTCGTGGTTCCGTTGGGGTCGTCGTCCCCTTTTCGCTGCCACAACCGCATCCCCCGAAGATAGGCGAGCAGTGAAGAATTGGCTCTTTTTTAAAAGATAATTCAAGCGGCGTAGCTTTGCGTCCTGAGAAAATTTGTATAGAGTAAATATAAATATACAGTTCTTACTGGGATGTTAATCAAACTTGATAACGTGAGCTTAAATTACAGACCGATATTTGGTAATAAATAATACTTACGTCTGTATTGGATTCTGGCTCATCTTCCTCGTCAAACTCATCAAACTGGTGGCGTGACCGCTTTGACATGGGAGATGATGACAACGATGACTTACGCGATTTGGCTCTTTGTGCGATGGGCGAGATCGGCTTGGTTCCATTTATACCAAACCGAGTGCGCTTTTTCGGCGGTGGAGACAACGGCCTTTCCGGGTCGTAAGTATTGTCGTCATCGCTGCTGTTGTCGCTATTCCCGTCACTGTTATTATGGCTGCGACTATCGTTATCTTTGTCGCTTATAGCGTTGTCTCTTTCACTGTCATAGCTGCTGCTGTCGTTACCTCTGTCGCTGTTATCACTGCTGCTACACGCTTCCCGTGCAACGGATGAGATCCGTATGGTTCCGTTTGTCCCAAATCGAATGCGATTTTTCTGCAATGGAGACAATTGCATTTTCGGCCCGTTACTATTGTCATCCTCGCTGCTGTCGCTGTCGCTATTTCTGTCACTGTTATTATCGCTGCTGCTGCTACTCAGATCAATTATATCCACTACTTTATCATCTTCAACCTCAGTCTCATCGGAGTCTGATAACGCCACGTCGAGATTCTGTCAAGATATTTACATAATGTAGATTTGTAAAAAAAAATATAATTCTCTAGTAAATACCTTTTTCGTCGCAGGTCGAGCTGGAGGAGTCTTGATTCTCTCAAGTTTGACGTACGGGTTTTTTACGAGGTTCGAGGGCAGTGTCACCGGCGTGGGAACTATTGCAGGTCGTCCTCTTCTTGTGACCACACTTGTAACGGAGGTCGGTTTCCACCAAGGTTGTGGACGGTCACGAGGAGGATTGTTACCCTTGACAGGAGGCTTTCTTCTATTCATGATGACAGCTTAGGATTAATTGATTCCTTTAAAATATAACTTGGTTTTTACAGCTTGTAATCCAGTCGAGTCAACTAATTAATCAGTTAAATGTTACGAGGTTTATTTTAGTTATTTAAAGACTAGTTTTTGATAGACAACAATTTATCAATCGAAGTGAAAGTATTTGTGTCATTTTGCATTTATTAACTACTGGTTATAATATAACTTTGTTCTTGTGATAAAAGTCACTAAAAGTATCGCAGTTTTAGTGTTTACACACAATTCCACTTCGGTCAATAAATTAAAAACTACAATTAACCAAGAAATAATTCAAAATCATGATAAAAATTAAACTTTATTTATAATCCAATCACCAACTTTTTCCTTGTCCTCACCAAATCCCACCTCTCGTCTCGGTCGCAATTTGCCTCTTCTCACTCCAACTCAACTCTACACTTCATTCCATTCATCAATCATCAACGAATTCTCGTATCGTCGTGACATATAATTTATTCTGTTCGGTTATCATCATCATATTTTTTAAAATAAATTTGAAATTTTTTTTTCGACCAACCACACCCACCCAAATCGCATAATAATCAGCTTGGGTGGATTTCCTGAGCCAAAAGTATTTACGGGAGGGCGGCTGACAACACGTTTGGTTTAGTTGAGTCACGTTTTCTCGACTCGTTGCCTGCCTGGCTTGACTCTCATCATTTTCTTTCAGTCATTCATTCCTCGGTGGGCAGACTTTACAGCGCGGCAAGCTGCTTTCCGGCATCAACGTTAATTACACAATTAATTATGAGTGAACAATTATCGAGAGAAAGCATATGATTGATTCCGCAAGTAATTAATACCTGATTTGGTCGTTTCACGAGAAGGGAGGAGTGGAAAGAAGCGGGAGTGAAAGGTAAGCTGGTGATGAAAATTTGATTATTTTTTTTAGCAAGCTACCCACTTTTTTAGCGACGCTTTTTATTAGCAGAGCGTAATATGTAATTGACATTATTCTGTCTGTATTTCGATAACTTTAGAACGCGTTGGCTGATTTGATTAAATTTGGTAGGAAAATATATGTAGAGAATGCAACGACCTTTTTGGTTGAAAATGGGTGCCATTAAAAAAGATTTTGACCGGTGGGGGTCATATTAGTGGGTGTGGTTGGTGGTACCAACTTACAATTAATGTTGAATATTACAAGACTGTCAGTTTTGGGCAGAATAGTCGAATTATGGTGGAAGGCTGAAATTCAGTATTGATTGTCCCAATGTAGGCGTAAATGTAAAACGTGACAATATTTATATGAATTTTTGGAAGTATTGGATTTATGAAACTGTGTATCAAAGCTGAAATTATAAAATTGTCTGATTTGTTTGATTTTCCAGTTTATTCTCTGCTGGTTCGTCTAGTGACGCAATAGGTTTACTAATCACAAAAATAAGTCGACAACTACAAAAATGTCGGTGCAGTACAAGTTTAAAGCGGCGATGGACTTCTCCACTGTCACATTTGACGGGGTTCATATATCCGTGAATGACCTAAAGAAAGAAATCATTGAACAAAAACAATTAGAGAAAAATGTTGATTTTGACTTACAAATTCAGAATGCGCAAACGGAAGAAGGTGAGAGTTGTTATTTATTTCGTACAAATTGTTTACTGCATTACAATTTAATTTGTGTGATTATATTCTTTGCAGTGTATGCTGATGAAAATGCACTTATTCCCCAAAATACATCCGTAATCGTGGCTCGTGTTCCAATCACGGAGAAAAAGTCTGGACCAGGTTTTGGCAGAGAAATATTCGTACATCAGCAGCCTCTTGCCAATTTGCCTCCAGCTTCGGCAGTAAATGTATGCAAGTTATATATATATATATATCATATCATTTGTAGAAATTTGATAAAACAATTATTATACAATATTTGAAAAACTTAATCGCCAGGGCACTGATGTGACTTCGATGGATACGGAAGAAGAGAAAGTCAAGGCAATGGTGTCACCATCCACTAATGGGTTTGGCATAAACGGAATCAAAGCGGTTTCGCCCGTCGCACAAAAACCCAACGCGCCAAGGCCGCTATCGTCGACATCTCCCATCGCAAAACGGCCACGCTATCAGTTTGATGAGTTTAAAGATAACGAGGCAGAGGCGAATCAGGGCGTAAGATTACTTATAAGCTCAACTAATTCCAATGATGACTTGTAGGTTTATATTATACATCTTTTCTTAGCAAGCAAAGATGCGCCGCCTGAACTTTCTTTTAGAAAAGAGCGAATTCTTTGCGCATTGCTTGTCCTCTGGAGATGCAGTTGTGGCGGCTAAAAGGGGACGCAAGTCCAAGGCGGAGCAGGCAGCTGCTACGGAAGGAAGCAGGTAATGAATTATTGAACAAATTTGTGACATATTGTAATCTTTTTTCTCATATCATAATACTTTTGATTCAGTCGCCACCGGAAGACGGAAAAGGAAGAAGATGAAGAACTACTTAAAAATGCAGAGGCTCCTACCGATGGTTCTGGAATACACTCAGCCGCCGTGACGTTCACGGAAACTCCGCCCTACATAAAGAATGGAGAGATGCGTGACTATCAGATTCGTGGTCTGAATTGGCTCATCAATCTTTTTGAAAATAGTATCAACGGGATTCTCGCGGACGAGATGGGCTTGGGCAAAACACTGCAGACTATTTCACTCCTGGGATATCTAAAAAATTACAAGAACGTTCGTGGTCACTATCTCGTCATTCTGCCTAAATCTACTCTCTGCAACTGGGAAAACGAGTTCAAACGGTGGTGTCCCTCTATGAGAACGGTGACACTTTTGGGGGATGCAGAAGCCAGGGTAAATTATGATTTATTTATAAAAGAATTTTCGCTTATCATGGCCTTAATTGAGGACATATAAATTTTAACGAAAAAATCAATATATTTCAGAAAGCCGTCGTGGAACAGCGTCTCCTTCACTTGAACGCGTGGGACGTATTGATAACTACGTACGAGATGATTTTAAAGGAAAAGTCCACCCTGAAAAAGATCAATTGGACATATCTCGTCATTGATGAGGCTCACAGGATTAAAAATGAACATTCAAAACTCTCCGAGTCTGTTCGTGAATTGAGCTCTAAACACAGACTGCTTTTGACGGGGACTCCTTTGCAAAATAATCTACACGAGTTGTGGGCTCTGCTCAACTTTCTATTGCCGGACGTCTTTGACTCGTCAGAGGTTCGTTAATTAGTTTAAGTAAATCTACTGAATATTTTATTTATCCATCAAACACTGATCGTTACAGAATTTTGATGACTGGTTCAACACGGAATCTTGCTTCGGCGACAATTCTCTCGTGACTCGACTACACTCCGTTCTTCGTCCATTTCTCCTCCGTCGTATCAAATCCGACGTGGAAAAGAGTCTGCTTCCTAAAAAGGAAATCAAAGTTTACGTTCCAATGGTTGCAATGCAACGTTTGTGGTACAAGAAGATCCTAATGAAAGATCTGGATGTGATTAATGGTGCAGGAAAAATGGAGAAGGTTCGGCTCATGAATATTCTCATGCATTTGAGGTGAGTTTAATATAAATATTCTTCACTTTTGAATGAAATGAAGGCTCTCAAATTATGTCCTATCATTTATTTGTCTCCTAGAAAATGCTCGAACCATCCGTATCTCTTTGATGGGGCGGAACCAGGCCCTCCCTATACGACGGACTCTCATCTAGTCACCAACTCTGGGAAATTGATGGTGCTGGACAAACTTCTTCCAAAGTTGCAAAGTGAAGGATCTCGTGTCCTAATCTTCAGTCAGATGACCCGACTACTTGACATTTTGGAGGATTACTTCTTCTGGAGAAGATTCTCTTATCATCGACTCGACGGGCAGACTGCGCATGAAGATCGACAAAGAATGATTGACGAGTATAACACACCAGGCAGCAAGACCTTTGTTTTTATGCTGTCCACACGAGCTGGTGGATTAGGAATTAATCTTGCCTCTGCGGATGTGGTGTAAGAAAATCAATTGTTTGTTTTTTTGCAGAAAATTGAGTTCAGTTAATTAAAGTAACGTTTCAAATTATAGAATCATTATGGATTCAGATTGGAACCCCCAAGTAGACTTGCAAGCAATGGTAATTTGCAGAGTGAAAGCTTAGTGGCAGATAAATGTGAAATTCAAGTGTATAAATTCATGTCATTTATAGGATCGTGCTCACCGTATCGGACAGAAGAAGCAGGTCCGTGTTTTCCGTCTTATCACGGAGAATACGGTCGACGAGAAGATTGTGGAACGTGCCGCAATCAAGTTGAAGTTGGACAAACTCGTCATCCAGCAGGGTCGCCTCGTTGATGCCAGCACCCAACTTATGAAGGAGGAAATGCTGAATTGGATCCGCTACGGAGCAAATCTCGTCTTCTCTGCGGAATCTGGATCAGAGTCAATTCCGGACGATACGATTGAAGCAATATTGGAGAGGAGTAAATCTAAGGAGGATGAATTGATTGGAAAATTAGACGGTTTGGAGGACTCTAACCTTCGCAACTTTGCCCTGGAAAGTTCTATTTTCAGCTTTGAAGGAGAAGACTACCAGGACAAGAACAAAGCGAGGGACAGAGCCATGGTGGCACCCACCGAGTGGATCGAACCTCCCAAGAGAGAGAGGAAAGCGGCCGTGTATGCAGAAACTATGTTTTATAAAGACTCTTCCAGCAAGGATGAAGAATGGAAGCCCAAGGTGAGGAATTAATTTACTCGATTCAATAACTAATTAATTTCAACAATTTATACATTTTCTGTGTTTTTCTGGTAGAATCCAAAACCAGCTCGGCATCCTACTCTTCCAGAACACCAATTCTTTCCGAAAAGATTGCACGACTTGTTGCAAATGGAAGTGTATTATTATCAACAAACTATCAAGTACAAGATTCCTCGAGAGCAGTGGAACGACTCGAAGGATGCCATCAAACAGCAGAAAGCGGAACAAAAGAAAATTGACAATGCTCGACCACTCACCGATGCCGAGTTGGAGGAAAAGGAAATACTTTTAGAGCAGGTGAATAGATTACCAATTTTCATTTCAAGTAGTTGCCCTTATATACAAATTGTATAATACAATACTAATATGTTCTGAAATTGATACTAGGGATTCACAACCTGGAATAGAAAAGACTTTAACTTGTTTCTCAAATTGGTGGAAAAACATGGACGTGATGACATGGAATCGGTTGCGGAGGAATTTGAAGGAAAGACCAAAGAAGAGGTTCTCCTATATGCAAAAGTGTTTATACGACGATTCTCAGAGCTAAAGAACTCGGACAAGATTCTTCTCCAGATTGGGAAAAGTATGAGTTTTTATTCTGGGATATTCTACAAATGAATTGTTGTTGCGTATATTTATTGACAATTTATTTTCTAGGTGAAGAGAAGCGCATGCGGAAAACTCTCGTAGAACGTGTCCTCACCGAAAGAATTTCAAAATGTCGCAAACCGCTCTTAGAACTTCGCATCCCGTACACTAAGCAGTGCAAGATGGGCAACTTTACCACAGAGAATGATCGCTTCCTTATCTCGACATGGTACAAATATGGTTTTGACACCGACTCGATCGACACTTGGTTTAACATGCGGGAAGAGATTTTGAAATCGACAGAGTTTCGGTTCGACTGGTTCCTCAAGTCGAGGTATGTTTTGCTTTAATTTTGTTGTACCTAAAAAAAATGAACACGATTGCTAAAAATAGTGCATTTTTAATTATTCAGGAGCTCTGACGAACTCAGACGACGCTGTCAAATGATTTGGTCTTTGATGGAGAAAGACATCGTGACTGAGGATGAGATAGCGAATTTACAAAAGAAGATGAAACAAGCATGGGCCGACTTTGCCAAGAAGGCGAACGCCCTCAACAATGATGATGACGACGTTACAGACACATCCCCCTCAGCTCCACCCACCCCACCACCTACGAGCAAGAGGAAGAGCAAAAAGAGACGCAGTACTTTTAATAAAAAGCGCAAATCTACCTCGTCTAGCACTCCTGGCAAAACTCGGCAACTCCTCCTCACCGATATGGACATTATGAATGGGGAAGACTCGAGTCAGCATTCAAAGTCGAGTGGTGGCTCGTCATCACGAAAATCGACCAGGACCTCGTCGTCCAGAACTTCGTCGTCGCGATATCAATAATGTATCTCATTTTCTCGATCGTACATATTGGCCTCACTTCCTTATTCTTCTACGTTTTTTTTACTTTGTTTTATTTCCATTAATTTAATTTTTGATTCGATTATGGAACAACTATGTACACTGCCACCCTTGGGCCACTATATAAATACTATGCATTATCACCACATTTGATTGTATACGTAAAAATAGCTAAGACAAAAATTGTGTTAAAGAGTTAAGTTGAGGATGAAAATGAAAGTGCTGCTGTTCCAGAATCTCGAGCAGTATTCTTATCTTATTACTATCTAGATGAGGTTGTAGTGGGTATTTAATTAATTTGCATACATATTGTACGAGCAAGTCTGAATGGTTGTACACCTAGATGACAATATTTCAATGTCACGTATTAAAAAAGAAGGGGTACTAAAAACTAGCCACCATAAAGTCCAATTCTAAATTAACGAGTAGAAAATTGAGTATAATTTTTATTATTGCGCTCTGTGATGTGTAATAATTTCCATTTGATTTAGTTTGAATACTAAAAGGAACGAAATGTGCTGTGATTTGGAAATGCAGGTCATGTGCAACAAGTAAATGGTATCAGTATGTAATAATTATTATGTATGGTGTTGTAGGGTTGGTTTTTGGTTACCCATCAAATTTCAGGGTCAATTTCGTCATAAATAAATGCGAGGATCAAGTACGATTTTTATTTCGTATAAGTATTATACATAATTCTGCCACTGCTGCTGCTCTCTCATCTTCGTCACGTAATATTTGAAGTAATTATCTTAATTTAAAGACAAGAGTACAATTTGAAATTATTAACAAATTTTGTCCCAGGTACAGAAAATTAAGGGAAAAATGTAACAATTGGTTTAGTTTTTGACAATAAAAAATAATCGGATAAATCTGACTCGTTGCGCATCGAATATTATTTAAATACTAAATTATTTATGATCAATAATGGTGATGATGAACTCGCTTTCCTTGTTGTTGTTGATGGTGGTGGGATCGTCTCGCTGTTACCCGGGTATTGGGGGCAGGATGTGTTCCGGGCGAACTGGGTTCCTCCTTGATCCTGACGATTCGACTGGTGCTCATGCCTTGTTGGTGGTGGTGGTGGTACTGCTGTCCGTGGAGGAGGTTGGCATTGGTGATGGAGTTTGAGTTGTTATTGAGCTGGAGGAGCAAGGGTGTCGTCGACGTGGCGTCGTCCGTTTCTTCCTCGTCGTCCTGCCACTGCACAATGTTCGAGAGCAGATTGATGTAGCGGATGGCGAGTCGGAGGATCTCATTCTTGGAGAGTTTACGATCTGGCGGATACGTGGGAACGAGACGGCGTAATTCTGGAAATTTAAATATGTACGGCTAAGATTTGGAGGATTTGGAGGGGATGATATTTCAGAACTCACCGGAAAATGCTCCAGCCACGTTCTGTTGTCGAAACCGTTCCCTCGTGTTGGTGAAGACTTTTCTGTGTGGGGTGTGGATTCGAGGGATGACCTCGAGTGAAGAGGAAGAGTCGTGATGATGTTTCGAGCTTCGTATCCGGCCGCCCCCAATTCTCCGCCCGTTCAAATGAGACGATTTGGCTCTGAGCCCCTGCAAGAAAAGGTTGGATGTGTATCAGTTAAGTCTCAACTTGCCTCCCACTGTGTTTAGTTTTGTATGTCCAAAAGTATCCAATGGGGCAAAATGTTACAAGTTATTTATTAACGATTTTGCAAATCTATGCATGGATATGCATCTCCCATTAATTTTCAGCGTCTTGGTGTGTATTATTATCACGAAATTTAGGACAGCTTTTGTTTTCTTATGAGAAATTAAGAAATTTTCTACTTAGCCCATGTCGCATTACGCATGTAATTACATCAATGAATTATCGAAAGATTCAATAAAGAAGAACTTGTAACATTTTGCCCCATTTTGTATTTTGGGTACTTTTGGACATTTTTGACATCCAAAATTCGGTCAAAAATGTATTTACCACTCGTATAAATTCATTTTCAACTATTTTACCTTATCATTGCTCCCCGAAACGGAACTTCTTGCATCTCCCCCGACACCACCCCCACCGGATGACGTTTCGCCAGAATCGAGGTCAAAGTCATCCTCATCTTCCTCCATCATGATGTCGTCTTCTTCCTCCTCGAGAAGGTTGTCGTCTTCTTCGGAGTAAAAGTGCATGTTGTTCACGGAACTCTCCTCCCCTTCGGAAAGGTCGAGAAGAAGGAGTGGCGGAGGGGGCGGGATGGTCGCTTTGCTTCTTGACGTACTTTCTTCTGCTATCACTTCCACTACTTCCGCTTCCTCGGGCTCCGTCAACATCACGTCTGAATGACCAAGCTGCTTGGTACTCGCTTTTATATGGACTTGACTCCTTACTAATCGTATTCTTTAAGATGATGATGACACAATCACCACCACCACTTTTACAAACATTTGACTAATTCGGAAGATGAATCAAGAAGTGGGTGCAGGTGGCGGATGTCCGATCTGCCTTCCGGAATCGACTGGAATTCTGTTATTAGTTGAGTCACAACTGTGACTACACAAAATCCAGTTATTCTTAACTGAAAATGAGAGTGCAAAGCAAACTATTTGCTCAAGATGATGTTTAGTGATTGATGATGAGATGTAATCCGCGTCACTATTTTATTTCGTGGTGACCAGATCGGCTCAAAAACTGGCTGAAACTGGGAAGAACTATGTACGTATTTATTTTCTGCTTCTTTTCTCGAGTCGTTCTTTGCTTTGTGATCAGGTTCACTTTCAAGTAAGACAATGCGATGAGAAGAATAAGTCAAAAATAAATATTTGAGCTCAACGAGGAACACAAAAAGAGCACAAAGTTGACGCTGGTAGAGAAAATATTAGTCAAACTACAAACCTAAACTGTATCTTGTCCAGTCCAGATTGAATACATTATTGTCCATGAATCCTTGCTTACAAATTTATGAGTTGGTGTATTTAGATTATTTCGGATCCTTTAGTTCAGTTTCAGTGTCCTTTTTCTTGGTTCTATTTATCGCCCAACTAATAACGAACCACTTGTCAACAATGTGTCAATATTTGAAGATCATTTCTTCTACCACCCTTTCCTTTCCAGTTTCACACAGTAAATGCAATCCAGTCAGATACACAGTACACACATATTATCCAGCTCAATCCAGTCGAAAAATTCAGTCCGCACTTCAGAAATAAAGAGACAAAGATTCCCCTTCTTTCTTTTCCCTTTGTGAATGAAACAACAACAACAATGCACACACATCAATCAACACGAACCTCACCCGAAACCACAAACCAACAAATATTTAAGATAAACAACAATTAAGATAATGAGGGAGGATGCGAAAAAAAGTCTCAACTTCCCCACCCAAGTCTCACTCGCTCGTCTTTCTGCTGGAGAGAGAATGATACATAAGAGATTGAAGTTGTTACTTTTTCCCAACTTCCGTTCCGTTCCTTGCTGGATGGATGGAGGACGAGTGTTAACGGAAGATAAGGAGCAAAGTACTTCTAAAGGGAGACCCCACACTTCATCTTCTTTCACTCATTTCCATCATATCTCTCCCCACCAGGCCACCAACCATACTCGCTCGATCAAAAGTTAGTCTGACCCGAATAAGTCGGTAGTGCACAACGACACCCTCAAATCCAATCTATGTGGAGACAGAAATGAAATTGAAACCTGTATACATAGCTCGGAAATGGGTATAATATTGGATTTGTGTGGGATCACATGCCACAAATTGGAGGACCAAATCCGCTATTCCTTCCTTCCGATGTATACTCTGTATTTCCAAATAATCTGTCATCATTTCGGGAAACATACACTTAAAGTCATGCCCATCCCCCTTTCCGACACCTCCGCCTCTGAGGGGAAGGACGAAACCAATGCCCGAATTCGGAGAGAGAGAGAGAGTCAGCAGATACCCGAGTGGAGTGGAGGCATCATCCGTCCTTATGCAAATTGAGATTCTACTCAAGCACAGAATTGATGAAATTAATTTGCATCTCGATAATTTACAGGTTTCCATTGTTGCAGAAAATTTCCAGAAAAAAATGTGCGAGATTTGAGATTTCGTCTCGACTTTCGTCTGTGATATGCGAGGATTGGAAAAATTGAGAAAATTGAGACGCCCGTTCAGTTAGTCAGTAGACCTCGTTTCCATTATGTTGAGTCGAGAGCTGACAAAACGGAAGGACAAGACGCACCTTCAATCCTTCCTCGACCGCATTAATGCCCCCCACACGCTTCCGAAGGGAGAAGAACAGCGCAAGTTCAGAGCCCTCGTCACCGAACGACTCGAACAGCGGAGAGCGCTCAAGGATAAGGAGCTCGCTTCTGAGAAAAGCATTTCCTCCGGGTGCGTATGTACATCAACAGGCATGACCTTTGACCTTATGATGGCTTATTAATTATTCTAGTCTCTCCTCCTTTATCAAGCCACCCTCTGTTGTTTATCTCTGCATCACATGTCGCAGATCGGACACGTCCTGTTGCATTCCGTGGTGTGCGGGTCGCTGCGGAAAACATGGGGCGCGAGCAGATCCGGAAATGTGAGTATATAATTCGGTGTAATTGGAAAATACGTGTAAATTTTCTGTCTTTCCACCAGTGTCTGGCGTCGAATGGAGTGCAAAACGTTTGAGAATTTTGAATCCTATTCGGCCGCTGCGATCACGTCGAATTTGAACATTATCCGGTGTTTGAGAGCTATCACGCAGTCGATGACATTTTGGGAGGAGCCGAGACCCGACTGGGAAGGGTTCAGCGTGTTGGGTGCGCTTGATAATGATTGATAAGTGATTATCGTTATCTGATGACTTATTTCATGGTCAGGTTGCTACGGGTGGATCCTCTCTTTCACCTTGCAACATCTCATGGACGAAGATGACCCCAAAGACATCACCCTCCTCACCGGACTGGATGAAATACGCCAAATCTACACAGAAATTGCACAATCTGCCGAAATATTTGTGGACATGGTAGAAAAGTTTTATGAGCATAGTCACAGGCTGAGGTAGGCTAATTAAGAATGGAGAACTCCCAGCGTATGCTCACAGATTTTGACCAAGTTGGTGGCGATTAATCACAAATTTGATTGGTATAAAATTTGCATGGTCACATTTGACAGAGATTGCATCCGAAGAGGAGAACAAATTTAGCAAACAACAAATTTACAACAACAGCAAACAACAAATTTAGCAAATGTAAAATTTTTAAACTTTATAGAGCCCTTTCTCCTCCGGATGCAAATATCTCCGCCAAACCTGCGCATCGTGCCTTTTGCAAATTTCATATTAATTAAATTTGTGATCGATCGACACTATGATCAAAATCTACGTTGGGATACCTCTATTGTAAGTACAGAGTCATTTCCTCCTCCGTATAATCCATACCGAATGACATTTTCAGATCCGACATGCTCTTCACCGTAAAAAAGTTGGTGAAAAAGTGGCGTCTCGAGTCCTCCAGTCCGTTATTGCACAGGCCGGAAAAATCCCTCCTGTCGAGCAGCCTCGGTTCGGGGAGGGGAGGAGGTCGACACGTTAGTAACTCCATGATGGACTATGAGGCGGATTCGGCCTTCCACCTGAATTGGACCCCACTCGCAGTGATGATCAAGTCAGTAGGTGACAAAGGTCTGGACCATTTCCTCTTTTTTCAGAAATACTGTTCTTTCTCTGCAGGTCGAAGAAGATGTCTGTCCCGTACCAGGAATTTGGTGGGCTAATCCTTCCCGAGAAGCTCCACTGGTTCAAAGTGTTTGCGAACCATGTCGTCGATATGGTAGAGCTCGAGGCGGAGGACATGCACGTTGTGGCGGGACAGTTGAGCTGCATCCACATTTCGAACGTTACCCTGACCTCGCACACGGTCAAGTCCCACGCGAGAGAATTGTCGGGTAAGGTGACGGGCAGTGTTTCGGGTGAAAGTAACCACTTGCAAGAAATAACAGGAAGAAAGTGTTTTTTTGCAGCTATTTCGACCTGCAAGAAATGCGCTTATACTTTATACGGCGCATATTTTTCGCACTTTCTCCCATTTTCTTGCACCTCGCATTTCTTGCATTTCTTGCTTTGCACTGCAAGAAATGTAGCAAACCCATCAGAAACGAAACACTGACTTGCGAAAGTTAAATTGCCTTTAATTTAAAAAATATTGCGCAGGAGCTCTCGTCCATTTTTCCAAGATCGCAAAGTCCAACCCCACCCCGACAACGGGTTCTTCTTCTGCTGGTGGGGATGAATCTCAGTCACAGTATTTAGTCCGCCTCCTCTCTGACCTCTGGTTTTCTGCCGACATTCTGTACGAGGAAGCCACGCGACTTGTCCGCATTGTCCGCGAGACGAGAGACATCCTCCGCACGTGTTACGTTTATGCCGATATTTTCTACAAGCTGGGTCTCCCCTCGTACGACGACTTTCTCGTTCAACAAGGTCAAATCAGCGCGACGCGGCCGGGGAGGAACAGCAATCGACCCCAGCAGCACAACGCGTCCACGGTGAAAACCGCGTGGGACAAGTTCATCGGTGGCGATGGCCGGAAGTTGTCCGACCTTGCGGAAATGCTCGTCATGGCGGATTTCTCGACGAGCCCGTACCAACAGATCTTGCAAGTCAGACCGGTCGAGGCGGAAAATATGGTGATGAAGTTGGAGTAAGAAATTAAAAATTACAGAAAACCACAGAATTTAGTTGTGGTTTTAACCACTGTCGATAGCAGCGGTCCAAAACCCGTTTTAACCAGTTTTGGACACCGAATTTTGGACGTCCAAACTGTCCAAAAGTCAAAATTAATGGGAGATTACACTAAACATGTGTTCATAGATTTGCAAAATATTCGTTAATTGGTAAAGAACTTGTAATATTTTGCCCCATTTTTTAATGTCACACGATTTTGACATTTTTAACGTCCAAAATTATTTTGGACAGTTTTGGACGTCCAAAACAAAACATTGAAGAAATTTAAATATTACGAAAGATTTTAGGTAGAAAACCTACTCCAAGCAACTTCGCGGGGCCTTTTAAGACGGCATTATTACATAAAAGCCAGACTCTAATGAACGATTGGCATATAATTTTTAGCCCGAACTAGGGCTTATGTAATCGACCTGTCCGTCTGTCTGTCTTTCCATAACTCTCGAAGGAGTAGGCTGATTTTTACCAAATTTGATACAGACATGCATCTGGGCAACGACCGAGTTCGAAGATGGGTATTAGTGTTTCTCACGGGTCGGGTTCTTGCAAATCCGAAACCCGAACCCGATACTACTGATCCGAAACTTGAGGGCAACCCGAACCCGAAGAACCCGAAACCCGCTTGCAAGGATCCGAACCCGAACTGGCGGATCAAATCCGAAACCCGAACCCGAAAAACCGAATATATTTTAACTTTAAGGGGTGACTGGCTTTTTAGCCTAAAGGTTTCAAACAAACAATACTTCTGTAAATATGACCGAGGAATTATAATTAAGCACATTTCTGCATAAGTACATAACGCATTTTAAAATGTGAATCTTAATTCCTCGACCATAATAATGCAATCTCAAAAATCGACCATGGATAATGGCTTTCCGTGACATTCAGAAATTTTTAAATCAGTTGAAAACTGAAAATGATTTTCAGTTTCAAGTTTCCAATATTAAAGTAAGCTCAAGCTAACTATTTAGCAAATTTTTGATAAAAAAATATATTTTATTTCAATATTCAAACCATAACACTAATTGAAGACACTTGTGAAAAGAAGTTACGACAATTAAAAATTTGAATTATTTAATGAATTACTGCAGCATAACCGTCGTAGCAAGTGTGGTTAACACTTTATTTTCTTTTTTAATGTTTTCGTATTCGTTGTGGCAAAAAGTTCTTGTTGGTTCGGGTTTCGGGTTCTTAGTCGGAACCCGAACCCGACCCGAACCCGAAATTTGGGCTCACATTTCTCGGACCCGAACCCGAACCCGAAAGTTTCGGGTTCTGAAATTTCGCATCCGAAGCAGGACCCAAACCCGATCCGAACCCGAAACCCGAAGTAAGAACCCGAACCCGTGAGAAACACTCGATCAAAAAACATTTAGACCAATGAGTGGTACCCTGGACACGATTATCACCTCGAAAGTATCCCTTGTTAGCTAACTTTTAATTTCAAGTTCTTTGATGAGAAGCCACTAATTGTAAGTATTACCGTGCCGGATTTCATGTTTTTAACGCAATTTCTAAAAATAGATATGGATCACCTCTCTCCCAAATTTCACTTCGATATGACGATTTTGAAAAATCAGTATGGGTCACCCCATAGGGTCCATCAAGATTAAAATTGTTCCAACCTAAATTCAGTTTTTTCTGTTACAATCCACTAGCAACCTTTGTTCCAAATTTCAACTACGTACTACAAATTTTAGAAATCCGTCGGGTCACCCTATCGGGTCTCCCAGGTTTAAAATTTCTGAAACTCCATTCCAATTTAAACGCTTTGAGGTCAGTCGCAATCTTCATACTAAAATTACTGAAAATTATTACTATAGATATTTCTCAAGCTACAAATATTTTACTTGCACTTAAATAATTTAACCTGCTCTAAAGGTTCTTGGTAGTTAAGGGCAACGCATTTGGATAGTAATGACCCCCACCGGCCAACTACTTGGCCGATCATTCCCATCTCCGAACTCATCCTTACTTTTGACCCGAAGATGAAGTGTGCAAAATTTCAAGTCGATAGCTTTTGTTTAAAGAGAGTTATCGTGCGCACAGACGGACGCACAGACGGACGGACAGACAGACATCTTGGTAAATCTATAAGGCCATCTTAAAAGGCCTAAAAATGGAGATTTATGATTTATATTCATGCTTTTAAATACGCAGGTCACAAAGTATGTCCGACCCGAATTTGCCGTACGGTCTTGTCAACAAACCGTCACTAAAGAAGCTGGACAGCCACCACAAACCTTGATTTTAATTAATTATCTACTTAATTGAGTGAACCTGTTAAAACCTGATTTAACCAGATTGCCGATTACTTACATAAATTCATACTTTCAATCGACATTAATTTTGTACTTATATGAGATGACATTGTTTGACAAAGACAAATAATAAATTGTTGCCCAATAAAGAAATTAGACAAGAATAAGACACATACCTAACTGAACGTTATTATTTTAGAAATCCGGGTTAACTACACCACGGTCAATATGTACTCGTATATACATAAGTACGTAACATTCTTCTATTGTTCACCATCGTCCTAGATATTTGCACAGTTGTTCCAATTTTACTATGTAATATGTACGAGGAGATATATTAAGCAGATCCTGATCAGTATAAAAAACTGCAATTTTCCAGTTATTTTTTAGTAGTAAATAACACGCAGACGAAACTGGATGGACGGCGACTGAGGATGCAATGCATTTAACGGCAGGAGGCAATGTGAGACTGACTTTCCCTTTCGTACAAATATACATGAACACGCATACCGAGTGCAAATAATATTTAAGGGGTGAAGAAAAGTCAGCGTCACTTCATGATGCTCGCTCATCCTTGAAATTAGACGCGTGTCGGTATGAATATCAATAAATAAATTGAATTTGTATCTCCCTTCACGAAGCAAGACACGCGACCATGCTCCACAATCTTGCCCAAGTCCAAATTGAATCGTTTTTTACTAATAAAATGGAAACGTGTCGTCATTATGGATGAGAGAGTCAAATGTGTCAAGTTGTACAGAGACACTCACTCTTCTAGTCTCGTCATAATTTGTCGTCAATGTGTGACACGTGGACGGCTGGAAACTCGGAGAGATTTTTGGACGCACTCCCACGGATCGCCCTCCTCTTTTATCTCATCCGTACGTAGGTTTACCCGGGTAGGGGCATTCTATACTCGGATTGGGTATATTGTCCGTGTTATGTATGTATCCAACTCAAGTTAGAATTTTCCATGTTAAAGTTTGATGTAATCTCACGCTAAAAATCGAACGCTTAAAAAGTGTCAAAAATAAATTCTCCCTCTCCTCGCGTGATCTCACTTCATGAGAGCGGATTAAAAAATATGGCCCATATTTACAGATAAAGCTCACCATAAATCTGGCAATTTATTCCTCATTCTTTATCAGCGTTATTCTTACCAGACGAATCTTGACACTTAAAAGTTACCCTCTTTTTATTACATAATACATTAAATTAGTAAAATTGTCGAACCAAAAATTTTGGTTGAAAATATATATACGTAAATTAGATATTTATGTATGCTAAATTCGGAGGTATTTGATTGAATATGAAGAGATTGCACGTTCTCATTACTGCAATTTCGAAGTGACTACATCATCAAGTAGCGAAATCTTGCCCTCGTCGGATGACTCACTGGCAACCCTCGCAACCATTTTCGGAAACCACAAATTAGCACGGCCACCACCACGATGGACGAACCCACGATACTGCAAATACGCAAAATTTTAGTTTTTTTAGATCTAAAAATTCTCAAATTTCCCAATTACATACCTCAACCAATCGGGAATCACGCCCAGAACAATTATTTGTAGGGCAAACCCAAATATAACGTCGCAAGTCCGAATCAACGCTACGGGTCCGGCTTGTTCCGCCTGACGAGTGATAAATAAATAATTATCAAAATTATATTCTTTGTGTGCAAGTAACTACTTGCAAGAAAGTGTTGTTTTGCAGGTATTTTGACCTGCAAGAATGCAAGGCGCAAGAAACTACGCCCCGCCGCTATACTTCCTACGGTGTGTGGCTAAAATGGCGCAAATTTCTTGCACTTTCTTGCAGTTTCTTGTACCTCGCATTTCCTGAGTTTCTTGCTTTTCCGTGCAAGAAATGTAGGAAACCCGCAAGAAACGAAACACTGCTAGTATTTTTTTATGTAATCTTTTCTCCTCGAGAATTGAATAGGAACAAACGAACTGGCGATCCCAGTGCAATTTTATCAGGCATAAAGGAGATTTAGTGTACATAAGAGGATGGTGCAAATTTCTTGCACTTTCTCCCAGTTTCTTGCACCTCGCCTTTCTTGCATTTCTTACTTCGCAGTGCAAGAAATGTAGCAAAATATAAGAAATTATCTACGCTACACTACACAGAAGCTGTCTATATACAGGATTTTATTCACCTTCATGGCCAAAATGATGGCACACTGCCCGAAAAACGTGAACGACGCCAACGCTGCGACCAACCCCCATTCGCCCAAAGTGTTTGGCACGTTCATCGCGGAGAATAAAATGGCGAGGAATAAATTCTCAAATGTTCCCCACACCCCGAACATCAGCGTGGTCACGGAATAGTGAACTTTCCGTATGTAGCGCAAAACCGTGTAGGAAATCGCGGCCAGAATCATGCAGCCCAACGCGAGGCCTGATCCGATCAAGGTGTCCGAGTCAAAGGACGAAGCTCCTGTGAGCAATGGCGGGCGACTGACCCCTACGTAAATGGATAGAAGGTCAGACAGAAATTCGTACGTACAATTTTCAATATTTGTCTCACCCACGACCCCAATTATCGTGAAGATGGAGGCAATCACCGTCACGACGCCACATTTCTCGCCGAGGAAGATCCTCGCAAATACTGCGACGAGAATGGGCGTTGAGGACGCGATGGTCAATGAGTCCCCGAGTGACATGTATTTCAAGGAGTAGAAGTGAAGGAGGAGGGAATTGCAGCTCAGACAGCTTCGCAACTAGAAAACATAAATTTTAATTTCTCGCCATTTGATCTAATTTTAACGATAACTCGTCGCCAAAATGGTCAAAATCAGCACATTTTCAATAACTTCTCCGCTCAGGAAATTTATTTTTAAATTATGGACGACAGAGCAGGGAGTTGCCAATTTAAAAAGATTAGAAGGAGAAAATCTCAAGTTTAAGAGTCCTGCAGCAAAGGAACTCTTCCCAATTATTTAAATTCCCAGATCAGAGAAATGACTAAAAATGTGCTGATTCTAACGATTTTGGTGATGAGTCATCGAATCCTGCTTTTATGCAAGACTTACCAAAACGAGGGAGAAGAGGCCTAGATTTTTACCCCTGTTAAGAGGCCAAACACCCAGCATGATCTTATCTGCCTGATCGAGAATACAAACCTTATGCATAATGATTGGCAAGACGGGCAGGAAGGCGCCCTGAAATCGCCAAAATGCGATCGAAAATGGATGAAAATGGTGCAGTTTTTTGGCGACGAGTGCGCCCAGGGAGAAAATGAGGGAGGAAAGTAGGGCCAGCAACATTCCACGATAGCGCCTTAATGGCGACGCCTTTTTCTTCTTTTTTGTCGAAACTTGGCGATGGACGATGGAAGAGCGACCGTCCGGACCGACGATGACGATCCCAGCCTCAACCCCGGCTTCTGGTGGGGCCTCATCCTCCTCTTCAGACGAGGACTCCGTCTCCGAATGGTTCGAGTACGGATTGTTCGGATCCTCGACCGCGTTGGCGAAGCGATTCCGTATCTTGATGTTGGCCTGGATCGCGAGCGCGGCCGTTTTAAAACGTGGCTTCACCATGTCTGATAACGAATTGGACAATTAAATTGCTAATTAATTTTTAATGAGACAAGCAATGGACACCTGTCTGATATGTCACCGTAACACTGCGTGGTCCACCAAAGTCTAAGTCACGGATTGTGTATTGGCTGGGTTATTATAGCTGAAATGCTGTGTGTACACTATTGTTACGCTTTTGTGCAAAAATCTAATTTTACACGGAATCCTATCCCATCCAGGATATTTGCCCAGTTCTTATGTTATTTTATTACCTAACAAAAAAAAAGTTCCCAGAGTTGATGAGCGATTAACGCCATGCACAAATTTAAAGCCATACACAGTCACACTAATAAATACAGAATATACATATTCTCCCAATTAATCTAAGACATACGATTAGTAGTTCATGAACATATTCTGCGCTTGTATTTAATATTAATATGCAGATGTTTTGTCATCCTTGGTTTGCTTGGCTGTTTAATCAGCAAATATGTATCGTTTTAGGTATGCATAATATTAAGGTGAGGTTTACGTACTAATTTCAGATCTGTACTTGTAATTGTACGTACTTATTCCCCTGAGAATTATGGCTAAAAAATGCCACCTACACTCCCCCCAAAATCTACACGTTCCATTATTCCATCGTGACCGCAAACAGACTAATTTATTGTCAATAATACAATATTCAGGATGATTAATACCCGGCCACTCCTTTCTCATCGGTCACATACATGTGTATGTACGTACATATTTTTTTGTATTTTTTGGCCAAATTGTTATTTTACACATGGTGGAGAATTTTTTAATTGGGGCTTGGTATTTTTTGCAATTCCAAATATTTGTATGGGCAAGTGTGCGATGTGGTTGGTTTTCTTTATGAGGACGTATTATCTGGTGACGACGCATTGATGACGCATTGGGCGTCACAATTTGAGATGACAACGCATTGATGAGAGAATTTTGAATTCCATTTTATTCCCGTGACAATTTAGTGACGTCGTGAATGGCGGTGTTGAGTTGTTGAATCGATAAAATCTGGAGAAACCGGAATTCTGGAGAAGCGCAACTCTACGTCAAACATTGGTCCAGCTCGGAAATATTGGTTTAAGAAAACATTTATATAAGAAAGGTGACACGTTTTTTATGAAAAATATTAACGAAACCTCAATTTAAGATCTGGACCATGACTTCCGCCCCCGTTGGCTTGTCCACGTCTGCCTGGTGGCTGGAGAAAGGTGTCATCCTTCACGATAATAAATACCTCGTTGCAGAGGATCGAAAAACCTACATGTGCGAAAAGGCCAGAATTCTCGTCATCTTCTTTGGCTCTTATCGCAACCGGAGCACAAAGCATTTTGTCAAATATCTCAACAAACTGTATTCGGCAAGTGGTGGCAATTTACATATTTATGAAACCAAATTAAGCTCTCATCTCATCGTATCGATAACCATTTATCTGTTAACCTATTTTTAGTACACGACTGAGAAACGTGCCAGGCTCGAAATCATCTTCATTCCGCAAGATGAAGATGAAGCGGATTGCGAATTCTTTGTGAAGGCTTTGATGGGAGATTGGCTCATCGTGCCGTGGTCGAACCAGCAACTTCGCAGGTTGAATCTCCATTTTCACTGAGAAATTTCAATTTTTCCATTTTTGAAAAATTTTGAAAATGTTTGCAAAAATCAAAATTTTCACATTTAAATGCTTTATTTACTAGAAAGGTGAAGAACATGTACAGCGTGTCGGACCAGCCGTGGCTCGTCGTGGTGAAGAACGACGCGAAGGGGAGCTTGGTCCGGCTGGATGGAAAATCGGACCTTCTCGACTACGGCTACTTTTGCTGGAGGGATTGGATGGAAATTGCGAAAGAGATTCCTCCCCCGGAATCTTGACCTCCGACCACTCGCTCTAAAATTGATCTAATCTGATGAACTTTTCAAATACGTATCGTTTATTATTTACATAATAAATTGAAAACTTGTATCCCATTACATATTTACATAAGTTGATATGTGGTCATTCATGATAAGTAGAATATCGGTCGGCGCACAATAATTAGTTAATTATTAATCACTTAATTAATTATTAACAGTTCTATAATGTGTAAATATGAGTACATTTTCACCAGTCCTCATAGTCTAATAAGTCATCGTCCAGCACATGCTCCTCCAGCTTTGTCAACTTTGGCGTCGTATTTTCGGCACTCGTCGTCACATTATTATTGTCCTTTTTCTTGTCATCGTGGTGATTATGGTGGTGGTGGTGAGTGTCGAATAGTGAGTACATGTCCATTTCCTCGTCCGCCTCGTCCCCATCGTCGTCATCTTCGTCGTCGTCTTCATCCCAGTCCGTACTCCAGTCCATCCCGGTCCCAACCGCAGGCTCCTCTAATTTCGGAACGGAGCTGCGGGCCCCCTCCAGTCAATCGGAGGACACGGTCTGATTGAGGGCGTAGAGGCGGACGTAGTCAATCTGCATCGCGGCCGCGTCCCCACCCCAGGAAGGCTCCCAGTCGTGGCGATTCTCCCAAAACGATTTGGCCGCCACCGCCATGTCGCTGTCCTTCCAGGGCTTGGGATATGGTCCGGAGAAGTCGTCGGAGAAGAAGCCTTGGACTCCGCCCACGTTGATGCCAAGGACGAGGTAGAACTGGAAATTGGACATAAATAAACCGTTACAATGCATGTAGCTAAGGGGTGAAACCAGCGTCTTATTTATACGTCAAAATTAATACATGTTCCTCGTGTAAAATTGATACGTCTGACGTGTTTTCGACATTTGTGAGACCTTGTTCACACGGTCACTGAGGTGTCAACACGTGACCTGCGATCTGGCGCTGTGACCCTGTTACCTACATTGCCCATTTTCTAATCAGGCCTGGCCCTTGACCTAAATAAGCTAGGTTTCAAGTTTCACGTCTGTATGTCGGTTCGTTAATGCAGCGTTAACCGCGTTAATGGACCAACGGATGGATGGACAATCTCATGCATAAAGTGGTTTCACCCCTTAATAAGCATCACTTGATATATGCATAATTGTGCAAATTTACATGTCTGTCGAATGGCGCCATGACCGCATTTTCCGCCGTCGCCCACGGATTCGTGTGTACCCTTCCTCTCGACCAGAGTTCATACATGCTCTTTCTGGGAAATGGGGCCGACACGATACCGTTCCCATCAATTTTCAGCGTGATGGAATCTGAAAATATTTAATTGCCATATTTAGTACAATGCGAATTATGGATTTAGTTGAAGACTATGTACCAGGGGTCCATTCGACCTGATAGAGATGAAAATCAGTATCGAATCCTTCATTATTCTTCGTATTGAGACAGTCAAAGAGGTAGCGTTTCGTTTTGTGGGAACCGAGTCGAATATCGGGACAGGTTTGTTCCGACCCCACGTTGACACCGTTGTGATCAAAGAGTTGTCGATTTCCACGCGTGTCAATCATCTGGACTTGACCGTTGAGGAGATCCGTGCCATAAAAGGATTCCTTCGGTTGGAGGGACATCACTGCAACGGTAATTTAGCGTTTAAAAAAGGTATAGATGGTTTTTTAACAGTAAAACGTGCACTTTTTTACTCACATGGTTCGACCCAGTCCCCCGCCGGCATTTTGGCACGAATCTCCAATACGCCGTATTTGAAGGAGAAGCTCTCCTGCGTGGAGATAGCGGGGGCCATGATGGGATGCACGATGCTCAACCCGTCACCCTTCCAACACAAGGCAGAGTCGTTCTTCTTCTTGCATCTGCATATCCGCAAAATTAAAAAAATCATATTCGCATTAATTATCCAGGATAATTATTTACTTACATTTCAGACGGCTTCCTGCCCAGCAACATGGTCCCATTGTAGACGTAGTCCTCCCCGTACGCGTCCGCGGTGTAAGTCGGCTTCAAGTAGAGGAAGCCATCCTTCACGAAACTGTTGTTCCTTGTGTTCACAAAGTGGAAAAAGTTGCTGCTCTAAAACAAAATATTTAAATTAGGTGGTGTGAAACTATAAATAGACTCGTTAAGTAATTTTCAGTATTAGTACGGGGTCATGATTAAGATGTTGCCACTTTGTCGTGTTGAATGAGTCGAATTCTTCAAACCAGACCAACTGACCAGGTCTCTTCGAGTTGATACCGTTCACTTGGGTGACTGATGGAGTGTCGACATTGGCTGTGAAAAAAGAAACGTGAAAATCAGTGTTTCGTTTCTTGCGAGTTTGCTACATTTCTTTCACTGCAAAGCAAAAAACGCAAGAAATTCGAGGTGCAAGAAACTGCGAGAAATATGCGCCATCCAGCCAAGCGCCAGTTGTTTCTTACGCCTTGCATTTCTTGCAGGTCAAAATATCTGCAAAAAACCCTATTTCTTGCAGTTATTTATTGCACGTGGTGGTAATTTGCACTGGTGAAAATGTGTCTAAATTTCCTTCATGTATTTATCATCTTACGAGGCAATTGTGTCGTTTTGGCAGCATCAGTGACCCCGACTTGGCCCAGCGTGGTCGTCGTTTGCAGCGTTGGTGGAGTTGATACTGCGGCTGAGTGCTTACTGGCTAAAACGACACTGTCCGGACAACTCGAGCCCATTCCCACCACGACCGTTCCAATGAAGAGGATGAGTGACAGGATGAAACACCCGACAGCAATTATGATCACGATGAGACGTCCATTTATATTGTACGGGCTGAGGATGGAGGTCGAGGAGGACTTGTTGTTTCTGAAACGGGCGCTAATGTCGTCCTAAATAGATAATTGGATAAAATGATGACGCACAATGGAAATCTCCCAGCGTATGCTCTCCGATTTTGACTAAATTACTGTCAATTGTTCGCAAATTTAATTAGTATGGAATTTGCAAATGTATTATCTCCCAATGGTCACGTTTGGCAATTTGCAACCGAAAAGGGGAAAAGCGCAGCAAATTTAGAAAGTGTATAATTTTTCAACTTTAGGGCGCGTTTTCTCCTTTTTGGATGCGAAAATCTCCACCAAACGTGACCATTGGGAGATGGTGCCTTTTGCAAATTTCGTGCTAATTAAATTTGTGATCGATTATCTAATACGAGTTTGCTCAAAATCTGAGAGCATGCACTGGGAGACCTCCAATGTCAGAGTAAATTTTCTGTATGTACGTACTGAATTATTCAAGTCGTTGGGACTATCGACAAGATCCATGGTGGAGAAGGGGTGTACCTCGCTGTTCGTGAGGGGACGCGTGTCTCCCATGGTTCAGCAATTAACTTGTGTATTTTAGGAGGACAAAATTGACCCAAAGTGTTGATGGGCGTATTAAGAAATGCTGATCAATAAATAACAATCTTTTTACTGAGAAATTCTGATTAAGAACTATTCAATTTACGTTAATTTCTTGACGATGTGAAAGTCCAGTCCAGTCCAGTTGTGGGATAAGTAAGATGAAGAAATGGTGGTGATGGGCACTAGATGCTCGACTTGTGACATGACCAGATCAAGTAGTCGTACCGTATCGTATATCAATCCCTCTAGAGATGTAGCATGGTCTACGAGATACATATGCACTTATATTCATGGTGATAGGTATCCCAAGGTCAGAGGTTATCATCATCTCCGTGTATGAAATGGGCTTAAATATTCTTTCTGAATGTGACACATTACAAAAACAAATAAATCCTGAGAACTCAAATTTCGTCTCGAGTCTCTCAATTTCATCCCACCTTGGTCATCCGTATCATCTTCATATTTCAGAGAGCGAGATATGTGCATGATGAAACTTGATGAGAGATGAGTAGGTAGCCGGTGATGTCGAAGTGATGTGTGATTACCAAGCTCATATTTAATGTGTCCCGTCAAATGTCCGGGTGAAATATGTAAATAGGGTTCACTTTTGTCCTATTCTGCTATGCATATACATATGTACACACTACTCAATTATGCATATACTTTACTAGTTGGATTTGGTATGAAATGTTTAGCGACTACTTTAGAGGATATATATGCACAAGAGAAGTTTCTCTGTCCTAAATCACATCAACATTTAAACATTAAATGAAGTATCAATTTATTGAAATTTATTTTTAGAATCATAAATATTTTCAAAAATATTCCTCTGCCTGATAAGTAATCTATGTCATATGTAGAATGTAATGTGGAGTGAATGAAATAAAAGTATTACATACACAATACATAATCTAGTCTAATTGTAAAGTGTGACGAAAATGAGCGTTGCCAAAATTAAGTTACAACTCCCATTATTCAAATATTTTATCAATTCGGAATTTTTATCGAGATTTACAAATACACATTATTATTCATTTGTGTTCTACATTACAAGCATAACTACAAAAAACCACATTCGAATTTTGTGGGGCTATCTAGGTGTTGGGGACATGTGCGGTGGTGGTTTTTAGTACGAAGCGTGTTTCTGAATTCCAAAGGGGAGCGATGCAGTAAATTTTCCTTACTTTTCTTGAGAAAGTATCCTCAAATTGGATCTCACTCACGACCCACGCTCCGTCAAAGTGGTCTGCAAATTAAGTCAGACATTAAAGGCCATTTCACTTAAGGTGGTTGTTTGGGGGATTAATTTGATTTTGCTGTCATTGCAGCATTGCAATCGAGTTCTTAAAATTAGTAAAACTGGAGAATTAAAAAAAATTGTTACCAAATTTGTAACCTTATCAAGCGTGAAAGTATGTTTCTGTAATCATCTGGAGGGTTAATTTGGCAAAGCTGGGGCATTCTCTTCTGAGGACCAGACCAGTAAAATTAGTGCAATATATAGTGTTACGCCCACTTACTCCCCTGCCCGTAATATTTTTGTATCCTCGATCTTATATTCACCCTTTTCAAGGTAGGGGACCTATCAATTTGGTGCACTAGACGGCGTCTTGATAATATCAGTGTCTTTTGTAATTTTCGGTGTGGGGTAGTGATGCACCGCCATCAGGTGAGTCAATTTAAGTAAATAGCGGTACCTGATGTCTTCATTAGTAAATATTTAGCTATTGTCTTCTCAACTTTGCACTTACATATCCACCAATCTTCACACACTTAATTAACCTGAAACAGCCTGAAATGACGTCAAATTAATCCCCCAAACAGCCCCGCTCCTTCCAACTGCAAAAATCTTGGTGGTTTGGTTCATATTATTTCTTAACTGCTTTACGTTTACCTATCCCTTGTACATACTCCAGTAGTCCATTTTGACGCACTACTTGCCACATGAAACCGGCAGCAAAAAAAAATCTTGGTCCCTTGCAGCCATACTTGTACGATGTCCCTGCAGAAGTGGTCCTGTTGTATATGGTTTCCACGCCAAGGAGAAAGTCGGCCAAGTTGTTGGGATCAATTGGGTTGGGAATGGTGGTGGGGGTCTGGCCAAGGTCCGATACTCCAAAGTCTGTACGTAATAAAAAAAAATATGTAAATATGTACAAATTACCAGAGAGCGGATATGTATTTACCAAGAATCCCTGAAATATATGTATTTAATATGTACAAAAAACAATAATTTTCGCATGTATTTTTTTGTAGTCCAATTGCTCTGATAAAAAATGTCGTCTCATATCCTCGAAATATATATTTGCAAAATATATGCATTTTTTAAATAAGTATACGACAATATGTATCCAAAAATATTTTGAAATTTTTGAAATCCATAAGGTGAAGGAGCACACGCACAAAGTTTAACCGTCGGTCGTCATCAAATGAAAACATAAATATGTGTATATCTGCTCTCTGCAAATTACTGTTCAATACCTATTTAACATGCAACTATGAGTTTAAAGCTAAACCTTGGACAACGGTGTCATTCTCTGATTTGATGTTGACGAAATAATGCCACTCTGCTCCGGTCCCTTTACTCATCGGACCACACCTCAACTGACCCATGGACGCATTTCCACCACCGCCCCCCGTCGCGTAATCCACTTTATAGGGGAGGCATGTCCCTCGTTCGGAAAACCTTGGCGAGACCTGATCCCCGCAACTCTTGCTGCTGCTGATGTCTTCTAAAGAACCACTCAAATGTGGACACGAGTCGTAAAGGACGGCACATTCGACGGGGTGATAACATGACAACATGGCCAGTTTGGGTCGATTCGTGGCAGTTCCGCAGCACGTGTACTCGTTCGTGTCGTCCTTGTAGGTGAGTTTGATGGTCTGGTCTTGCATTTCCTCTGCAGAACAAAATTTTAAAATGATCACGATTTAACGTAGAACTCGAATGACTCATCGTCAAAATCAGCATATTTTTAATCATATCTCGGCTCTGGGAATTTATTCTAAAATTCTGGACGACACATTTGTAGAGCAGGTCGTCGCCAATTAAAAAAATATACACTCCAGATTTTGACAGTTTTTGGAGGAGAAGTCCTCAAGTTTATGAATCCTTCAGAAAAATTGGAACTCATCGAAACTGGCTGAAAAACTCACCGCCATTCTATTGACTAACTTACTGACTTTTTTCCCAAAATTTTGAAATAAATTCCCAAAACCAAGAATTGATTTAAAATGTTATGATTTTGACGATTTTGCGATGTGCTATCGAGTCCTGCGTCAAATATGCGGTGAATGATTTGTACACTGAATTTTACCCGATTGGGCCAAGGACACCGTCCACCCATGCAATAGGGACCCTTGTGACACCGTAATGCAACTGATGAATGATCCCTCCTTCACATCACTGCTTTCGAAGGTGACAAAAGCTGTGAATCCAAAGTCTGCAGACGAGTTGATAGCATGCTGTACCCGACGAAATTTCTGGATCCGTCTGAACTTGAGAGTTATATTTTCCTTAGCGTGGCATGAAAATGTTGTGGCGTTGGATCCGTCCGAATTCAAAGTGACCGTTTCAGTGGAGGGTTGAACCAGGACTAATAAATCTATATGTTAAGTCCTCAAATTAATTAATAAACCTGGATATGTATTTTCGAAAAATCGCTGAAATAAGTTTAATATTTACGAAAGAAAAACGCCAAAATATTAAAGAAATATGTCGAACATCGAAATAAAATTTTCCCCAAAATTTGTATTCCTGTATTGCTCTAATTTTTTTTGTGGTCGAATTCCTTTGAGAAAAAATAAATTCGTCTCGTTTCGGTGAAATATTTACGAAATGTATGTGTTTTTGACAAAAATACTCGAATATTGCCTATTTTTTTAAATAATAGCGGAAACAAGTTTTTAACGAGTGAGGTACCTTTTTTGAGTGACAGTGTGACCTTGCCCGACCTCCGCTTCGTATTTCTGTCCTGACAGACAAAGAAAGCTGCGAGTGGAGCGTCCTGTTCCTCCATGAATTTAGCATTCAACGCAAAGCCGCTTGCTGGACGATACCATTTTATAAACTTGTCCTCAACCACGTCCCCCTTCTGCGAAATATAAATAATAAATACATAATTAGGATCTGCAATCTCGATGTATTGCTCATAATGAGAACAGAACCCGAAGAAGGGACACGTTCGCAGCAGGATCGGAAACTTGACATGGAATCAACATCTCTTGGCTGAGGTCAGACTCTATGTTGATGTCGGTCTGAAGGAGGAACACTTTAGGGCCTTGGATTCCAAAATATGCAAATTATTCATTCATTAATCTGCTAACTAAATTTAATAACTGCTAATTGGTGATGACCAACCAGGGACGAATAATTGAACAAAATCAAATACTCCGTCGTCGTCACTACCACCACCCAGTCCACGACAAGAGTATCGTCCCGAACTCGTCTCCGAGATGGGCATGAGGTTCAGCGAGCTGAGGTAGGAGTAGGTCGTCGTGTCGTTAAAGTCGTCATACTTTCGAGTGTCGTGAACTCGGACGTGCGGTGTCTGAAAAAAACATAGAACGATGTCACGAATGACACATACCAGTGGTCAACGACGCTGATAAGTCTCATTTTCTATCCCTTCAAAATTGACACGCTTCGCCGCTCTGCCGAAAAATCGCCAAAACTGGCGCCGCCGAGATATTGGGCGCCGTTGACCCCTGAAATATACCATAATCGCCATTTTTTAATGAATGTCTCTCACCCCTTGACCAGAATACTGCCACATGACAGGAAAATCGGCCGCACACTCGAGAACGATATTGTTCCGATAGAATTGCTGCACGTTTGGAGATAATTTTAACTCCTCGACGTTTATCACGACCGTATTTGGGATGGTTGGTTTGAGCTTGGTCGTGGTCATGGATTGGTCTGCGTAGGAAATGTGCAACACGCGGATGGTGGGACCTGTGGGGATCGACAATTTTCTTAATTTTGATGGTTCGGTCCTGTAAAATTGTTAAATTTTACGCTGTTCTCACCCGACTTGGGCTTGGGCGCAGTTAGAAAGAGCAGGGCAAAGACGACTGCTCCAAGAATGAGGAAAAACAGTGCAATTTTTGATCGATGTTCCAATTTGCTATCCATTTTTGTAAAGATGAGAATTTAAAATGAGACCAGTTCCATTTGTGGCATGTTCCAAGACGTTAGAGAAGACGACTAACATTTGTTCCCATACATGCAGTTATCGAATAACCACATTATCATTGCTGAAAAGGTACTAACTTTATTTACAAACTTTTTCTGTTGCAAACTTGTAGCGAATGGGCCAACTTCCTTCCGTCGCAAACTTTTACAAGTAAAGTACGCTGACGGAGTTACATATGTATTGGATTTGCATACAGTTTCTTCATTTGTGTTTTTATTGCCCAAGTTGCTTTCTCTTCTGGACTGGGGACGGATGTGATCAGGCTGAAACTTTGGCAATAAAATGACCAATTTTCTCCTCAGTCCCAATTAGCAACCTATTGTATGTACGTGTATGCGCACAGTGGTCGGAAGCCATTGGGGCATTAACATTGTAGGACAAGGGAGGGAGGGGTATATATGATATGGGCTGATGATAGGGACATCAAATAACCGTGCGGACATTGTCCCTCTGTCCCCACGCTTTCGCAAGCACTGCATGTGCCTTCCAACTATTTTCACGTGTATATTTACGACTAGGTTGGCTATAACTACTATGAAATAACTAGTATAAAACACGACTTTATGAACAACAATCTAAATCAGGTTAATATAGCCCGCTGCCGTTAACAATCTAATTGTCTGATCAAGCCAAATTAGGAAAGCAGAGAAAAAAAATCGGGGAAACACGGCATTGACTTTCCGGAATCAGTGATTATAATTATGGTGACAAAAACCAAAGCAAGCAAGCTAAAAAAACGTTACTCAACGTTTCAATAAATTGCACACATATATTTTCACCTTTAGAGTGCATTTGTCGAATATAATATTTAGTTCATTCAAGATTTTTTACAAATAAAAATTAGACAGTTTGATGTGTTCTTAGCAAATAACTTGACTGACACACTAAATAAGTATGTGTGCATATGTACCTGTAGGATGTACATAAATAAAGATAAGGTAACACCACATCCTATATGTACTTATGTATGCAGGTACATATGTGTATAGATATTTACACATTTTTGTACGTATATGTACTTAGCCGAGACAATGATGAGATTTTAAACGTATTGTATGTTTTCGTTTCGTAATTGCATGTTCAATTAAATATGTCCGAAGCAGTTCAAACCAACACAACATGTGATCATCAATAATAAATAATGACTCTTATCGCTTAGACTTCATAATCTTCCAAATTACCTGCTGCGTGGGGATTGAGCCAAGGATTTGTTACTTATCATGCACAGTAACAGAGCAGTCTCACGGTCTCGTGCATAAATTATTTGTTTGTGTGAGGATGTAAATTTCTACCTGGCATTAGTGTAATAATTTACCCATCTGAATTTGGAATCAAAATCGTTTCATAAAATGAGTCGGAAAGGGAAAGGACATAACACATGTAAATAATCTTAAATTAAATTCCTATAATTTTGATCAGAAGAGCAAAGGGCAGATATGTATTTATTTTGAACTTTTTCACTTAATAATGACCGACGGTCAAACGTTGTCATTTGTCGGTGTGTTCCCTAACTCGAATAGATCACAAAAGTTTTAAAATATTTGCTATTGTTCATTTTCTAGATTTTTAGACATATACATATTTAATTAATGTTTCCGCTGTTATTTAAAAAATACGTAAATATTTTGGATCTTTTTAAACGGTACGATATTTCAACGAGATGAGATAAAAAATTTCTTTTCTGATCAAAGAAATTCGACTACAAAAATCCAGAGTCAGAAATAAAAATTTTTGGAAAGTTTAGATTTTTGTCTTTTTTCGTACATTTTTACGTTTGGTTTATAAACATAAAGTACATTTTCAGCAATTTTTCGTAAATACATATCCGCCCTCTGGTCATAACGTAAAAATAACTAAACTTTAATATTTAAAATGAGTTTTTAGCCCGAACCAGGGCTTATGTAATTGTCATGTCCGTCTGTCTGTCTGTCTGTCTGTCTGTCTGTCTGTCTGTCTGTACGTCTGTCTTTCGATAACTCTCGAACGAGTTGACCGATTGACTTGAAATTTTTACCATATGCATATTGGACAAAGTTAGGGAACGAGTTCGAAGATGGGCGAAATCGGTCCAGTGGTTGACCGGTGGGGGTCATCGGAGTGGATGGGGTCTTATGCACCAAAATTTCAAAATTGTTATAGAGAGCTGAAATTTGGTACAGAGGTTGCTAATGGCTCCTAATGAAAGAATATGAAGTGAAATTGGAAAATTTGTCAACCGGAGGTACCCGAGGGGGTGACCCATACCGATTTTTCAAAATCGTCATATCGAGCTGAAATTTGGTACAGAGGTTGCTTATGGCCCCTAATGGAAGAATATGAAGTGAAATTGGAAAAATTTTCACATCCGGGACCCGTTGGGGTCACCCATACCGATTTTTATAGCTTGTCGCAAAAAGCTGAAATTCGGAATGGTGATACTTCATGGCTTCTCATGAAATTATATGAAGTCAAAGAGGAACAAAAAGTAACCAGAGGGGTACTAAATAAGGGGTACCCATACCGATTTCTAAGAGTTTATATATTCAGATACAATTTAGTGTGGAGTCGAAAAATAACTTAGGATTAGAATATAGGAGGGTTGAATTTCGAAATTTTTATACGAACAGCCTCTACTGCTCGTGGTATTTGGTTTGGTGCCAAGTTATGCTCCCAAGTGACGTTACTTAATGCAAGAATTAGTGAAAAATAGTATAACATTCTGACACACATGGGTTTACTAATTAATCCTGGTTCGGGCTGAGCAAAGCTGTACTGATAGGTTTTAATATATTAAAATATATATAAATTACCTTTATTTTTACCTTTAAATATATTAAAGTTTTTTTAAACTTTAATATATTTGCATATGACTAAATCCAGTGACGAATTTGCATCGGGTGAGCGTGAGTCAGGACACGGAACTATCTTTACTTCCACCTTCAGCAGAACAAGTAAAACTGCCCCTCACGCCCGGCTCAGATTTTGACTTTGACGGTCACACCTCCAACTTTGTGTTTCCTCTCCACAACGCGGCGAAAAATGGGAATTTGTGTGAACTTACGGCGTTACTCGCCCTTCCGGGGTCCAATCCGTTCAAGCAAGATTTCAAAGGGAGGACCCCGCTCCATTACGCGGCCGTGTTTGGAAACCAGAAAACTGCGCTTCTCATGGTCACAGAAATCCTGAATAGCGGAGTGATTGTTAATGCAGTGAATGTAGATCATGATCGAAGTATATTAATCAACGTGCAAGACGCCAATGGCGAAACGGCGGTACATTTAGGTGCGAAAACTGGACATCGAAAAATTGTCCAGCTACTTTTATTCTCAGCGGCGGACGTTAATATTAAGTATGACATACAATCATTATAAAATTGACAATATGAAAGTGATTCCGTCACTTATTTACATGATATTGTTATTTTTTAGGTGCAAGAATGGCGTGGAACCCATCGAACTTATTTACGCTAACGTTCCCCAAGCCATGTGTGCAGTATTTGACACTGCAATTCGGTACAAAAGTGGTGAGATTGAGGACGACAACTTTGACTTGTTGCTAGATTTTGGGTATGTGCGCATTTAAAGATGACTGATAGTTGAGGTCTCCCAGCGTATGCTCTACGATTTTGAGCAAATTAGTGTCAGTCGATCACAAGTTTAATTAATATGAAATTTGCAAAATACACAATCTATCCCAATGTTCAAGTTTCGCAGAGATATTTGCATCCAAAGAGGAGAAAGTCGACAATTTTTTTACACTTTCCACATTTACTGCGCTTTTTATCCTCTTCGGATGCAAATATTTCTGTCAAGCCTGCGCATTTGGAGATCGTGTCATTTGTCGTGTCAAATTTCGTACTAATTAAATTTATGATATCGATTTGCACAAGTTTTGTCAAAGCATGCATACACTGGGAGACCTTCATTGTTAGTAAGAACAAGCTTTGTGAATGACTTAGGGCAATTGTTGGATATCCTGACGAACAAGAACAACAAGATCCATTCTCTCTGCTTGAGTCTGAATTGCTGGCTTACGCCCTGAAAAATTCTGCGTCGAGATGCAAGGAAATCCTGGTCCACCCACTCGTTCGCCTCTTCCTCCACTTCAAGTGGAATAAGGTTCGTCCCTTCTTCTGGGCTTCGATCGTGATCCACACCCTCTGGCTCCTCGTCTTCTCCACCTTCTTACTCGACCTGTATCTTCATCGCTGTCCCTACATCCGAACTAACAACACCTCGACCCTCGACGATAATAATGACTCATCATCCAACAATTTTGAACTTGAAAGTCTAGAAGGTGATTTTTTACTTTGTAAATATTTTGAACAACTTGGAGTCATCTTGGAGTTGATCGTCAAAGTCAGCACATTTTTACAGAGTAGTTGGTAGTAGTTTTTACTGAGTTCTGTAGTTATATTTTTCAGTTTTGGGAATTTATTTTAAAATTCTGGGCGACAAATTTAGTCAGTAAGTTGATGCAAAAAGTGGCATTGAGTTTTTTAAGTCAGCTTCGATGAGCTCAAATTTTTCTGAAGGGTTCTTAAATTTGAAATCTCTCCTTCAAAAACTGTAAAAATCTGGAATGTACATATATTTTTAAAAAATTCGCAACGATCTCCTCTATAAATGTTTCGTTAAGAATTTTAAAATAAATTCTCAGAGCCGAGAAATGATTAAAAATGTACAAATTTTGTCTATTTTGACGATGACATCTAGCTCTACGTTAAAAAATGACCGTTTGTTTACCAAATTCAGGAGTAAACTGTGCTGGTGACGACATTAACGTAAACTTGGCGTGGCTAGCGTCATTAATATCAATTGTGATGGGATTGAAAGAACTCTACCAACTCTTCTCTGTGCCGACCTTCTTGTACTATTTTAGCAAACTGGAGAACCTGGGTCAACTCTTGCTCATTGTTATCGTTGCCCTCACCACGCTCCCCGTGTGGACTTATCTCTTGGGGAGTAGACCCAGCGTAACAATTCAGCCTTGGCAGTACCAAGCTGCTGCGGTGAGTGAGTCCGCACCTCGAAATGGCAAATTTCTCTTGAGGAAAATATATATTAGCTAAATGTTTATTCTTTGTGCCAATTAAAGTTTGGAATTTTCTTGGCATGGACGCTAATTTTGGGTCAGATTGGAAAAACTCCGAGATTAGGTCTTTACGTAGAAATACTTCTTCAGGTGCGTACATTCAAATTAAGTTGAAAATTTTGGGATCCTATATTTTAAATTTTGATCACCAGGTCTTGAAGAGTTTTGGTCTCTTTGTGCTCACCTTTACATCACTGCTGACCGCATTCGCACTCTCATTTAGCATCCTCATGCCACAGGTTTGTTCTTTTCGCCATTTGTTAATTTTTGTCCTAAATGAATATGTACATAAATAAACCTTTTTGCAGAGCAAATCATTTTCGAGCTGGCCCCTCGCCCTGTCCAAAGTGCTCATCATGATGACGGGGGAGCTAAACTATGACGAAATATTTTACAACGGCGACGACGGGGATCAGCCGATTCCATTCCGAACCACGGGTCACATCCTGTTCGCTCTCTTTGTCGTGATCGTGACCATAATTCTGTTCAATTTGCTGATTGGGTTGACCGTGAGTGACATCCAGGTAAGGGAAATACTTTTGTAGGCCGTATGCATAGTCTCAAGTGTGCATGCGCAGGGGTAAGATCAGGGCCTGCAAGTGGGGGCGAACGCTTCCCTCTTGTCCAGCCAACTGGAGCAAATCTTCCTCATGGAGTCGTTCCTCTTCTCGCGACATATTCGACACATCTTCAAATTTCTCAGACTGAATCCCAACTTGGTCAGAAGATTTCAAATTGCGGACATTGAGAAGGATGAATTGTGAGTGACTGCTATTATCACAAAGCGGATATGTGTAATATGTACATACATAATGTATTTATGAATAATCCCTAAAATATTTATTTAATATTTATGAAAAAAACGCCAAAATATTTACGAAATATGTACGAAAAACTATAAAAATAAGAATTTTCGTAAGATTTGTATTTTTGAATTAATGCTCTGAATTTTTTGTGGTCCGATTTCTCGGAGCAAAAAAAATCATCTCATGTCGTTGAAATATTTACAAAATGTTTACGTATTTTGAAAAATATGTAAAAGATTTTAGAATTAGAGTTATCCGACATGATTTTAGTATTTTTCAAATCATAGCAAAAATATTTATGTCTGAAAACCATACGTAACACATGTGACAAGATGTGAAAATACATATTTTTAATTTTTTTGGTCTATGCAAGTTAGGGAACATACCCACAAAGTTTGACCGTTGGTCATCATCAAAGTGACGGTTCATAAATTATGTCACGCGAGAGGGGGGTCCAAGGCTCCAATGATATCGTGCCTATGTGACACATGTTAAAGGGGGAGGGGGGGGGTTCTAGAAAATCGTGATTTTTGCGTGACATTTATGGATCTCCCCAAATGAAAAAGTTTAAAATAAATGCATATCCGCCGTCTGGTTATTATGGATAATACAAGTGACTGAATGCGCAAGTAAATAATTTTCAAAATTTTATCTTGATCAGGTTTGGAGTGATCTGTCCGATACGAAAAGTGCCAAAAGAGTTGCGGAGCGAGGTGAAGGAGCTGGCGATGCAGAATATGATTGGAGAAGGGGGTGGTGGGGACTGCACGAGCAATGCGGGCGACGATCCGAGTATCAAAGCAGAAAACTTGAAGGTTATCATTAAGGACGTGCTGCTGCAAGTTCTTCAAGAACATTTTAATCGAGAAACTCCGAAAAGTTGATGATTCATACAATGAATTTCATATGTATTCATACCGTTTTTATAATCAGGTTTTTATAAAATTTCAAAATTTCATAGAAAATGACTTATTTAGAAAAACCATCATTGTTTTAATTTCTATAATTTAATAAAAGTTTGTATAATAGTCAATTTACACAACAATAAATCAATAAACACGGGTTATGGCGATAGGTGTCGTCTTGCGACATGTCGACTACACCAAGGACGATGAATGTCGAAAATTCATACAAATCGGATGAAAATGACAAAATCATGAAATGCCGACGAGGCCATACCGTAGCACGGTCAGGCAACACAAAGAGGACGTGGTCGATTTGACGAGGTAAATTTTATGACAATCGATCGCATGCTGTATGTACGACCCCTTTCGATATAAAATTTGATATTTTTTAAAATTTGAATGCAATAAAGTATATTTTTATTCAAGGGCAAAGCTAATTAAATAAATTTGCACAAAAGGGTAAAGATAGACGACAAGAGGATGGTCCTTGCAGGGCGTCACTATCGACTTGGTCGACACGTTCCTGGCGGGTAGCCACTGATCTGGCACCGCAATCCAGCACAGCAACTGCCAAAGCTGACACCGGCGTAACTTCCGCAACGCCCGCCTTAATAGGAATTTATAACAAAAGTAAAACCATCAGTACAATTTCTGACATCCCGAGTCAGTAAGGTTTTGACCTGCATTGTTGTTCATTAAAACGGAGGTTTTTCCAAACTAACGGATATTTCTCATTTTCGAAATCTACGCCTGATTAGGGTTCTACAATGTCCGTGTCAAGAAGTGCTTGTCAGGACATGTCATATTTGTCATAAATGTCTGACATTGACATTATTAAAAAAATCGAGATTTCAAAAAAGTTGAGATTGCTATAGGATATGATCACATAAGTACCTGGAATCACAAAAATGTAAATTTTATCAAAATCCGAGCAAAATTCGATTTTTGGTGACAGTTGAAGCACATGATAGCAGGACTTTTTTCGTGTTTTTGGCGCCTGTGAGGGGGTGTGGCGGGCGCAAATGGGGCCATGGAATTAAACCATTTCAGGGTTTTAATAGACTCGTAGGGTACTCCAACATATGCAAAGGGCATCAAGATTGAGAATGACATATAGATGAACTCCCCTCTCAAGTAATTAACAAGTTATTTTTTTGAACACTAATGAAGCACAGTTGAAATGTGCACAGATTTAATGCAGCGGGGAAATTGAGTCAGTACTAAAAAATCTATGAAAATGTCATAAATGTCATTAATGTCGCGACATTTATGACATTTTTCGTATATGTCAGTTTGTCATAAATGTCTGACATTGACACAATCGATAAATGTCTGACATTTATGACATTTGACATTTATGACGGACAAATATGACACGACAAATATGACATGTAGAACCCTACGCCTGATTATGGTCGGGGAATTAAAATTAAGCATATTGTTATATGTCCTTATGCAGAAATGTGCTTAATTATAATTCCTCGACCATAAATGCATTAAGTAAAAAATGAAATTTAAATTGGCAATTTTTTGAGAAAATGTTAATTTAAACTATGCAGATAAAATTATGATAGGGACGACCACTAAAACTTTTCTCTGGCGGAATTTGTGCAGCTCTGAATTTGTCATATTTTAAGTGCACCCAAAATTGCAAAGTGAAGAAGAAATGCAGATTCAATGACAGTCGGCATTCATCTCCGACTCGGGCTAAAAATGTTCAGATGGATACGAACCTGAACCGCTGCAGGAACTACTGCATACTCCAGGTGGATACCCAGAAATGACACACGAACCACCACAACAGGTACCGAAGTTAACACCAGCATAACTGCCGCACCGACCCCCTGCAAGTAAATGTGTTACGCTTATGCTAGTCCGTACAAAACAATTCTAAAAGTCTGTAATTACCGGGGCCACTGCATCCAGACGAAGAATCTAAGATCGACATAAAGCAAATGACAAGTACGAGAAACAATATGCTGTACTTCGCCATTGTGAATTGTTATTGGCAAGATTGCTGTTTAAAAGAAATTCGGGAAGCCTAGGATTTGCATCCTTTTATTGGCTTTTATATCAAATAATGAACCAAACTGATAATGATTTTGACATGATTGCATTGTCCGAGTTTAATTGGATTCCAAAATTCACCGAAAATTGAGGGCTACTTAAACTTTTCACTGAATCCTCAAACAACTACGCAATACTACTAAACCCTTACAATGAAATCCAAACAAGGGGTAAAAGTTTTACCACTTGTGTAGTTCTTTGCAGATTCAGTGAAAAGTGGTTTTCAATTTTCGTTGAATGTTGGAATGTTGAATGTTATAGTTAAACTCAACCGAATGGACAATATTGTCATGCATTCTGGTCATTATATCAACCTATCAAAATCCTTATCAATTTGGTCCATTAATTAATCTAAAAGGATGCAAATCCCAAACTACTTTGAAAAATACTGCAATCTTGCCATACAAATTCACCTTTCAAGAGAGATCTTAGATTTTTGTCTGGATGCAGTGGCCCCAGTAATCAAAGACTATGTCCCTCAAGGTTTCAGGAACATGGCTTATGCACATACGTATATTACCCTAGAGAACGCACGTTACTTGAAGAGGGACGTTTCAATTGGTCTGGATATCCCATAATTTGGACGCACTCGGCCATACTTTTTTATTTGCATTCTAAATTAGCCCAAATGACAAAATTCAATTTTTCGACCCCTTCCACACGGTCACGAGGTCAGCTAACGTTGAACAGACTGAAAAGCCATTCCCATAAAAGGATTTCCACCCCTTAAAGAGGTATGCATATTAAGGGGTTAAAGCCCTTTATAAGATCGTTATGTCGGTCTGTGTGTCCATTGGTCTGATAACTTTTAAACGGAAAGACTTGAAATTTTGAGCGTAAACTCCTAACGTCAAGCGACAGAACGAGTTCGAAGATGGACTCTGTAGGTTACACTCTATTATTATCTTATTCCATGGTCACACCCTTCAAGGTCAAAAAAGTTACGAAATGTCATTTAATGGTTAATTTAACAGAAATTTAACCCCGAATTCAATGGTGACCTCCATTGACCTCCAAGGTCACAAAAAAGTCAACAAATCGTAAACTGTCACAAATGTCGAAACAAGTTAGACGTTTGTCAATTTTAACGTTTTGAACACTGCATACAATTTTGACCTCAGCTCAATGACCGTGTTAAAAAAGTTTGAACGGGTAAAAACAAAATGATATTACTTTTAACGTATTCGACACTTTTTTCATCCCTTGGGTACATTAGTTGTAAAGGTTTATTTAGTTCTACTTTTATTACACACGTCAAGTGTACATATTTCGTAGTAGGAGCATCGCAGAAGGTCAAGAGTTACATTTCATGACCAAAAATTGCCTAATACCATGCGAACTACGAACCAGTCTGCCAATAAGTACATAAACCACTAACTTGCGAATTTGTGATGCATATTTCACACAACAAACTGCTCAATTTTATGCATTAGAATTTGTCTTCTTGCATATTAATATCTGCAATTTATGCACAATTAATGGTCACACAGCATGCAACATTTAACTCTCAAACAAACAAGTATTCCAAATCTTGAAAAATTTGTGTCACTCTAAAAAAAGCAAAGGTAAGTAGGTAAATGCCAAGCGAAATATTTATTGCCCAATTTGCTTTCATATTCTCACACACGTTAAATTTTAGTAAAATTACACCTGACACACTGGGAAAATGCGCAAGCAATCCAATTTAAATCTCGCATTTCTCACACATTTGCAAATTACAAGTTCACAAGTTTTTATGAAATCATAATATCCGTTCAATTTTTTTAGCAAAAAAATCTGAATTTATAAATACGTTACAATGTAATTGTTCAGTTAGAGTTAATTGATTTGTGAGACATATGCACATTTTGTCATTGCCAATAATAGGCTCAGACGGCAGGAGGCGAGGTGAGACATTAACATTTAACCACAATTGAAGCAAAGCAATTGGTTTCGTTAACGAGGAAAAAAGTGTCGAAATTCACGTGTAAACTTGTCATTGTGCTTTGGGCATTTAAATTATGTCGTATTTAATGTCAAAGTACAACGACAACATAAAAACTGTTAGCGTAACTTTTACTGTTGGGCACAAATGTTAAAATTATAAAATTAGGCTGTTGTGCCCCCAACGTTTACGTTTGAATACGCAATTCCTCGCCTGTAACAAAGGCATGCAACCTTCACCACTTTAAAAAGCTTGCATGGATCAAGTTCTCGCGAAATTGCGAAATTAAACTAATTCTAAAAAGGAGTAAAACCTAGATCAGTGCAGCACTGCACGAGACCCAACTCAATAAGTAAGAATCCAGGTGGGTTCTTACCTTACTTATTGAGTTGTTGGTTGATGGGGTGTGATATTTTATTATCACATCAACAATTGGATTGCATTATTATATAGAATACTGTGTGGTTGGTTGGTTGGATGGTGATTGAATTTGAAAGCGACTGAACAAAAAGAGGCTGAATTTATGCAACCCTCGACAAAATGTTGCAAAATCCTGGCTCGTTTTTTATGCATTTATTGGCAGGCAAGGCGACAGTGGTCCCCCCATTTGGCTTTATCCGATCTGGGTAAAATTATAGGGCAAACTAGGAATGATATTGCAAATTATGGACTAAAAATAAGTAATCAAGCGACTTTGAGATTTTGGTTTGCCGTAACAAAAGTTGAGAGACAATCATTTATAAAAAAGGGACGCTGTACAATGCAACTGGTTCCCACAGATGAGTAATGCGAGTGCAAATACTGCATGAAATTGTGTACATACATTTTATTGTGCAAATGATGATTGCTATACCACGATTGGTACACATTTGGTTCGATAAGGATCGATGCGTGTATGTATAATAAGTATGTGCTATGCTATAAGTGTAAATGAAAGTCAAGTCCAACCCAATAACCAAACAAAGTGAGTGATGCATTATTTAGTTAACATTGAAATTTGAAGAGGTGTTTGTTATGCAAAGTCTGATTTCGTGATTTTATTTAGATATTTGCAATTAATTACTATGAATCTTGTGCATATATCGACACGCACACCCGGAGATTATGCACTTTTTTTGCAGTTTGCGAATATGTTCACGATAAGTAATAAGTAGTTATCATGAACAAATTCGCCAAATAATCGCAAAAAATTGGTATACCTATTTTTGCCATTGTACAACAAAATTTGGTCCCACCAAAAACAAGGTTGGAATGATATCCGACTCTTTTTAGAACCACAACATCCGATGGAAGTGAACAAAACATTGCGTAATTCAATTGTTACTTACATATCTAAAATATCGTATTATTAGCATTGACCCCAAAAACATCTCGAAATGTGTGTAATGCAGATTTGATCGTATAGCTCGATAGGATCGAAATTGGGCCACCACAAGTCGCCTTATATTAAATATATTATGTAGTTATACTTATTTAGTTAGTTGCCTCTCACACTTCATTTCACTTTTAGTTAGATGATGATGAAGGCTCGTGTCGTGTCGTTTATTGCTAAACTTTGTTACATGCAAATCCTCAAATTCAAGGGCCTTTTCTATTTACAAGTCCAAAATTGTTGTCTCTCTAAACCTTCACGAGGCAGCAAGCAGTTAAGTCACTGCTTGCATGAGCGAAATGCAGTAGTGATAATAATTGTAAATAGCAGGCAATCTTGTTATCAATAAGTTCATGCTTATCCGTTCAGGTTGATTCATCGTTTTACTGACTGATTGAAGTGATCTTCACATTTTACGATTCTCATTTTACGATTCCAGTTTTATGTCGAAATCGTATCACTGTGTGTGTTCGTGTCGTCGACGTCGTCGGATTATGAAATTTTTTTAAATGATCAACCAGAAATTATTGCATACCACATCATCATCATCATCATCGTCAATCAGCAGCGTCTCTAGTGTCCGGACTTTGTTCTCCAAAATGCGACCAGTGAGAAATAAGACGAGAATGGAAATAGCCATCCACTTTATTCCTTCTCTGACACGAAGAGGAATCAACATCTGCTCCTCCTAACTTTCGTGGATAATTAATTATATTTTTAAAATTTAAAAGTTTTGGTTAAAATTTGTTCAATTTATCGTCATCGTTTGGACTTGGATCAGTTTGGTAAGTAAGAAAATAGGTTAATTTCTAATCTTTTTTTGTCCACACGATCCCCTCGTGTCCGATAGCTGACTTTTGAAATGTAAATATGTGTTTAATTTAGTAATGAATGATTGATTAAAGTTCAGTCGACTCGTGGGATGAATCATCACGTATCATTTATTATAGTTCATCGCCAGTTCAGTATGTGGTCAAAATTGTTGCATTAATTACTTACTATATAGCGAGCCACACTTTGAATGTGTGGTCTGGTCCTGGTCTAACTACTGATGATGATGTGAATGAGTTTAAAAGTTGAATGGAGTTAGTATAATGGTGGTTAAAGTAGTTTAGTTGTTGGGCTAAAGGTCAAGTCTACTACGGTTGCTTCATAATATGTATAACTTTTTATTCAGTAAGCACTGTTTGGCAATAACTTTATTAAGTTCAACGCGCAATAAAGTATAGTAAAAAGTAAAGGGGGTGGTGGATTGACAGAAAGATAAATTGTGCAGCAGCAGCGATGGCGAGGTGGTGATAATTGTGTCAAAAGTTTTGTAATTTTTGCCCGTAATTTGGCAATCGGTAATAACACTCAAGCCAATCCACTTGCATAATAAATAACCTAAACCTCCGGTTGATGGTACATATACACAAGTACGTTGGCTGTCTGGATGGACTGGATGATGGGCGAAACTTTTATGTCGAAAGTTAATTAATTTGTGAGACAAGTTAAGCGAGCGATGATGAATGATAAGGGATGGTGAAATCTGGCCAATTTGTATATGTGTGGGTCATCAAGTGGCTGGATTCCACTTTTCATGCTTTTTCTTATCATCATCGACGTTTCAAATACATTTATTTCCCGAAAATTATGTTCTCGGTAAAATAGTTGCGTCATAAAATTATTTACGTAGCAGAGCAGAAATTGATTTGAAATCTGACTGAAATCAGGCATCCGAGAAGTTCTTAAGGTGTGATCCCAGCTAGAATAGTTTTAAAGCAAATGTAATATATGTAAAGGCTTGTTTTGTTTTGAATGGCAGCAACTACGCTATAATTGCAACAGTTACGTCAAGTCAAGGTGATATTGCACTTTGATTTCTTAATCACTTCACCTCCATTATTATCACACACCAACCACACAGTCTTCGAGTCACAGCAGGCCAAGCCAGTTGAAGACTACGAAGACTATTTATATTTAATTTAACGCACCTCTCTCTCTCTCCCTCTAAAATGGGTAGTATAGCACTATTTTCATTATAAATTGTGTGTGATGTGTGTGTGTGTACTTTACGTTATGCTGCGTTGAAAAATGTAATAATAATTGCACAGATATTTACGGAGCCCTTGGCTTGCACAAAATTGCATCGCAATCTGCTGCATATTGCAATAATATCATCATATCAAATCCCACGCCACACCACGCCACACACATTCACGTTCACTAAATATATTACATTACAACTCCAATAATTGATCCTATACAGCTCCACACAATGCAATGCAATTCTTCCCATCATTATAAGGAACGCAGCAGCAGTATCATCATCGTCATATGACCATTATTATATCACAACCCTTTTTTGCAACACTTTTTTCATAGGAGAGAAGAATGGCAATGATGATATTGAAATCAAGTTGTGAAGTTCACTGCAATTAGGCTGGCTGGGTTTGGGTGATGCCACTACTACTGCGCTGGGTAGACATGTTACGTTATAATTGCAATATTTGTGTGTGCGAATATCTTGGAGATTTAGGTAGACTGTTCTGATTACAAAAGTTATTTGTAGGTCTACTTTAGTTTGTGCATGGGGAGATTATGTGGAGGGGTAAAAGAAATCAGGACAAGTGCAAGATTGTCATAGCTAGCATTGAAATTTTAAGGAGGAGGGTTATGATTATCATTATTATGTGATTATCAGTCAAGTGGTTGCTGTTGGAGGGGAAGGTTGCATTTATTGTGATATGTGTAAGAGTTATGTTTTAGTCTAGTGATTAAGTGTTTGTTTGTGTTTTATGCTGACACTGACTTTTTCTCTGTGATTTGGAAAGGAGGACTTAATTTTGGAACTTACTTACTTTGGGTGTGGTGAAGAACGGATATCAAAAAACGAGGCGGATAAGCAGCAGGCAAAATAATGTTGAAACTGCCAAAACTCCGTCGAAGCCATCGTCATATTCCGGAGGGGTTTCATTTCTTACTGGAAGGACAACCCCACCCTTTACTCATTCCGTCGGTATGGACATGCATATTTTATGCAGACATGGCATGAATAATTCGAGTTTATAACAATGTAAATTATAAATTTAGATAATCGAGGAAGTCGCCTCCTACCTGACCTTACCCGATCTCAAGACATTTCGCCAAGTGTGTAAATCCTGGGAGAATGAGTCGACAAAGAAGATTCTTCACATCTCAAAAGTTGTCATCGTTGATGAGGAAGGGCTCGTCAAGTTCACCAAACTTTGTCACCACATTACGCCAAAGTCGAGACAAAACATGAATTACGAACTTCGTGGAGACATTGATCTGGGATCTCTCAGTGCTACAAAGTTTTTCAAAGTGTTTGGTGAACGGATAGAATTTATCTATCTCAATCGAGTCAGATGGACGGATGGTGAACTAAAGTGCATTCTTTTCACTCGCCTCCCAAACCTGCATACGTTCGCCGTGGAAGCTAGAGCGTACTCGGATCGTCGTTTATTTGTTGACGACCGATATGAAGTACTCCCCAATATCAAGGTGTTAAAGTTAAACGTGTTCTCATTTATCACGGAGTTGACAACCCCATTTTTACGGGATCTACTTAAAGCGTGTCCGAATTTGGAGACGCTGTCCAGTATCCGAACCGAGAAAAGAAACCATCTCCCCATGCAGTTTATCCAGTACGTGTGCCAAGAGATGAGTTATGACACGGCGGATGATGTGGTGAACATGCCGTATAATGCGGACATTGCGATCGCTGAGGCACTAATTGACACGAAGGATGTTAGTTTGCCAAAGTTAAAAATTTTGGACACGAATATGCGCCTACGAGGGCCTGGACTACAACAGTTGGGTCTCAAAATGTTCCCCATTAAACAGTTGGACTTGACCTTGCTGAGTGATGTGGGTACTCGCGCGTTGCAAGATGTGTTGACCAGTTTGGAAAATAGTTTGCAAATTTTGAAACTGAAATTTCATCCGAGATGTCACGCAGCAGATGAGTTGGAAGCCATTCCACCCTTGAAAAATCTCACTCACCTCACGCTAAATGGGTATCGAAATTCCTTAAAATTTTTGGAAATCCTGCCCGCCTTAAAATTTCTCTGCTTGGTGCGACTCCGGTTCAGCAAATCCATTTCGGATAAGAGTATTGCAATCCAAGGACGAGGAGGAAAATTAGGCTCGAAAGTGGAGTGTTTAGAAGTGCATGAAGATTTTTCCAGAAAGTGTACAAAGACAGAAATTGCCACAATGAAACGCTTGTTCCCTGACCTCAAACGGTTAAAACTGGAAAACTTGACGGACGACGGGCTGAGTGCAATTTTTATGAGTTACCCTCACCTGGAAGGGTTGGATGGGATGAATGGGTGTTACTCAGATTCTGGGATTTTGGGGGGTGACGTACCCACACTTGAATGCGACGTTTTGAACGATGGAGGATGTGATGATTACGACAATAATATGGAAGGCGAGAGTGATGAAAGCTATGCCTGTCATTATCCTCGCTTGCCTTCAATTTCGGATTTAAAAGGTAACGAATATTATTATCATGTGCATATATCGATATGTTAATAATGTTAACTAATCCGTCAATTTATCTCGTACAGAATTGCGCAGCCTATCTCTCGCATCGCCAAATCTGACAGACAAATCCATCATTCATGGCGTAGTGCATTGTCGCAACCTTAGAAAACTGCACTTGCTCTCCAGTTGTGTAAGTAACCAAAGTGGAATTAATCTTCAAGTTGACCAGCGGTAGCCCGTCGAGATTTAGAATTGCAACTTTTTTTTCTTTTAGATTACTGACTCATCGATCTTAAGAATCCTGGACGAACTTGATCTCTTCAACTTTAAAACAGAGTACTGTTTCCAAGTGTCAAAGCAAACTGTAGACTACGCTAAGAAAAAAATGAGGGGTAGACAAGTTAGCATTAATGAATATGGGGGGCCACTCAAGCAGAGGTGAGGAATTTTCATATTACAAATAAATACACACATACGCGCTCGATTAATATAATTCCAGACTGATAATTCTTGCAATTGATTACAGCGAAATTCCAAACTTTATGCGACGGAATGGATCCTCTTATGTCCTCATGAAGAAAATTGAACCCCAAGAAATGATCTTACCACAACGGTGACGCCGTTATAAATTTAGCCGTTATAAATTTAGCCGTATAAAAACTTATAACTGAATGGTCTCGAATCTAGCTAAACAATAATTATTATGATTATTATTAGTGCATCGTGATTTTTTTACGTGTTCAGTCAACTAATTCAGCAGCCTTTAACAATTATTACTACATAGTACATACATACGTCATGTCATGATACGCCATGTTCCAATCAAACTATGCAAATTATCGTGCCCACCTTCAACAAAACTGTTATTCTTACAACATCGCATGTAATTTCTTAGCCTTATTAGTGTTAGTGTTATAATGTGGTATATGTAACCCATAGGGTTTAGTTTATATTGGTATGATGAGTTTTTTTATACGAGTTGTTGCTTGTTGTAATCTTGTGATAACTATTCAACTAATTTTATTTTTTAGACTTTCGGGTGTAGACAGTACGGGTTATGGTTTTTGGTAATGGTTTATGTCGGTCAAAGGTTATAGAATTAATTATTATATTGTTATAATCAGAACAGAATCAATTTTTGTACAAATGGTAATTATAGAAAGCTTTATGAAATCCACGCTTATTGCGTTATATTTATCTCATCCGTTAATTTCAAAATTTAGTCAGCAAAAAAATGTCCCGTAATTACGAGTTGCAATATTATTGATTATGATATATTTTCCTAAAAAAACTGTGATTGTTTTCAAAGAAAAGGTCTAACTAAACATATTTGTGTTTTCATGATTGGTTGATGTAATAATGTTTTAAAATTATATAACGTCGTGGTCGATTATGTGCCTTTGTTGGTTTTGTTTGTGTATTCAAATAAATTCAGATGTACTTAATTACTGATGATCATGATCTAGCCTTTATTTCATGCATTTTATTTTCTTGACCAAAAAATCTCAAAATTCTCGTCTCAAAGTAAACTCTGGTGAGCGGATTTGTCAGCTCAATCTGCAGCTGCTGATTTGGTTTCTGGTTATGTGTGATTTGTTATTATTTTTGTAAACTTTACAAAAAATGTCAATATTATAATATCAAGTAACAGAATAGTGATTGTTTTCAGTTTGCTGGACAGAGAACAAAATGTCGTGTTCGTATTGTCGAGCACCTGTAAACGCGAAGAAACAGTTGGATAGTTTACGAAAAGAGGCGAAATTTTGGAAGGACAAGTCATTTATTGAGAAAAAGGCGAAATATTCCTTGGCCCAATGGGTCCTGGGTGTTTTTGGTAATGATAAGACCAATTCGTTTCGATAAGTGATAATTTAATCACGAGAACTATGAACTACGTAGAATCAATTTCCAATTAGACAAAATAGACCAAATAGACATTTAAATTTGTATTTTGTTTGCACAGGTTTCGCCGTGAAGGTCGAAGTGGACAAGGAATCATTAGGACTTCGAGTGGAGGGGAAAGAAAATAAGGAGGCAATCGCACAAGCCATCATTCATACTGGATCCGACGTAAATTACCAAGCATTTCTTATTTAAATTTAGATAATAACATGTCCCATCCACTTTAAATGAATTGTCGAATGAAATTTGAAATTAACCATTAAAACCAATTAAATGATAGGCCATTTTTCTATAATTAGATTGAACCGCATTGAACCGCATGGTTTTGAAATTGAATTTAATCTTGACAGGCCATTTTTCTCTTGGAAGATCGCATGGGATCGGAAGACTTTATCGAAGATGCGGAAGAATTGGCTGCGTTGAACATTGCTTTATCCGCCGAGGCGGATAACCAGGAAGAAGAAGGTGGCGAAACAAGTCAACCTACCAAATCTAAGGATGGCGTTTCCAATAATGAGACTGATAACCAACAACGAGATACTCAAGTTATTTTCGACATTTTACGAAATTGTGACAACTCTGATGGACGTGGGGGAGGCAACACTTCTGGCGTACAGCAGTCTTCTTCTTCATCCTCCTCGCCTTCCTTCATTTTTATAAAATCGGATGGACATGAGGGGATTCAGTTAGATTGCAGTCAACTCTTACAGGGAGAATTCAATTCCAATGGGAGTGGTGGTAGCACTAAAAATTCGACAACAACTGTGAATTACATTATTCCTGACAACTCTCAACAACATGTATTGTATAGGATTGCTTCTTCCCCAACGAGTGAGTCTGAGTCGTCATTATTTATATGCGACATATTTGTCCTCGATGATTGTCGCTAATTAATAATGTTTGGTTTATAGCCAACAATGAATTGATGTCGTCCAGCAATGACAAAAATACTTACGTGATCAATTCAAACACTAAAGGAAAACCTCTCAAGCAGTACGCTCCTCCTAATAAAAAGACTAAGCTGGCCGTTGGTGGGCAATCTTCGACAAGCAATTCTCAACCTCCTCCCACTACTCTTACCTCAAAGGTCAACGAGGATAAGGCGGCGACGTCTACGACGTCGGATAAGCTACCCTCCTCTGAGTTTGGTCTCACTCTGAGAGAAAGAGCAGAAATTTACGTTCACTCGATGGCCATGAAGGGGATTCAAAAGACAAGTCAGGGGTCGTATACTTGCACCGAATGCAACTTTGGATATTCTTTCACCTCCGTGGAGAATGCGTTGACTCACACAAAGACTCATTTTGAAGGGAAGCCCTACAAGTGTAACTACTGCACAGAGACGTTTGCAATTCAAAAGGACTTTCTACAACACCGGAAAGTACACCATTCGAAAAAACCTACTAATAGCAATACGAACAACGATAATAATTTTAAAGTTCCACTGCCTCCTTCTCCAACCAAGCAGCCTCTCACCTTTAGCACGCCCACGACAACAACCCCTCTCACCCCCAGCACCACCACCACCAAGAAACCCGTGTTCTTATCTCCTAGGAATCTTCCTTCCATGGTCCGTCCCCCAGTAGTTCAAACTTCTACTGGATCCACCACCACGAAAGCTACAACAACCACTACTGCGATCAAAGCAGGAGAAATTACTTTAAGCAATAAAAATCTTATAACTTTTGGTCAGCCAGGTCCAGCAAATAAGAACAAGCCATTCAAATGTCAAGTCCCTGGATGTGAATGGTCTTATCCTAATGCCAACGAGCTAGGGTGGCACATCAAGGCTCACTCGCAGTCCAGAGTGTAAAATTTCTATGAATCACGTATTTATTTCTAGTATTATTTTTTCTTACTTTCTTTTAACAACAAAAGTAATAAAAATGCAACATTTTAGCGAACAGACTAAACCGTTGAATTTTTGGAGGATGATAGCGCATTTTTCATCGCCGTGATAAGCGGATATCTTCCCTGATTACAAAACTGGGCATTGAAATCGTCCAAATCTAACGCCCATACCATCACTCCTCCCAAGCGATATTGTAACACGTGCTTCATCTTCTGCTCCAGCAGGGATACGTCGTTGTAAGAGACCCACTGATCCCCCCTCAGCGCATAGCTGCCCACTCCGCTAATTTCCACGTGAGACCAGCCCGCCCCACAGAATTCGAAGTAGGCCAGAAATCCAGCCTCTTCCGTGAATGATCCCGCCTTCCCTTGGCCTGCAGGTGCACCGACGCCATGAACGGTTGTGTCCTTCAAAGTGAAGGATCTGCCATAGAGAGGAATTCCCATGACCAATTTAGATGGGGGGACGTCGCCCTGATTAATCCAGTAGTCGAGAGAATCTACAGTGTTGGGATGTGGCCCCATGTAAGGCGAGTGGTGACCTGTCTTCCCACTTAGAGTAGAATGAAGGTCATACGTCATGACACCGATCCAGTCGACGTTTCTGGCGATCCTTGGCATGTCATAGGCTGAAAAGGAATGAGAATTAGAATTCAGTTAAGGAAATAAATTAAGGTTTCTAATCATTACATGAAATTATTATACTTTGGAAATTGGGTTAGGTTTGGATTAGGTTTGACACAGATTGTGTCAAAATTTCATGCAAGTCGGATGAGAAACGGCGAAATTACGACATGGTGGACAATTGCAAAGCGTGCAAATCTAAAATTGCACTCACCCAGCTTCACTATTTCCACATCTCCAGCTACCGCCACGCTGACTAAGAGTCCGTAAAAACGGTACGCTGCCCTCAGTTCGTGGATAAGGTTGGCAAAGTTGTTCTTGTCTGTGACCGGGCCGGTAGAACAGTTGCCCCACCAACACGTTGGATACTCGAAGTCAAGGTCGATCCCGTCAAAGCCATGACGCCGAAGAAATTTGACGCTTTCGTGGACAAAGTTTGTTCTCAGGTGACCGTGGTTGATCATTGTCGAGTATTTGGTTCCATTCTCCGAGTCTGCCCAGCCTCCCAGAGCGACGCTGACTTTCGTCCCGTTGGACCGCAAGGTGGTGACTTGGTCGATGAGAGCGCGATCCACCTCCGCGCTTAGGTCCATCGTGAGGGAGGTGGAATTTAGAACGGCAAAGCTGTAGACGATGTGGGTGCATGCTGAGCTGGGGATGTCAGAAATTTTAAAACGAGCAGGTCCAGTCCGATTGGTGGACCAGCTTGTAAAGTAGCAAATAAATTTGGGACTTGGTGACGATGTAGCCTCAACAAATCTCAATAAACCACCTTCAAAAGAAAAATGTAGAAAATAATGTATTGCTTTTTATTCAGATTTATGATATCATATTGCAAAATAAATCTACAAACAGTGTTTCGTTTCTTGCGGGTTTCCTGTATTTTTGCACTGCAAGCAAGAAACACAAGAAATATGCGCCCCCGAGCCACGCGTTTCTTGCAGGTCAAAATAGCTGAAAGAAACTTGCCTTCCGGTTATTTCTTGCAAGAAACACTGTCTACAAGTATAGCATAACAAACCTGGAGTGAAATTCACATTCCCAATAATTAACGAGAACCAGAGAACACCGACAAAATTTTTAAAGTAGGGCATGGCGCAGCCTCGAGGATTTTATATTTACGCCCTGAACTCACCGGCGATGCAGGAATATTAATACAAATTTTCAAGATGGATTTGACTCGGGGTCATCTCATTATTATAATGAGGCAATTAAGGTAGTTTGCATAATATACACAAATACATTAGTTTAGGCAGAGAAAGCAATAAGTGTCGTCGTCTAACAAGCATGACAAGGAATTTGGCAATGGTGTTGACAATGGTAATTGCATAATAATATAAATAGAATATGAACACGAAGTGGTTGGTTGATGGGTGAGTAGAGTGAGCACTCAAAAGTCGTCATCGTCATCCGATAATTCGATAATCCCTTCAGCCAAGTCTGCAATTTCCTTCATCTTGTCCAAACCAGTCAATTTTTCTAAATATTCTGACGAACTGTTGAGTACATCGGTGACAAAGTCGAAACCGCGTTGATCCAGCTCTGCGAGGACCTGGTAGAATTTGTGTAGAAGAAAATTAGATATGAAAATATATGGAATTCACAATTCACCAACCTTTTCTGAACACCCGGTGCATTTGTCATACGCCTGGAAGCTGGGCGATATTTGTTCTCCCGTGCCTAAAAATCCTCTAATGGAATGAGGGACGAATCCTAAGGTCAGACTCGAGTCGCTGTCCATCACGTTTCCGGGGGCCATTGCTCTAACGGAGAAAAAAAATTGATCGTTAGCCCACATAGTACGTTAACTCTGTAATAAAATGAGGTCTTACTTTTCTGGATGATGCAAAATCGACGCCTAAATAAATAAATGGACAAAGAAAATACAGTAATTAGTCAACTCATTGGCAGTCGTCACACTATGTAGATTTGTTTATAGTGTGGCTACCATTAGTTCCACAGCAAGGGCAGCTGCAATCATTGACACCCCGGGACGAGTAACGGTACATTGTTGATCTAGCGTCCTGTCCTTGGTGGACTGTTACAGAAATTACAAACAATTAGTCAGTAAGCATAATTAGATACTTTTAATGATGAACAACTCACATCGCCCGGTGCAACGACATCAGTACAGTAATAACAGCCGAGCGTCCGTTTGTTGGTGCCAGGTACGCTCATTCCGTGCCTCATGACGAGGTAGCTGTCGAATCCCAAGGCTGCATTTATCACAATCTGTTGTGCAGAATGCATATTAATCAGCGAACCTGAAGGATGTATATGTGTAATTAAAAATGCACATACTTTTCCGTATTTTGCACCAAGCACGGTGGGCAACCATCGACTTTCTCTCGTGTCCATTAACAGGAACATGACGTCGCACTCCTGTACCAATTCCACCAGCTTGTCATAATCTTTCTTAACCTGTTCCACGGTTCCGGCCGAGATGGGATGCCCGGGCATTGGAACCATTATCTGTAAATACGAGAATGAATGTAAAGCAGAAATTTGTAAGGCAAGAAATTACTTGTGCCATCTATTATACCTTCGCCGCCTGGGATTTTATCCCAGGGAAAATTTTTTTCAGACTTGCAGCCGCCGTTTCGGCCTTCCCTTTCCCTCCGCTGCTACAATCGTCAAAATTGTATAAGCTCTGCCTCACAGGATTCGAATAGGATACATTTCCATTGTCGGCAAATGCAATGTGGCGAACTCCCCAACCCTGCAACAATACAATCGATAAGTAAATGCTGAAAAACAGATGCGTCGTTTCATTAAATTGCTGACTTGTTATTACCATCAAACACCTCGCAACATTACAGCCCAGTGTACCAGCCCCAATAATTAAACACTTTGTACGATGCATCATTTTCAAATCAAACTCTGGGAAGAGTCGCCACTTCATTAGTTTGAGATTGAAATCGACCGAGTTTTCCGCTAATCTGCGAATAATTCAAAGTTAATATGTAAATATGTATCATTAAGTAATACAAACAAATTACTTGATGGGATCCATCGTCATCTGGGCATCGACATGCTTTGGTCCGAAAGCGCCCTTATCGTTTCGTTCCCATCCGACAAATTTAACAGTGTCCAGCGAATCGACGGCTCCTTCAATACCCTGTAAACAAAACGAGGAATTTTTTTTACATTATTTGACATGTTAATGTAATATTAAGGTGGCGGCTTACGTGAAATAAGACTCGATACGAGCAACTAACATCTTTCATAGTGGCTGACCTCCCAGGACGGTATGAAAATATGTTAACCTCAGATTCCGCAGGCAATTTCCTGCATATTAATTATCAGTAAAGTATGAAATACGACTCGCGACACTTAAATATTAAACTTATTGAAACCTACAATTTTAATTTGATGAATGCTAAATAGTTCCTCAAAACCCAGGACGGTGTATCATCGATTGAACTCGTGTCCAGAAATCCGAACCATAAATTGCTCAAGGGAGTCTGGCTAGTGATAATCTGATCAATTTGTTCAAGGGATTTCAACTCAATCGATCCCTCGGAATTTTTGACAAGAAGGAAAAATCCTTTGCCTCCTTCCCCAGATTCCTGCTGCTGTTGCTGCTGAAGTCTTTTGGCGAGGTCCTGCTCATAATTGGGAAACGCTTCGCTGGCTGGTACCGTACTTCCTCCAACCTTAAAAGTCTCAACGGATGGCAAACTTATGGCAGGGAATCCAAACCAAAATAGAAATTTGTACTTTTTCAGATCCTACAGAAAAGAAGGTTACATTGTTTTAAATGCTCAGAGATACATTTTCCCTAAAAAATTGATATATTTGACTTACGGCATATGTCAAAATGAAGAAACTGGCCAACATTGTTGGATTTTGTGCCAATCTGGTCAACCCTTCCTCACTGAAGAGCATTTCTCCAAAAAGGCTTTTCCCAAAGTTTCGCATCAATTCGTTGTAATCAATGGCTTTGAAATGTTCGGCTGAAATGGTCGTCTTAATCATTCCTGGGGCCTTTATTGCGCCATAGTGTGGTTTCGAAGTACTTGGAACGAAAATAAACACAATAAGTTATAAATCATGACAAATTTATTGATTTATGTATAACTCACACATCGAAGCTCGTGTTATCGACGGAGATAATGGGGTTGACGCCGGGCATGTCGTGGGGGGCGTAGAAACCACAAATCGGGACGGGGTCCTCATTTAACTGCAATACTTCGACCTTTACCTCGTCAAACTTGCCCCAAAATGTGGGCGAGATCAGGGAGGAAAATGGGGCAAACATCATCTTCGGACCACCACCCCCAGTCGTCGTACTGGAATCGCTGATGGCCATGGAAATATTGGAGGAGGGTTCGGCTGATGACATTGTACAAAAACTATTTAGAGAGATGTTAGAACGTTGTCGTTAGAACATGGGGTTTGGCGTCACATGAGCGATTTTGGAGAAATTTCATTCAGAAAGTGTTCGGGTTAAAAAAATGCTGATAAGTTTTGGTTTAATTTCTGGTTGATTTGTAATTATTGAACGCACTTCGATTACATTAAATGGAAAAGCCAGAAAGATTTTTATATATTTCGACAACAGAAATTCTGTTACAGAATTTCTGTTACAGAATAATATTTATGTTTTTGATTGTGTAGAATCAGCAGCAGGTGGAAAACAGGCGCATGTGGCAGGGGCAGTGTGGATTTTAGTTTCTGGTTAGAAGAAATGATCTGATGATGATCTGTCTGGAAATGCAGTTGACCATGAATTTAATTTGTTTTATACTCTTCTTACGTTATTATCATCTACTCCTCAACACAATCATGTCCTGTAAATATTCGCAGATGAAAGATGCTACATATTATTCTGTCATACATAAATATTGGCTCTTCAGGTGGGGCGAAGGTTAAGGTTGAAAATGTATGAAAATAGTTGTGATACGTGATGAGACGAAGGTGCATTGAATCAATGCTACATTTTTAGTATGCTTATTATTATTTTATGTATTAAAAGTCCAAAGTACAATCATTTGCATAATTGATGTTGACATCAACAATTTGTTTGTTCATGTAAAAAAAAACAATTTACATATTTTACTTGTGTCATTTTATTTATTTCTGTTCACGAGGTCCTGCAATTTAAAATTTTCAATCTAACAATAAGTATAGTTTCAAAATATGCTTATCATCGCTCGTGACTTACCAGGATGAGAATTAAGGAGAGTAAGAGTGCTTTCTCCTCGGTGGAGCAGAAATGGTAGATTTTTAGTTGGTACGACCCATGATCAGTTTGATGACAAAAGGCCGTCTTTCCCCTCTTGCCAAGCACCTTAGGTTACGAAAATTGACAAATTAAGTCAATTTATACACGTGACAAATGCATGTTGGTGAAATTTACATAATTTGGATTGCGTAATAAGTTTGTTCTGGAATCAAGAACCAAGTTGAACAATGGTCCGTCCTGAGCATCATTGATTTCATATTTAGGCCTTTCCAAAAATCCTGCAATTCTGGAAATTTCTCCGATTTTGGTGCCACATGGGAGCAAGATCACATTGAAATTCTGCATGCATTTCATTTCAATGCATATGAGAAAGTAGAAAGTTACCGTATGAATGTATACGAGATCTATTGAAAGACGGTCAGTTTTGCGAAAACCCTTTTGGTCAAAAACTTGCGCCATGAAATAATTCCATTCGGTTCAAAAAATTCAAAATAATCCCATTTGGCTATATAGTTATCCGTTTTAGCCACTTGTGACATTAATTGCGCCATTTGGTACTTTCATGATCTTTATTTTACCACGTTGCCGAAACATAATTTTCGCCAAACTGACCGTAAATAGATCGTAAATAGATCGTAAATAGATCCATTTATTTGCGTATAGTATTACCAGTTTCGTCGACAGGTATCCGGAAAACTCGATCTTCTGAATTTCCAAAATTGGAACGTTTTGCAAGTCTGTGATCACAACGTTGTCAAAATCTTGACTGAAACAACCACAAATGGAAGAATTTTCCGGAGAAGCAGAAAACAAATGCCTGTCCTTCCCCGTCGTGATTTCATAATGTTTTGTCATGCCACATAAACCTACGAAAATTACAAAATTTAGCATATTTTGGATGAATTTTTATTGACGCCCCTTATGCATTTACCACTTGAGACGAGACCAAGTTCAAAATCCTGGTGAAATTCGAGCTGACCAAGTCCTCCCAGCTTTTCAGTCTCATTTCCACCACGCCGAGTGGAGAGGGATGGAGACACAGTGACCGGAAGTTGTCGTTGCAGTTTCTTAAAATGACTTAGAAACTTGTAAATTGGTACGAGTTCCGAGGACGAAAAATTTTCTGGGACGGTTAATAATAGTTCAAAATGTGTAATTTGCATATATGCAAATATTTGTGGATATGAAGTATTTATACCGGGTTCAATTTCACTCTCCCTTTTGGGTTTGTTTGCCACGAACCAAAATTTTGCTGCCATTAATTTTTATTCTAAGTAATGTATGTGTTTTCTATAATTCAAGTCTCCATTGGAAAATTTTAGCTGAATATGAATGTGAACCAAATTGGTTTTTAGTAGCTTCTTATATAGCAAATTGCTCGACAAACATTAGGATAATTGGCTTCCAGACAATATCTAGTGCGTAGTGGTTCTTCTGTGTAAAGTGTGGTTAGAAGGGAAGTGGTTTGGCTGGAGTCGAAGTTGTAACAGTTGGGATATTTATGTACATTTTACGCATATATTTCTGCAGAAACTTTCAACGATGTAGGTGAATACAAGGTCATTCAGTGAATGATTAATCGGAAATAACGATAAATTAAAAATAAAAATGATGTAGCATTCTTTAATGAGAAATGAAAATTACACCTGAATAAGGGGCTAAGTGAGATTCATGAGATTTTTGAATAACTTTCTCCGTATGAAAATCGATTAGCATTTTGTATTCATTGGAACCGTTTTGTTACAGTATTGAATCAAATTTTGAACAATTTTATTATGGTTAATTATTAATGAATTATTTGGAACTAAATATCACTGAAAAATTCACAAGTTTCCACTTCATTACACAAACCCAACTTTCACCGGAAGTGTGCAAAAAAAATTAAAATAAATAGCAAACGTATAAAAAAAAATTAAAATTTCTGATAAAAAATCTAAAACTTGATTCAATAATAAGCCATAAACATTATTCGAAACGGCCTCTTAACTCAGTTTATTTCCAAAATACAATACACGACAAGCTTTCTCTCAGCTAAATCAAGTACTTTCTCTTTCTACTTTTGAACCATTTTGACTCCAATTCTTGTAAGGAAACCGTATTAAAATTAAATTAAAGTATTTAAATAAGTTATATATATGAGGATGTAAAAATTGCCACAAGAATTGTCTAACCTCTGTTTTCTCCGCTTTCACCCAATTTCTCATTGTCGCCTCCATCGTCTCAACTTCCCTCTTTTGCATCATTTTGAGTCAATCCTTGTAAAATTAAACTATTAATGTATTTAAATAAGTTGCAAATATGAGGATGCTTTCTCTCACAAAACTGTCTAATCTAATTCATATTTTCTCTACTTTCACCCATTTTCTCATCTTCGTCATCTCCATCGTCTCATTTTCCTCTCTGTTTAAAAACATCTCCTGTTATTCGAGCATCTTCAAACCCAGAACAATTAAATTTAAAAAGTTACAAATATTAGGGTTTAAAAAATTGTCATAAAAATTGCCCAACCCCAGCTTTATCCGCTTTCACCCATTTATTTTCTCATTTTCCTCTCCGCCGTCTCATCTTCCTACTTTTGCATCATTTTGACTCCAATTCTTGTAAAGGAAAGGAATTAAAACTAAATTATGAACATACTTTTAAAAGGTTAGAAACATGAGGATGATTTAATCCCTATTTTCTCCACTTTCACCCAATTTCTCATCATCGCCTCCATCGTCTCATTTTCCTCTCTGTACGAAAACATTGCCCTGTTATTTGAGCAACTTCAAACCCGCAACACTTTCCCACTCTCGTTTGGCTTTTTTGGACTTGGCTTCTTTTCCCACTCGGCCCATCCACCAATTCCGTCGCCGTAAAAAACCGTGCAAATTCCTTTCCTGCAAAAATTATGACAAAATCTAACCCCTCAAAACCCATAAATTTCTCTTATCTCCAAATCCAAACCCTTCTACCTTATCAAAATTCCTACTTTCACTTCCTCCAAAAACTTTCACCTGAACAAAATCGATGCACAAAATGCGGCTTAAAAATTTCGAAATTATACAAATTTTTAAAACTTTTTTTCTCGAAAACTTTCGAAATTTCGAGAATGTGGGGGCACGAAATTGGTGGAATGATCTGGAAACCATTTCTGAGTTGTAGTAAATTCCGATCCCATTCATTTCTTCACGCCACATTCCCATCATTGTACAGCGAGATTTCCCACTCTTCGCAACTCCTGCTTGTCATTAGATTTATCAACTTTTCTACTATTTTAGTTTATTAACCGTCAATTAGTTAATTTCTCACTAGTTAAGTTTCATAGTTAGTTAACGTGGCTGGCTAACTGTTGGGTGTCTTATAGATAAAAGTTAAGAGGAGAAGACCGCCCGTAAAAAATTGGTAGCTCTGTGCCGTTGAACAAACCAACCGTAATTAATTGGCAATTATTGAACTATATTTTGTATTTGTAAACAAACCCGAGTGTCACTAATTGAAATTGATATTCATTTTTTAACCTCCTACCCTATAAACAATTGAACAACAACATTTAACCTCCTACCCTATAAACAATTGAACAACAACATTGAACTGGACCGGTTAATTACGTTACACTAAAAGAAATCAGCTACTTAATCGAAACTGAGCGGTGATAATAACAAAAAATACTTTAACAATCAACTATTTAAATAGTTTGCTATCATCATGGATAAGTACGGACTCGGAGTTGGGGTAGATTTTGCAGGGGGAATGAAAAGGAGTGAGGATGAGGGCATGTTGGTGGATAATATCGACATTTCGGAAGAAGGAGATGAAGAAGAGGAAGAAATAGAGTTGGAACATCCGTTAACTAATAGCATTGTAAGTTAATTTTAATTGAGGTTGTTGTTAATTGTTTAAAACTTATTACTTTTACTTGTTATGGTTTTAGGTTGCGAGTACGATCTTGAGTTATTTGTCATTAGAAGACTTGAAGGTGTCGCGTCTAGTCTGCCGTTCTTGGGATGAGGAGGCGAGAGTGCATCAATCGAGAAATGTAAAGGTTGTCCTCTACTCGGAAGAGCGGCTCAAAAATTACGTCTACGAGTTTATCGGAGATCGCGGATTCTTCGACACGGTGCAACTGGGGCCGTACATGTACATGGGCAACTCTTCTGCCGACCGTTTCTTCCAACTGTACGGTCTCTACGTGAAACACCTCATTCTGCATAAAACGCAGTGTTCAGCCGTTCATTTGAGGGAGATCCTGTTCCGGTGGTGCCCCAATCTGCAAGAGTTGACAATGACGGGGATGACGCCTGGGAAATCGCGTCTCCTCGAAGACCTCCACGTCTACGACAAGCTCAATTTGCACAATCTAAAAGTGGTCAATATCAATTTGATGTTGACTCAAGGAGAGGATCTGCTCCGAGACTTTCTCTTCGACCTCTTCTCCGTATCACCGAACTTGGAAAAGATAATTATTCCTAAAAATAGCTACAAGGGGTTTCTCACCACTACAATTTCCACCCTCCTCGAGTCCTCAGACCTCCCCATGGACAATTTGACCTCCATCGATGCCCTCTTCAGCTTTGGGGATTCGCAAATTGAACAATTAACTGCGCGAGGGTGAGTGTTCACCATTATTATTGTAATTTCTACCCAAACTTGGCGAACAATTAAAAAATAGGAATAATTAATTGTGTTTTGCACTTGCGTAGATTCCCCCTTGAAACGCTGAATATGCAGCTGATGCCAAATGTGACGTTAGATATCTTGCTGCCTCTTCTTGACACATTGAATAACACGTTGAAGAATTTAAGATTGTACTTTTACCTCACGAGGTTCAAGGAGGTTGGTGAATTTTGTTTAAATGTATTTTCGTGCATTACTGATACATTTGTAAATTCAATTGTATGATTAAACGTCCCAATAGCTACCAAATCTTGTTCGACTGGATAAGCTGGAACATTTGACGTTGGACACGTACCAAGGCTCTCTAAAATTTATCTCCTCCCTCCCAGAGCTCAAGGTTCTCTCTGTAACGATGAAGTGTTTGGACGAGTTGGTGGTCGGATTTCCTAGGACGCATCACGGTCCCGGATTTTGGTCCTGTCCTTCCCTGAGATCATTTAGTGCAAGATTGTCCGTCGTTGAGGGTTGTCCTTCTGGAATTATTGCGAGTTTTGAAAGTATTTTCCCTGGACTGAGAGCACTCACGCTGCCTGGAATTACTGACATTGCGCTGAAACTGCTCTGTTCGACGTATCCCAAATTGGAAGAATTGAATGCGCCTCAAGGAATCTATACGGACATGGGCATTACTGGGATTGCCGAAGGAAAATTGCGATTCCTCTCCAGATCTGTTAACCTCAGTGATTTGGATGGTATCCGAAGTAGTTGGGAAACACCAAATTCTGGAAATCTTGCCAGCCTCAGCAGTGAGTTAATAACGATGATACGTTAAATCCAGATGTGGTAATTTTGTGCAATAACATACTCTATTTTTTCGATGCAGAACTTCAGAAACTACACCTCCAATCACCAGATTTGACCGATGATTCTATTTTCTTTGCCATTTTGCACATGCATGATCTGAAGGAGCTCTCGATAGAAAGATCTGATGTGAGTAATAGCACTTTTTTGACGGCTTAAATAATAAGAATTAAGAAATAATTAAATATGGATTGACTTATAGATTACCGACAAGGGGATTGATGCAATCACTAACCACATGAATTTGCAACGACTGAATATCGCCCTCTGCACCCGAGTCTCTGGTCCTCAGTTGGAGTTGGTGAAAGCCAAATTGAAAAATCGTCACCTCATTCTCAACTTTGATGGAAAACAGTACAGCATGTACGACTAGTTACATAAATATGTACTTTTTACTAGTATAAGAGTGGTGTTGTCTTTGTATGTAAGATGTTTGTGGTACACACACACTTATTTAACGAGTTTTACTTAAAACATTTTTCACATTGATAATTGTTTGATACTATTTGAGTACTTGAGCTGAAAAGGGTGTATTGAATTGAACAGAATTTTGTATAACTGTGCTGCTCACCTGCTCGTTTCGATAGTATAATTGAATTGGACTCCAATTAAATTATATTATTATTAGAGACTGGAACTTGTAATCTTATTAGACTTGCTATTGTTAACTACGATGCTGAACTGAATGTTCTCTGGTCTGGTCGATTTTGAAAAAGTCTGGCGTAATTTAATAATTTAGAGAACTCATCAGTTTCCTAATTAATTCGTTAACCAATTTTTGAAGCCTGATAGATAATAGTGATACGAATAATTAGTTTAGTCCTGAGAAGTATGCCAAATCATTTCTCCCATTTCACTTACAAAACACGGACAAATTACTTGAAAAATTGTCAAAAAGTTAATCCTATCGTTCCACTTTTTGCAAGAGAGAGAAAGAGAGAGTGATTTTAGCACTACAATAATATAACAAGGAACGAATGCATTTCATGAAGGGGAGAAGAAGAAAGAGAAACAAATATGACTGTTACAGTACCTAAATTAAGGTGACTTTTCTCAAGTTATCATTTATTTGTTATGCCATTTTTGATATGCACGATATTTACATTTACAACACTACACTTTCTCCATATGGGAAAGTATGTACATATTTATAAGAGGGCATGGTTTTCTACTTTTTGGAGTGCAGTTGCACTGCACACACCATTTTTATTTCCATTCAAAGCATTCACAGCAGAATATTTAAAATAGTATTTAGTAGTCTAGTTATTTATTGTAGCTAGAATAAATTATTATGCATAGCAATACGGCAGGTAGTGCTTTCACTTTCACGGCGTTTAACGTAGGACCCGATGAGTCGTCACCAAAATCGTAAAAAGCAACACATTTTTATCGTTTCTCGGCTCTGGGAATTTATTTTAAAATTCTGGACGATAGCCAGTAGAATGACGCTGAATTTTTTCTACGAGTTCAAATTTTTCTGAAGAATTACACATTGGTAACTCCTTGTCTTGTAAATTTGTCGTCCAAAATTGTAATCTAAATTCCTAGAGCCGAGAAATGATTAAAAATGTGCTGCTTTTGACGATTTTGACAATGAGCCATCTAATCCTACGTTAATACCTCAAAGTGAAAGTCTCAGCCAGAGGAAAATGTCGACCAGGACGAGGCTGTTGTAATAAGTGTGTGCGTTGTCTAAAAATGAATTTGTACTTCACTGTGTAAATTTAAATTATTGATGATAGCTTTATTAGCACGTAAGGAAACGTAACGTTGTGTCGTCGTGAAGAGAAAGAGGCTTGCTTTACGGAACGGAAAAATGATAACTGTTACTAATCGTAGAAGTAGTGAAAATGAAACCATTCGTTGTGTTCAAAAACTTTTTAGTTCAAAAATACCAAATGGTGACATTGCCGAAGAAGCGGAAGAAAGCATGTAGTAGGTAGCTGGAAGTTAGTTAAACAGTAGCTGATTAGCCGTAGTATTTATTTATTATTGCACTCTACATACTCTTCTGTAGTATAAATTGTCTCACAATGGAACCTTTTTTCAAGCTAGACCCAAATGGCTTAACGAGTTGTAGGAAAAAATTAAGCCTAAAATTAGAAATCACGTCGTACTAATGTATCTTTCCGTTGAAATGTCAATTTGAGGTCATATGTTCAGGTGGAAAGTTCACGGTTCCGCACTGTTTTTAAATATCTCAAAACGAAAACAGGACGGAACCATGAACTTTGACCGGAAATATATTACCTCAAACTGACCATTCAACGGAAACATAAGTATGAAAATTTGTGGCTAGATTTTTTTCCTACAACTCGTTAAGCTATTCGGGTGTAGCATGAAAAGAGGGCCCATTGTCAGTGTATGTAAACTATACATTAGGATGTGACAAAATTGTAATTGAAATGAAAGCAGCCAACTTGTTTGGCATTCGGTTGTATGAAAAGAAATGAGACTTTTAAACTGGAAAATTAACAAAAACAAGAACATCATTTTCAGTCTGATTGAATTATAATCCGAAATGAAATGAAATAAATGAGAAACTATTATTTTTACAGTCTGACTACAATTACAAGAATGAGTAGTAAAAGTATCCCTTATTTGCATACTTATTAAAATATTTCATTGCACTCTCTGGGTTTGGGATCGGCGAGGTATTCGCAGAGGACGGAGACGAGGTCATCCTGCGCCTTGGCCATGTCATCCTTGTTGTACTTGGAGTTGAACAGGATCCAGGGGACCCACTCGTGCGGAGGGTCGAGTTTCGAGGTCTGGACGCCATTCAAGTAGTGAAGGTAGTTCCCCTCCGAACTGTCGGCACACGTTTTGAGAGCCTTGAAGTCGATGTGAAGCTTCTTGGCGCATTCTGGTCCGGCCTTGTCAAAGTCCTTGGAAGACTCCATGCAGCAGATGAACTTGGTGGAGAGCTTGTAATGCAGGACGTGAAGGGCGCAGGAATGGAGGCGATTTCCAGCACATTCTTTGTCCCCGTGTTGGCAGCTTATCGTAATCTCCCCACTGGCGGACACGTTCGTCTGAAATGCATACGATTTCATACACAATTCTTATAATTGACCATCGAGATTTTTAGATTTTCGATAGCGAAAAAAATAAACTAATATGATTATAATCGGAATAATCCGTGGGTTCGACTTCTAGTGCAAACGAGTTTGTCGAGGGTGATCCCCCGGTTTTTAGGGTCCATGTTAGGGAATTTTCTGGGATTCTGTTCCTCCCGTTTTCCGAAAAAAACAACAGAAATCGAGCCCACGCATGCATGGGAGAAAGGTTTGAATGTATGGTGTTAACGTGTTTACCTGAGCATTTCCATACGGGATGAATTCAATGTTGAAGTATTGTCCCATTTTCTCCCAGGTAGGACAGAGCTGGAGCCTGCTAAAATCCTGACAGTCTGGACAGAGGCTCTCATAGTAGAGGTTGACCACGAGTTTCGCTGGAGGTGGGCTTTCCTATTGCAGAATTAAGGAAGTGAAAGTACTGATGAGCCAGTATATACATACACACTGCAATGTGTCGATTTTTAAGTAAAAGTACCTGAATCTGTACCCTGTATCCCTTAATGGGGGAGCATGACAGCAGAAAAGTGAGGAGTACTACTGCACCACAAAATTTGGTCATACTGCTTTCTAAATGTTTAGAAACTTAATTTAAATTTTTCAAAAATCTCTATTTCTGTCCACCCGGCAAGATAGACATATGCAAATGAATAGACTTATGTATATCTGTATATCGAACGAAGTTTCATGTGTATGTAGTTTGTCTCTGTGACTCTGCTTAGGATTAGTTCGTATGCTTAACTTAAACTGTTGCCTCTTTATAATGCTACACAAAATTTTCTGTAGGCTGTAACTGCACTGCGTATGTGTGTATTTGGAAGCCAGATTCTACGAAAAAAAACTACTTCCACGCTATGAAATTCGATCAACACAATTTTTGTGGACAATAAGCCATCAAATTGAGCCTATGATTCATCCAGGTTAATGCATACTTATTATGCATCCAGTTTATCACTATATTTTTGTTCCGATTTCATTCTGATATGAACTCGTATACGTATTTTCAAACCAAAACAACATATTTAAATATGCGAATTTTAATGCAATGACTAATAAATAACCCTGTTATGCAAAATGTTATTTTTGTTGTGTACAAGTGTGTAATGCAAAATAAATTGACAAATACAATTTTATCATGATTTAAAAAAATGATATCATTACATACATGTATGATTTTGATTACTTCTATTAGATTATCGAAAACTATTTGGCAAAAATTTTTAAATTCAAAATTCATCACACTTATCACCAAGGCTTTGCAAAGAATACGAAAATTATCTCAATTTTAAAGCCATTCTCAATTCACATTTTGCACAAAAAGTTGCACATGACGGGTGTGAGACCCTCGCGTCACTTGATAAGTCACCTGCTGCATATTCGGTAGCGTCATCATGTGGCAAGGAAATATTTCCAAGATGTTGTCCCAGACGGGATTGGGGACAGGTTTTCGCCTCCCCGTAGCCAACGCGGACAACATCGCCCTCGAAAAAGAAGTATGCCCTTGAAGACTACTTAATTATATGCGCCGATAAGTAAATGATTTTTTTGTGCAGCTCGAGAAGCGACACCACATCGTCCAACTCAAACGGTCCGACTTGGACGATATTGCAAGACACAGTGACATCTTGGAGCGAGGGATCAGAAATGCCATCGATCACATAGCTCATGACAAAGTACGGGCTTCAATTTAATCGTAATTGTTTCGGGTGAAAGTAACCACTTGCAAGAAACAAGGGCAAGAAAGTGGTTTCTTGCAGGTATTTTGACCTGAAAGAAGTGCACGGCGCTAGAAACTCTGTCATGCGACGCGTGGCAAAATGGCGAATATTTCTTTAACTTTCTTGCAGTTTCTTGCACCTCGCATTTCTTGCGTTTCTTGCTTTCCATTGCAAGAAATGTAGCAAATCCGCAGGAATTGAAACACTGATTTTACCCTGCTACATAAGGATGCGTTATAAAATTTTCTCTCCTTTCAGAAACTACTTGCTGCAAAGTGTGCCGAGGTCACGGCAGAGTCGGAACTCGTCAAAGCCTCGGAGAGGGACGCTCACAACTTGGCCAGAGAATGCAAATTCGTCGACGAGACGTATAAAAAGGCAGCCGCGCACAACAGGGCTCTCATTGTATGATGCAAACTATAATCATATTATCAGTGGCCGTAGAAGCGTAGGGACAGAGGGGCAATTTCCCCATCGTTATTCAATGTCCCCATCATTTGCCCATCTTATTTAAATCCCTCCCTCCCTTATCCTAAATGTTAATGTCCCCACAGCGGCCACTGCATATTTTCATGTAGAAGAAACTCCTAATTTTTCATTTTATGTACAGGGTGAAATCGAGTCCAAAAAGTATGACGTTTCCGAACTGGCCGAAATGATCGAGTTCGACCGGCAAGAATTGATCCTGATGGAGAACAAGGCTGCGGACGAGACTCAAGTGATGAAATCCATTGAGGAAATCGGTGACCAGGACTCAGAAACTTTGAGAGTACTACGAACGAAATTCAATTTATAAATCTGTAAATTTATGAAAATCTCGGTGTTAATTGTTTCCAGAAAAACGAGACTCGGTATCGAAAAGCGACGGCGGAGTGGTCCTCCATGCGACTCGAGTTGGATGGGAAGGTCGCCCTCACGAGCATGATGCAAGCCGACTTGGACGGGCTGAGTGAACGCTTCCGCAAGTTGCACAAGGAGCGAGGGGACATCGTCGCCCTCTGGAAGGACACACTCATCGCGCTCAACGAGAAGGACGGCGAGATGAAGGACATTGCCGAGGTAGAGTAGTGTTTCGACTAGTGTTTCGCTGTGATTTTAACCACTGTCCAAAACACCCGTCCAAAACCGATTTTAACCAGTTTTGAAACACCAATTTAGAAAACCAAAATAGAAAATGGGACAAAATGTTACAAGCTCTTCGATAATTGAACTTGTAATATTTTGCCCCATTTTTCAATGTAGGACGCTTTTGGGCATTTTGGATGTCCAAAATTATTTTGGGCACTTTTGGACACCGTCCGAAAATGTTCTTGGTAGTTTTGGATATCTAAAACGAAACTCTGTAGACGACGCTAAAAAATCTATCCCTCGCAAAATAACAAACTCCCAATTTTTCAGGAGTACACCAGCGCTGTCGCCTATCTCCACACCCTAAAGCAGAAGGGGGAGGAACAACAGAAGAAGTTGGAGGATGGCGAAAAATCCTCCGAACTCGCCGCCATCCAACTCGCCAAATGGGACCGGAAAGTCAACGATTTACGGGAAGAGCTCAAAAACACTGCCGACCTGTCCACCCTCCTCAAAGACAATCTATACACGTACGAAACCACGATTTCATACACGTCGAAACAGCTGCAGGAAATGACGGCGAAAATGGCCAAGTTGGAAGCCGAGCTGGCCGCGATGCATGACAAGATTTGCGTTGCAGAAGAGGCTCTGGCCAAACTGCGGGCGGAGAACGAGGCCAACTCGGGCCAGCTGTTCAGTGCAGCGGAACGGATTCGCCAGATCGAGGAGTTGATCGACGAAGAAGAACGGCGGACGGACTCCTTGGAGAAAAAGATGGCGAAAGAGATCATGAAAAAGAATCAGTGGGTCAACCAACGCTCCGTCCTCGAGACGGAGTCACTCGATGTAGACCATGAAATTAAGGGGATGCGGTTCAACTTGCAAAATCTACTCACTAGGACGAAAGACGCAGGAAATACGGTAACTCAATTTACTTCAATTGCTTAATATGCTAATTAGAAAAAATTAAGCCGATCCCATAGCATATTACGAAAAATCGGTCGAAATATTTAATATAAATCTATTTTAAATTTCTTATAAAAACCGGTTTTAAATTTTTCATAAAAATCAGTTTTCGATTTTTCAGAATGAAAATTGTTTCGGAGCTACGATTATTATTTCTTGTACCCGATTTAAAAACGAATTGTTCAAAAACATTCAAAATATTCAGAAACCTAATTCGTAGAAAATCAAGAACCGATTTTACAAAAAATAGCCAATAAATTTATAAAAATTGAAAACCTGTGATTTTCAACATCTTCCAATTTTAACCAGCCTAATTAACATATTGCCATAAATCTTCCAGCTTGAACGGAGGAAGGCCACCATCTACCGAATGGAGTTGCAGTACATCAACGCCGAGGTCAAGTACCTCCCCATGATGAACCCCAAGCAGGACACGATCCAGTTTAAAGAGCAGGAGGAGCGCCTCCTCGTCTTGAAACTCGACATGGACCAAACTTTGAAGCAGAAGGCGTTCGTCACTGTCCAAACGGATCGAATCCTCCACGTTCACCGACGCATCGCCAGGGAAAAAGTCACCACGGAGAGGGACATTGCTGGCTTAGAGCAGAAGAGTAATGAGCATCGATGCCTCGTTAAATTGTGCGTGGGCCGAGGTTTTGTTTATACTTTGCATGATAATGATGATTCAAACCTCGAAATGTTGACAGTTCCGTGAAGAACTTGGAGTACATGGTGGGCGAGTATCAAGGCCTGATGGTGGCGCACAGCCTTCTCAAACTCAAACTCACCCAAATGATCCAGGCCCTCAAAGAACAAAAGAACTTTCTATATGATGCGGACAATCAGCGAGTCCTGCTTCAAGCTGTAATTCGCCTTAAAATAAATACGGCTTTATTTATTATTCTACGTATTAGCAAGTTAGCAGTGTTTCGTTTCTTGCGGGTTTGTTACGTTTCTTGCACTGTAAAGCAAGAAACTGCAAGAAATATGAGCGTATGAAGTATATCGGCGGGGCGTAGTTTCTTGCACCTTGCATTTCTGGCAGGTCAAAATAGCTGCAAAAACCACTTTCTTACCCTTATTTCTTGCAAGTGGTTACTTGCACTCGAAACACTGCGTAGCATTTTAACTGAATTGTGTTTATCTAGGCCGTGAAAGAGAAACGCTCCGAAATTGATGCCCACACCCGTCTCTTGGAATTGAAGAGGAGAGGCGTTAAGGATGAATTGTGCCAGTTGAAGCTACAAATTTGCCAAGTTTCTGCCTGCGTGGATAAGCGGAAAAAACGGTATAAATATCTACATTTAGAAATTATATAAAAAAAAGTTGATACGTAACTCCGTCGCACTTACAGGTACGACATAATCATGCAATTGATGGGGAGGCAGGACGAGGTGGCCGGGGAAGAAAAGTCAGAGGCTTACTACGTCCTTAAAATGGCGCAGGAACGCGAAGTTCTCTTGATGTAAGGAAATAAATAATTAATTATAGCAACAAAATCTCTGAGCATGAGTTCATTTCGTGCACCTTTTTCCATACAAAAGTCAACCTTTGCACTTATTGAATAACAAGTTTAATAAGTAGTCATTCGCCCAGCGCGTGATACGTATTTGTTCGTTGCCAAACAAACTTTCCCAGAAGCGAGGAAGCCCCTCAAGTGAAAGTTGTCCAACAAAAAGAGAGCCGTGAAAAGAGAGCTAATTTTGTTTAGACTATTCATCCGAGATTGAAAGGGTCACAGACTCTCGCGTTACACAAGGAGCCAAATGTCACGTTGCAATGCACACGCTTTCATACGTGTCATATTTCTGTACTCAAGTTTAAAATGAACCCGTTAAAATGATACGCAGTGCTTCGGCTGAAAGTATCCACTTTCAAAAAATAACGGAAACAAAGTGGTTTCAGGTAGCTATTTTGACCTGGTGGAAGAAATACAAAGCGCGAGAAACTATAGTTCATAGGATGCGAAGCTAGATAGAAAACGCATATTTCTTGCACTTTCTCGCACCTTGAATTTATTGCGTTTTTTTAATTTGAAGGGCAAGAAATGTAGCAATCCCGTAAAAAACGAGACACTGCTGCTACGTACTAATAAATAATTAATTTGTCGCAAACAGGGAAGTGCAGAAATGGAAGAACAGATTGACCGATGCGGAAAAAGAGATTGAAGGCTTGTCCAACGTGCACAAGGTTATGAACGCGTCAAATTCTTCGCTCAAGGACAGTTTGGCTCCTGCCCCAGAGGAGTGTGAGTTTATGCACGATTCGCAAAAAATATGTGTGCAAAAATTGACACTTCTGTACTTTTATTTTCTGCAGCCGAGGAGGTCAAAGCTCTCGACCGTTTGACCGCTCAAGAGCAGGAAATTCTCCTCCGTCGCTCTCGCGCGCACAAGTATCGCGCCCTTCTTCGCGACAAGATGAGCGAAGTGGAGCAGAAAATCGTCATTGCGGAACAAGAAATTCGGGCCACGATGCAATTCAGCGATATGAAGGAAGCCCTCGCGTCCAAACTCCATAACGAGTTGCAACGCCAACGGGAGAAAGTCGTCCGTTGGAATGGCATCTGTTCCCGGGTCATCAAAGAGATTAAGCCCCTCTTCCCCCCGGAACAGTTCGACCTTCTCCAGAACGACCTCAAGTTGCGCTTTACCGTCAGCAAGTTTGAGGTATTTTTATTTTAACTTTGATGTATTTACATCGATACGTTACGTTTTACGCACGCAACAACGTACGTATGCATCTATATACGTACACCACCGTGTGTAAACAGGTTTATTTTGGTCTCACCAATGTATAAAATCCAATCTAAATCGGGTCCACGTGCACATATTTGCATGCCTTACAATGGAGGCTTCTCAGTGTATGCTGTCCGATTTTGAGGAAATTCGTGTCAATCGATCACATATTTAATTAATATGAAATTTGCAAAACACCGATTTGCAACCGAAGAGGAGAAAACGCGCAGTAAATTTGGAAAGTGTAAAATTTGCCAACTTTACTGCTCGCTTTCTCCTCTTTGGGTGCAAATATTTCCGCCAAACGTAAACATTGGTGCTTTTTGCAAATTTTATGTTAATTTAATTTGCGATAGATTGACACTAATTTGCTCAAAATCAGAGATCATACACTGGGAGCCCTCCATTGGTAGTGATCCCCTCTGGGAAAGCACCTCGACTTTTTATTTGATATGTATGAACCTCCCTTCTGATTGATCTGGATTTCGATCTTTTGTTCAGAGTGCGATCGGTATGTTGGAGCGGCTGCTGTTTCATCATCCCTACGTCAAAAAGTACTTTGTTCGTCGTATCCAGCAGGACAGCGGGCTCATGAAGTTGTACGACCGTTTCAGCCAGTCTCTCAGCATTAGCAGCAGTAGTAGGAGCAGTTCGTCGTCCAGTTCGTCCTCCGTCTCGTCAGCCACTTCGACCACCCAGTCGCCAGGGGGGACGCATCGCGTCAAGTATGTATTTACCAGCAACTTAATTTATGCCTATTTCTTAACATAGGACCCATCCACTTATCAAAATCGTCAAAATTAGCACATTTTTAATTATTGCTCAGTCCAGGGAATTTATTTTAAAATTTTATTCCAACTTTTCAAACTTGAGATGTCCTTCAAAAACAGCTAAAACCTGGAGTGCATATTTTTCACAAATTGGCAACAATCTGCTCTGCAAACTCGTCGTCCAAAATTTTGAAATCAATTCCGAAAGCCAAGAAATGATTAAAAATGTGCTGCTTTTTACGATTTTACGCTGACATTTTCTCTGTGTCCAGGCTTAGCACGAGTGTGAGCGGATCGTCCATGTCCAGCTCGGTCAGAACTAATCCGTCCACCGCGGTTAAGTCGGTGACCAAAATGACGCCGTTTAGCCGAATTAATGTTACCAGTGGCAGTAAGCAGAAGGTGGGTGAGCAGGCTAAAAAATAGGAATATGTACGATGCAGTCAAAAAATGTATGTAGAAATATGCAGCAAAAATGAAGAAATACGAAATAAATTGATGTCGATGATGATGAAGATGTGATCACAACCAAAATCATCATAATTTTAACACTATGATCATCATATACGTTTATTTGATCGACTAGTTGATTGCTATTACAGGTTGTCGCTGTTTTTTGAAGAAAGTGAACCTTTCTTACTTCTCCCCATTTCGTGTCCTGGTCGGTGCTTTCTCATAGAATATTTAGATATATTTGCATTATTATAATTTTATTATTTGGTAAAGAGTAACAACGTGCATAATAATATTTAATTAAGTATGAATTAGTGAGACTGCATATGTATGTACGAAGGGTCGTGTCGACGCTTAATTGCCATCAATAACTGGATGGGCGTCATTTACTTATTTTGACAAGTGAAAATAATACGACACTAATATTACATACGTCGAGCATTAATTTCATCAAGTTTATCAGGGTATAAAATAATAAGTGAGTAAGTTGTACATCAATTTAATTCCCGAAGATAAGAGTCGTGTGATTTTTGAGATTATGATTACATAAGTCGTCATCCGATATCCTAAAATGGTCAAGTTTTTGTTCCGCATGCAATGCCAAATTTGTCAAATCTTCACCCGATTAGACATGAAATGCTAGCGGCCATGCACAAGTTCTAAATGGGTGGAGGTGGGTGGGTGTGGGAGACAGTTTAGAGAGCACCAACGCATAATCATCCGCATTATACATATAATAATCATCATTTCGTGTGTGTGTAATTGTACATGTGCCTGTTTAGAGGACGGGTCTGCGGACGAGGGGGAGGTCGGCGTCGACGAGAGGGAGCGGCATGGGCTGGTGGTACCGGAGGACGCGCATCCCGTGGGGGGTGAAAGCTATCTCGCCATTCGGCAGCTGCACCAGGTCCCTTTGTGGCCACAGGTTGCGAGGCATGTAGGCTCGCTTGTACATGGGAAAGTGCTTCTTCGTCTTGCTCACCATCCGGTGCATTTGCAACGGCTGGGCGTCGTCTGCTGGGGTCACAGGTAAGAAGTAAAACTTGAGACGGGGGCAGGTTGAGACAAAAAGTGCATACAGTGGAATTATTTCTGCGTGACCCCTCATTTCCATATTTTGATGCATTGGTGATAGTTTAATCAACATGGAAAGCCCGTGAAAATGGGACTTTTGAGATTTTTGGTAATGAGAAAACAAGCACAAATCGTTCCGCTGTATGTAGTGTGGAATTATTGTTGCGGTTCACCTCATTTGCAAATTTTTAATGAGAACGTAGAGTTCTATTCAACATGGAAAGCCCGTATCGCAGAAAATGGACACAATGAAATTTATGCAAATGAGATGACAGGCACAAATAATTCCACTTTATATTTATACTCACCCTCGTCCTCATCGTCCATGAACTTGTACACCTTGTTTGCACCACCCAAGTTGGAGCGCATGAGGGTAATTGGTTCCGCGAGTGGGGGTGGGTTGGCAGCAGCGGCCCCTCTGAAGGGGGAGGATGAGACGCTCTTGGAGGAGGGGGCCGAGAGGAGCGGCGGTGTTCCCGAGTAGACGAGGTCGATCGGGTCGTCGTCTTCGTCATCGTCGAAGGGGTAAAAGTCCTCGGGCAAGGTTTCCTTCGAGGAGGCGAGCGTGTTCAAGAGTTTGAAGAGGGACTCAGGATCCATCGCTTGCCAATTGCCGGACATGATGGTTTGCAACTCGGCGGATGGTGGTTGCGGGTGAGACGGAAGTGATGAGGATTTCCTGTAAAAATGAATAGTCTCATATTCCCCGTTCAAAAAAATGCCACAATTTTTAAGACACTTACGGACTTCGGCGTGACCTCAGTTTGTCGATGGTCACTGAACAAGAAGGAAAAATGTGTATTTTATTGACGACGCAAACGTTCTATTAGAATTGTTTGTGCGACACCTCATTTGCATAAATCGCACTTTGCCCATTTCGGCGATTAGAGCTTTCCATATTGATTAAACTCTCATTAATGCGTCAAAATATGCAAATGAGGTGACACACACGAATAATTCCAGTGTATGTACGTACCATGTTCCCCAATGTTCTTCTTGTAACAAGGAAAAGTGCCACGACCACCGGTGGCCAGCGTCTCAAATTTCTCTGGGCCGGAAACTCTGTACATACACGAAACGACCTCTTATTTCTCCTCTATTTTTATAAATGTTTATTTTACCTCGAATTCGGATTCATATTTGCGATGGATTTACGGTTGTCGTCACCTGTTGCCGGTTCTTCTCCTCCTTTCGAGCCACCACCTGCCACCACGGAAAAGTGGTCATAAATCGATACAACCATAATTATTATTGCTAAAATTATGTACGTATTATTAGCTGGCGTACCATTCACCAAGGGCTGTGCAGTGGCCACATGGAGGAGCAGAGTGACCAGGACGACTCCCAGGCAGACGTGGACTTGGAGTTGACCCAACTTATCGCGGAACATTTTTTCAGGGAAGGTCTGACTGATAAATGAGTAGGATTTTGACGTCTCGATTTCCGAAGTGAAATCTGATCAGCGGATGTGAGAAGAGAGCAGAGATCGTGAAGTGACTGGAGAAAGCGAGCGTAGCTGCCCACTTTATATAGGCGATGAGATGACTACGACGCCCTGGTCTCGAGAGAGAGAGGAAAGTGAGACGCTGTTGCTCATCCACTTTTCCAAGTACTTTTACCATGTTCATCCGCTTGAAATCTCTCTGCGATATTATTTATGTATGTACATATGCAAATTGGGGAAATTCCGAGATTTGCTTCCCAGTCGTTTCTCCCCCGCTTCTTCATTCTTCTTCTTCTTCTAAGAGAAAGTTCCTTTGAGGGATTTTGAACCCGTGTCTCCTTGTATTTCGGAGGACCTTTGAAAATCTCACCTGCCAAGATTCTCCCAAAATAATAATCCAGTTATGCACAAATAGTTCTAAACGGTGGCACTTAAAGCGTTCGTTCTTCTCATCTCCTTTGATGAGATTATGATGTCTACCAAATCTTGGTGGCATGGCATTTTCATCGATATCGAATAAGTAAAACGATCCCGACGGTCCGATTTTGCATTACTTTAAACGAGGGCAATGCAGCGGAAGGGAGAAAGTATAGCAGGAGAAAGGAATAATAAGCGAGTAAATGAGACGTGGGAGGCAGGCATGGACTGAAAATAATCTCTTTTTACATATTTATTATTTGCTAGATTTATTCCTTCCACTTGGTCGCACAGATATTTTCAATTCAATTCATTCGTCGTCGCCCTCATTATTCTTACTTCCTCTTGAAAACGGCGATAACGATTCTGGTGGAGCGGAAATACATGAAATGAAGGCTAATAAAATGGTGGTAAGAGTATTAAATAAAGGCTTCTTCATCTTCTTTCTCTCCACTTAAATGGCAGATCGGCCAAGACAGCGAGTACTTAATCGGCATCAAAGATTATTATTGTTGTTGCGGATGGACTCTTAGTTTCGTAATCGGATAAGTAATATGTATTCGCGTCCTATTTATCTGCTAAGTTTGCCAAAGGACAGAGTTGAAGTGTTTTTGAACTGTGACCTTTTCTAAAGTATCGTCTAATATTTCCTTCTCGGGTTGAGTTGAAGGACAGACGAGACAAGATCTCATTTCAAATCAAACGCTGCACATTAGCAGGAATCAAGGGAGAGAAAGCAATATCTAAACTTATGAAGGATACGGATACAAATTTATTAAAATTCCTGTGCCACGTCGGAATTTGGTACCACGTCACATTTTACATCAAACTTATAGTAATATTATTAATGCTGCGACACGTGTTGGGCCAATGTGACATGATCGGAACAATAACATGACAATTTTATTAATAGATATGTATTTTATTGATAATCTTCGTGAAGATGAACATTTTTGAGCAGTAGATACATAATTGAAGACAAGTCGATCTCGAATCTCGATCTCCCACCCCCGGCACCATTAGTTCAGGACGTACAGTGGTCGCGGATGCCGTGGGGACATCGGGGGACATTAACATTGTAGGATAGGGGAGAGAGGGGTTCATATAACATGGGCAGATGATGAATAACCGTGGGGAAATTGTCCCTCTGTCCACACACTTCCGCGGCCACTGAGGATGTAGAGTGTGTCGTGTTGTCGTGGCGTATTGTCGCGTAGGACGAACGAACGCCCCTCATTGCAAATAATTGGCAGACATTATGCACACTGTTTTTACTTCATTGTTTAGTAAACACGTTATGAGCATGGCTCTAATTGGGGGAAACTGTGCATATCTATTCATCCTAAGAATTCTCCGCAGTTGGAACAAAGCATCTCCATCGGTTCGTCAAGAGACCCCGTCGTCGTGGGGACAGCAGCGACGTTGTCCCACACACCAGCAGAGTGAATGTCACCCTGAGGACGCCTACAAAGAGCACGAGGTGAAAGCGAAACGTTTTGCAGCTAAATGATTATGTTGCATTCAATTTGGGTGAGACGAGCATAATTTAAAAGTATTTATTAAGGGGTGAAAGCCCTTTATAAGATCGTTATGTCCGTCTGTCCGTCCGTCCGTCTGTCTGTCCGTAGCTCCGATAACTTTTGAACGAAAAGACATAGAGACTTGAAATTTTGAACGTAAACTCCTAACGTCAAGGGACAGGACGAGTTCGAAGATGGACACTGTGACATCGTCACCTGTGACGATGACGTCGTCACAGTGACGAAAAGTGACGAAAAAGTGTCACGTGTCAATTTTGGCATGCGACACATCATTTTTAACTATTTTTCAATGTCAAATTCAATGGTGACCTCCATTTTGACCTCAGAGGTCATGTAAAGGTCATAGGACATCTATTTCAATTTCAACTGAAATTTAACCCCGAATTCAATGGTGACCTCCATTTTGACCTCAGAGGTCATATAAAGGTCACATAAGGGTTATCAACTGTTAAATTTGACACAAATAAGACACAAAAGTCGAAAACACGTCAGAAGTGTCAATCTTAACAAATTTTCGAACAATTTGATATTCACATTGACGTATGACACTCCTTTCACCCCTTGGTTACATGCGTTGTAACGGTTTATTTATGTACAGATTGGTATACATACAGACAGATTATGTATGCCGTATTTACATTATGATAAGGAAGAGATTATGATGATAATACGCAGTTAATGGACTTTTATTTTTAGATATAGTATCACATATAAACGGAATACTGGGATGGCAGGCTCGTAGTTTGCCTCAAAAATATTTAGTGTTTACCAAAATCTGTGAAAATTCAATGGAATAAAGAAACAGCAATATAATGGAGAATAGAAGTTATAATATCAAGAAGGCATTATAATTATTAATTAATTAATATACAGTATTAACTAATCATAACTAAACTTTACAGGTTATTCAAGTCCCAGATGAAAATGGGATACTTGAAGAACGCATAATTTTCATAAATGTCCTTTATGAGGATTTAATTCAACAAATTGTGGCCTATGTCACACCCAGAATTCTTCAGCAAACCCGGAAGAACCTGTCAAAAACGTGTATCAAATACGCCCCGAAAAATCTAGAGGAAAATTCACATCCCGTCAAATCCCAACCCGCCTCCCCTCCCACCAACCCAAAAGAGGAGCACTCTTCGGACAACGGTATCGCAAAAATCGCCGCAATTACCACCGGGGCCGGAGTAGCGGCGGGTGTGGTGGTCCCCACAGCGGCTACAGCAGCCCTGACTACGGCAGGATTTACGAGCGCTGGAATTGCGGCAGGGTCGGTGGCTGCGGGGATTCAGTCTGGAATAGGAAGCGTGGCTGCGGGGTCATTATTTGCATCCCTCCAATCTGCAGGGGCCCTCGGAGGGTTCGCTATTTTGGGGCCGGTTGGGATTGCGGCCGCATCAGTGGCAGTTGTTGGAGTTGGAACAGGGCTTTTGGTACGGAAAATAATTAAGGATAAGGCAGCAAAGGAAAAATAATTGGCAAAAATCAACTCATGGTGAAGATCATTGACAAATTGGGAAAAGCTTAATAAATGTCAATTTATAGAAAATTTTTTACGATACATTATGTATTGCGTTAAAAATAGTTTCGCAAATGGGAGCTGGTTTAACATAAAAAAAATATTTATTATCATGAGAAGAGTTGATAATTTGTAAATACAGGATTATATTTTACATTTCGAAACACCACATCACCACATGTACAATTACATAACATCAAATATTTCAACTTTATATCCTCCTATTGCTGCTACTTGGATTCAGAAGTTAATTCCGAAGCTATGACTTCGACGACTGCGATGTGGATGGAACGGTCTGAGGAGCTTGGTTACCACCGGGATGAAGGGGCGGATGTGAGAACCAGTGGTCATCATGGTGAGCGAGGTCGACATCAATGTGAGCCTTTTTCGCCTTCTTGTGACGATTCCAGCTGAACCAAAGTCCACCGAGGATGCCGAGAAGGAGCGCGACCACTGAGGGCACGGTCACCAGGGAAGTGACGAACGATGCAATGGAAGACTCGGAGCAGGTATCCATTCTGAGTGAAGATGAGGAGGTGATTCCTAGATCAGTTGGAATTGACGTTGATGGTCACGATTTTGTGAATTTTTAATTTGGCTAGTAAAATTCCGAGAAAGTTTTATTTAGACCAAGATTCCGAGACTGTGTTTCCGTGGAGTGAATTTTATAACTAAATATATGCATCCTTTGAGACGCGATATCTCCGACCCCAGAAAGATTGCAGCTTAGATAAGGTCGCAAAACCCCAAGAACGCATCAAAACATGTACATACATATCGAGAGCGTAGAACGTCATACCTCATTTCGCACTTTCTTCATCCATTTGCATATGCAATGCGGGGCATATGGCCGGAAGGAGGCAATGTGAGATTTATGCAAATGAGGTGACTGAAAAACGATCTTCTTTCACAAAGCTCCATGTATAAAGTGTAGGAGGATGTGGAAAGTTCTTTCAAGGTCAAGAGGTCAAACAACTGATTCAACAACTTGATAAGGGGGGGCCAAAGATAAAATGCTTATATTAACCTAACTTTAGAGCCCCTAAATATTTTTGAAATCCGCTTGCGGTAACAAAAGATATACAAAATATACATCAAGCGCCACCCCCAATTCCCGCTGAGGGGGTGTGGAATTGGGGCAAAACGAGAAAGCGCTTCAGACATGCCAAGCATGGAACAAGATATAGATGCCAAGTTTAACAGAGTTTGAACGCGAATATGATAACAATTTTGACTTGTGACACCTCAGTGACCCTCATTGAACGATGTCACACTTCTTTCACCCCTTGGTTACATGCGTTGTAACGAAATTATGCCATTTCTTCTCCATGGATTTTGCGTGATAACAAATTGACTCAATTCAGTTCGACTAATATTTCCCAGGGTTGTTAAAGAGACAGTAATTTGATAAGGGGTTGCGCAACGTGAGCACTTTTTGCGATTTTTTAAATTTTGAAAAAGCTGGTGGTCCGGACCACCAGCTCCTGATTGGTTTTTAGGTTTCCATGCAAAATTTAATTGAGTTTCCCCTCAAATTTACTTAGTGATTTAGCTTAGTGATTATTTTTTTTCAAAACTTAATTTTTTAATAATTTTTAAAAAATCGCCCACGTCGCGCAACCCCTTATCAAATTACTGTCTCTTTAACAACCCTGAATATTTCCAACCAGTATAGCTCACTAATTGAACAACACAACTTTTTTTGTCAACATGATTGAAGGATGTTTTGACGTCTTTGATTCTCCACCGTCAACAACAACAACAAAAATATCGCCCACTACCTCCTCCTCAGACTGCAATGTCACTGCCACCCCCAGCCAAACGACCATCAGCATGCTCCCAGACGAAGTAAAAAAAATAAACTTTCTCGCTTAGAATAATACCTTATCAATCAATTCACCGATTATGTATAATTAAATTACAGATTTTGGCCCTCATTTTCCACAAAGTTGCCGTGCCAAGTCGTAACTCGATTCGTCAGACGTGTCAATTATGGCAGAACGTGATGGACTGCTTGGTCGGGAGTATGATCCGGATAGGAACTTTCTCCCAGTTTGATCCGCTCTACTGCAGTGCTGGGATTGAAGATCCTCCCGGCGACAGCATCACCATCCCGAAATATCACTCGCCCTCAATCCTCGCCAAAATCGGGGTGAGCCAGTTGCTCGTCGGAAACATTTCGGATGATTGGCATGCTGACCATGCTCACTGGACTGACTGGTTGTACCACAAACTCTCCTCCTGGTGGTGGTAAATACCAGAGGTGGGCAAAATACTTTGCCAAAATAGAGTATCTCGAGCTCTGTTCTTCCCAGGGTTTGAATTTCCAGGGGTGTTACATCCACAAATTGACGACAATCTGCATGGAAAAGACAACAGTCTTACGAAAATGCAGGTTTTGTGAAAAAATTGACTTTTTGTCGCGGTCAAAATACATCGTTTTCACGATTTTTTAAAAATAAATGATTTTGACAGGGATAAAAAGTTACGTAAATCGAAATCCTGGAAAGAACGGAGCTCAAAATACTCTATTTTGACAAAGTATTTTCCCCATATCTGGCCTAAATACCACGCATTCTCACTGTCATTCCGTATGAAAATGTCGACATTCAGTCCAATCCAGCCAATTAATTTAGGAAATTATGTATATATAGGAATTCTCCTCCATCGCCGTCACCTCTTCCACATTTCAAATCTCCAAACCTGGTGGCTGAGCTGCACCTGTTTGGCAGGCTTTCACCCCCGCATTTCGCCCACTTTTTGCACGAATTGTCGCCCTCCCTTCGCGTCTTATCGTTTGCCTTCGTCACCCTGCAGTACGTCCGCCCCTCGCAGCTTCAAAACCTTGCCCTCCCCCATCTCAAAGTCCTCCTGGTGCGAAGTGGACTCGAACACAGGGACGAACAAGTCACACTTTTCCCTGGCCCCACTAGTGCCGATGAACTAATTGAAACATGGGATCTCCGCTGCATCCTCGACAACCTGTTGGTCCTGAGTCACAACCACTTTCCAAACTTGACTTGTGCCCGGTTCGACTTGATTTATGGGGCGGCGGAAGGCTTCGCCATTACGAAGGCTCAACTCTCCTTCCTCCAAAGCCATGCAGATACCATTGAAACTTTCACCCTAGAATATTCCATCCTCCTAAACGGTGAAGATGACGAGTTGGGCTTACTGCACGCGCCGGAAGATGACCCCGAGCTAACGGAAATGGTGGTAAATAGCTTGCAGGGTCGACTCGTTGGTTTGAGAAGGTTACGCATCCTCCCACTCACGTTTCCCTCGCTCCCATTTACCAACGTGTGGAAGAGACTGGTCCAGGAGCAAGTCTCCTTGGCAGATTTCGCAGTAATGGGCGTCTGCTATGACCTCGACTTCCTCCGGGAACTCGTGGACACCAACTACACGACTTTAACGACCTTGTGCATCTGGGAAATCAGATTGTTTGATGACCAATCCAACACGGTGGTACAATTAGATTGCAGAGTTTTTAATAAGTGTACCAATCTGAAAAAGTTGGCCCTCCGGGGATGGACGGTGACTCTGCAAGTGGTCGGGATCGTGAATCTCGACCAACTTCCGGTCTCTCTGGAGCATGTTGACCTACGTGACATGGCCATTCGGACGAGCGATGTGAGGATATTGAGTTTGGAGATGGGAGGCTTGGAAATATTGGAGCTGCACTTTGTGGGCAACAAGAGGGAAATGGGGATGGATGTGGGGACGTTGAGGAGCATTATTGAGGAGAGGAGGTTGAGAGAGGTGAGGATATTCAAGTCACTGAATGGCAGAATCAACCCGGACGGGATATTCAATGGGGATGGTGTTTATCCAGAACAAATAGTGGAAATGCCGGGGGGATTCATAGCTTTTGAGATGGGTCCCAACGGATACTATGTAAACTCGTCGACTGCCCTGCTACTCTAATAAACTCGAGTGATTCGATGCGATACATCAATTACGAAAGCAATTAGTTTCCTTTTAAGTGAACATGTATCGTTGTTATTAAATAGTATACGGTAATAAATACAATTACAATTGAAAAATACGATTGGCAAAAATCTGTAGCTCGAGCAATAATTAATTAAAACTCTATCAAGTTGTTGTTGCTGGAATTAATGGAATATGTATATGTATGTGCAACAACTTTTTATCTAAATAACGTTACAACGTATCGCTTGTGTAGTTAATGGCAGACTATTACATAGTGTACAATATTAATTAAAAGTTAAATATGTGCCTAGTAATTCTAATAGGAATCGTAGTAGCATATTCTTTGAGAGACACAACTAATGAGTGATATACTTATGTAGCAATTCACTGTTGTTGAAAGCTTCGGACGATAGCCTCGTTGACATTGATAACTTCTTCCACCTCTTCGTCCTCCTCCATCACGGCGAATGATCGGGTGGTAGATTTAAAGTAGGAAAATAGACCCGTCAATCGCTTCTTAATTTGCTTCTGATCCTCGATAGTACAACCCAACACGGCACTTTCGAATTTCGAGTCTGAAATAGTCAGAATCGAATCATACAAGTAGTTTATATCATCGCACACTCAAACAAATCATGGAATATATATTTAAGCTGTTATTTACCAATCTCAGGAATGCTACCCCCACTGAGCACCACTTGTTCGGAGCAAGTGTTAATGTACGTGACACATTTTCGCTGTGTTTTGAATGGATCATCCTTCGACTGACGAATGAGGCTGTCGATCATGTTGTTCACCTGTTCATTTAGTTAGGACATTTTATAAATAGTAAACAAATAAAGCAGGACAACTTTATTTCTGCAGGCATCTTACGGTGCTGAGTGATTCCAATTGCGGGGGCGATCTTTCCGTCCGAATTCCAACTGAAACTGCCTTGCAGCGGGTCCCAATGCGGTCCAAGTAGCGTTTTATTTCATCCAGCTCATTCCCTTGGAACTGGTCGACTATTTGCGAAAGGCGAAGCGTTTCCAGCGAAGACACAATTTCATCCTTTTCATTGATCAGTGTCGTCGCGTCCGACCTCAATTTCTCAACCTGATATTAAATCTAATCTTTAATTGCATCAAAATTGTTAATTGATCAATATGAATGATTACCCTTTCGTCCATCTCATCCAACATTTTGATCACGGTAAGAAACCCACTATTAGCAGCAGATGTCCGGTCCTCTTCTTGAGAGCAAACCTCGGTAACGTCTTGAGACATGTCGTCCCCCACGTCGGGAGATTTGACAACCCCATCACATTTAGCATCTTGTTGTTTCGTCATTTCAGACTGGGACATGTCGTTGTCGTTGTGGTCATTGTTTGTGTCTTTTGCCGACCGCTCCACCACCTCTGACGGGATGTCCATGTCCATCCTGCTTATCTTCCAGCCACGGTCAGTCAGTATCCTCTCCTGTTATTCGAAAGGTCTATGTTTGACGGAGGAGATGAATTTTAATAAATCAATTATGTCGCAGTGCGATTGAAAGTACAAGGAAGTAAAATTATTTTTTATTACCGGTGTTGTGTTCCACAGCTGATGGGTTCCGTCCGTGTGTTACTTCAGTCCTTAACAGCTCATCGAAATTAACTTAATGTTTTAAAAAAATAGTGAAAAATTTCGAGAATGGTTAAAAATTATGTAAAAATGACAAAAATACTCAGCGAATGTGTCATCACACACATCAGCAGGCAAATCGAAGAAAGCTTTGTGAATCAATCAGCACACAAAACAACACGCAAACACAAAAGTCTTTGAGTTCTCATTCGTCACGTATGCAATGCAGCTTTTAGTTTCTCAACGCCAAGAATCTTACTTACAATTATGCAACAATTTATGTGACACTTTTCAATTCCACATTGTGAAAGAAGCTTTCAATAAACTATTTCAAAGAAATGTCCTCCGATACCGATTAAATTACTTCAGGAAAAATTTATTAAAGTTGCAAAAATTCAAAATTTTAATCAAGATAACAAAACATGATACAACAAATTCTTTTTACACCTCATTGCATTCGTGCGGTTTGGGATCGGAGAGGTATTCGCAGAGGACGGAGACGAGGTCATCCTGCGCCTTGGCCATGTCATCCTTGTTGTACTTGGAGTTGAACAGGATCCAGGGGACCCACTCGTGCGGGGGGTCGAGTTTCGACGTCTGGACGCCATTCAAGTAGTGAAGGTAATTCCCCTCCGAACTGTCGGCACACGTTTTGAGAGCCTTGAAGTCGATGTGAAGCTTCTTGGCGCATTCTGGTCCGGCCTTGTCAAAGTCCTCGGAGGACTCCATGCAGCAGATGAACTTGGTGGAGAGCTTGTAATGCAGGACGTGAAGGGCGCAGGAATGGAGGCGATTCCCAGCACATTCGTCATCCCCGTGTTGGCAGCTTATCGTAATCTCTCCACTGGATGACACGTTCGTCTGAAAGGCATACGATTTCATACACAATTTGCATAATTGACCATTGACATTTTCAGTTCACGTTCATCTGAGAGAATGTCAGGTATACGGATTCATACATAATCTTTATAATTAACGTAGGACTTGTTGACTCATCGATGCAATTCAACAATACATACCTTTTTTTTGGATATTAAAAATCTTTATTAAAATAAACATTGATAAACTATGAGATACACTTAGTTGGCTTAATGCATACCTTAGCATTTCCATAGGGGACGTATTCGATGAGGAAATAATCCCCCATCTTTTCCCAGGTGGGACAGAGCTGTTCTTTGGCAAACGCTCGACATCCTGGACAAAGACTTTCATAGTAGAGATTTACAACCGGTGGGGATGCCTATACGTACGTAGAAATCGAAATATGCGTTATTTTATTCACCATTAAATTACCATGTGATCAGAACGATGTAAACCTAGTGACATGTCTGACATGTGATCTGATAAGATCAACTGCGAGCATCACATCAATAAAATGACATGTGACTACATCATTCATCAATCCGAAAATAAATTTCAAAACAAATGGATTTATAAACCTTTTTAATCAGCACATCAGAAGAACCACGAGTTGCAAGAGCAGGTGAACCCGGACATGGTTTTATCAGTAGTAGTCCAATTGAGATCACGAGTGTAATGAGACCTGCTAATTTGTGCGTCATTTGTAAATATATGCAAATTAGTCCAGAAATTAATTAAATTGTATTTATAATTCGATAATATTTTGAGTAAGTTCAGTAAAAACGAATCTCTTCTAGAGGTCTACGTCCTATATGAAAAGAAGAGCTGAAAGCTGTCCAGTCCATCCAAGAGTCAATAACTACATCTTTTTTGTATGCAAAACATGATATGATTCATAAATAAAAGATGTATGTACACCAAACAAATATCGACGAGGATGATATATTTATATGCAAACAATCTCGTGTCGTGTTAGTGTTATATAAAAACATGTCAGCATTTCAGGCAAGATTGCATATTACTTGTGGCAACAACACTAAAGAAGAACTGGTAACTGGTCATGAGGACGACTCGTATGTAAAAATGAAAATGGGTATGCATGAGTTTGTTAGGGATGTCATGATTTTGTCCAGTGTTAGCAGCAGTAGATTTACTACCTAAATATTTTGCCGTGTTTTAATGGAATGTGACATTACATACGTGCATAACAAACTTTAGGCATTGTGAATTTGACTCGTTTTAAACTCATTAGTTCGGCGTGACAAAACCAAATGCAATAAAATGGGTGGGTATTAAACGCGAATAACATAATGATTCCATTAGTAATAAATGTTTTTAGTTGGCCATGGTTGAAGAGAATATCCAGTTTTTGGTACATGTACATATATTACGGCTCATACACATACTTACATACATATGTCCATAAATTACCCAACTTCCTTAAATTGTCATCATGAAAAAAACGTAACACGCGTTTGGACATTTTCCTCTTAAATTACTAATGACAGTAATGACAATTAAAATTAGAAGAAAAACTCGCAGAAATTCCTACCCATACATGCGTTAAGAAAAATGATTCAGTGTTTGCACGGGGTGCAAATTAAATTCGCATCAAATCATGTCATCACAAGAAAATCAAGAGTGAGCCGAATTTAAGATGATTATCTTGTCCATTCCACTTTTTTAGCATCCCACATTTTTACATTTTCAAGTTTAATGAGAGATTGTATAACGACTGGACTTGTTTCCACACGTAGATAGTTGCATGCAAACCTGTAATTTCCATCGGACAGTGAGAAGGATGTAATCCAACTAATCTCAAAATCCAGCATTGCATAACACTCGTTACACTTTGTATCATTGTCGTAATGTTTTTTATATTGTTTAGCTTGATGGTTTAATTGCGAATTAAGACCTGGACCACAATGTACAAGGTATGTACATGAGAGCATGAGCCATGCATAATTGCTTAATTTTCGCACTTATAAAAAGGGGACTACAAACTATTTATCAGTTAGTCGATTACTAACTGACTGCCTAGAACAGAACCGCAGAGTTCATATGCAAATATATTATTTTCCACACTTGAAAATCAAATAACTTTCTCCCTATATTTTTAAAATGGTTGGTTTCACATCCGTCTCACCGGGCAAACCTTTGCCAAAAATTAGGGAGGAAACCCTCCCCGACTATTTGTTTGAAAGGGCAAGCTATTTTACGCAACTGGGGCGTACGGTGTTTCTGGTAAGGAAGTACAAAAAAAGTAGGTCAGTCAGGATTCCATACTATTTCTCGTGTCGTGTAGGAGGACGGGCTGACCGGGGAGCAGAGGACGTTCAAGGACTTTGAATCTCAAACGCTCCAAATTGCGAGTTGTTTCTACAAGCGGGGCCTTCGCAAGGGTGACATCGTCGTTTACATGACGTCTCGCCAGATACACCAGGTCATGATGATGATGGGCGTTTGGCGAGCGAATGGAGTCGTCCGTTCCCTCTACATTGATGAGTCCGAAGGTATTGTACAATAATTTCAACAGTCGTGCCACGCAATCACATAGGTAAATAACTATGAACCCCTACAAGCGAAATATTGCAATAGGGCGAAATAAGTAATTCCCCCAAAAATTATGTGGTGGTCCAAAAGGATCCTCCCCCTGGGGTCATATGCCGATCTCAAATATCTTGATGGGTTTTCCTGCTGACTGACCCCGGACAAAGTCTAGGGTAAAAAGTGGTCGAGTCTAATGCCCACTGGATATTTTGTGACGCCGAAAATGCCCAAAAATGTCAAACCATTGCCGACAAGGTTGACTGGACGGTGGAGATCGTCATCTGTGGCCAAGGGGTAGAAGGATTTCAGAATTTTGACGAGTTTTTCAAAGACGACGGGAAAGACGACGCTCCAACGTTTGAAATGAAGGGGGACGACATGGCGTTGATCCTGCCCACATCAGGAACCACGGGACCCAGCAAAGGTGAAATTCATTCCCCCAACTTAGAATTTTTAGTCCGAGTTAGGGCTTATGGAACCGTCATGTCCGTCCGGCACGATAGAGCCAAAACGGCTGAACCGATTGACTTGAAATTTTTACCATATGCGTATTGGACAAAGTTAGGAAACGAGTTCGAAGATGGGCTAAATCGGTCCAGTGGTTGACCGGTGGGGGTCATCGGAGTGGGTGGGGTATTATGCACCAAAATTTCAAAATTGTTGTAGAGAGCTGAAATTTGGTACAGAGGTTGCTAATGGCTCCTACGAGATAAAAATGACTTCAAGTTGGAAAATTTTTTATCTTGAGTGACCCTATGGGGTGACCCATACCGATTTTTAGAAATTGCTTTAAAAAGATGAAATCCGGCACAATGATACCTAATGGCTTCTAATTAAAGGATATGAAGTTAAAAGTGAGCAAAGTGCAACCAGAGTGACCCTATGGGGTGACCCATACTGATTTTTCCAAATCGTTATATCGAGCTGAAATTTGATATGGAGGCTGAAAAAGTTAAAACCACTGCTGGATAGCACATGCATACAGCTTAGAACTTCAGGATGTTAAAGAAGTCCACTGGTCATGGTGGTCAAGGCACATGATTTGTAACTAATTCAAAAATTTGGTACCAAATAGTAGAAACTATCTAACAAACTTTTAACCATTCACAACACGGAAGTTGGTAATATTATGTCGGTCAATTTGGAAAAAAATTAGAAGCGGGCTCTGACTTATTGAGTCAGGGACTATGTCCCTGACTCGGGCTATATGGAGTCTGCACTGTAGGTTTTTAAATTCGCATATGTAATTATAAAGTGTATTTTACAGGAGCGTGGCACAGTCACCGGGCCATCGTGACCGATATCCGTCACTGGGCCAACTTCCCATTCATGGAGCACAAACCAAATCTTCTCGCTTCGAAGGGGACGCACGTTTCAGGGGCCGTCCTCCCACTCGCCATTCTGGCGAAGGGTGTCATGGGCGTCGTGCTGTCCAAAGTCAGCAAGGAGATCCTCATTCAAGCCGTGGACAAGTACAAGGTCAGTCAGATGAATTTGTTTTACTAATGTTGAGAAGTCTTAAGATGGAACTGCCGTTTATCCAACTTACCTCGCACTTATCAGCATGAACTGTGCGGAAAGAATTATGGTGGAATGAAAAGTGGGGCATGAAGTGCCCGGACAATAAGCAAATTAGTGCCATTACATATGATGTATGTGTACTTTACTTTCTCTGTTGCATTTTTCAGCCCGGGATGGTGTTTGCTTTCCCCAGTTTTCTCCTCTCCCTGGGTTCCTCCGACGCGGAGGGTTACGACGTGACCTCGGTGGAAACCATCCTCACTGGAGGGAGCCCCATCACGGCAGAAATCACCAAGGCGTTCTTGGCCATTGGCAATGTCAAAACTGTCCTCATCGTATGATTATCTTTTTTAAATAGTTTCGCCAACTTATTTTGCATAAATTACTTAATATGTGTAGGCGTTTGGGCTAACAGAGGCACCTTGCGTCGCGACAAATGCGGACTTGAGAGAAGGTCGCACTCAGGACTCGTATGTAGGTACGTATTTATTTTAGTGATGACCTCCAAGTTTTTCCCACCGTCTGTACTAACCGACTGGCAGGCTTGAGTATTACATAATTGAATTTATTTATTGAACCAGACTCTCCTGCAACGACAGTGGGACGGCCTTATCCCGGAGGAGAACTCCAAATCCGAGATCTTGACACGATGGAAGTGCTGGGACCCAACCAACGGGGTGAAGTCGTGACTCGGGGAGATTTCCTCTTTCAAGGATATTACAAGAATCCAGAGGTTCGTTTTACAGATTTATTACCACGTGTATCATCAATATTTTTGCGCATACGCTAAAAAAACTCAAGTATGTCCGCAATATGTAAATATGAACTTGCAGAGCACCATGAACGCCTTCATTGACGGCTGGTTTAAAACGGGGGATGTAGGATATCTTGATGACAATGGATACTTGTTCATCGTGGACAGAGCCAAGGACATTTTCAAATATTTCCATAATCATGTAAAATCTTAAATTAAATGTGTATTTCCTTAATACAAACGTGCTAAGTGACCTGTCTTTAGATATCTCCCACCGAACTTGAGGCTGTCATCGGCACGCATCCCGCGGTCAAGGAAGTCTGCGTCTGTCCAATCCCTGACGAAGGGGGCGAAGTACCGAGAGCGTTTGTAACTCTGATGAATCCAAACAATGACAAACCCTTGGCCCAGTTGGCCACGGAAATCAAAAATTTTGCGGACGGTAATAATCGCAGTCTCAATTAAACTCATAAAATGACATATTTATGCATATGAGATTTTTATATGCAGGAAAGTTGGCCACTTACAAACAGCTCAAGGGAGGCTTGTACATCGTGGATGGTGCGCACACATAATTAATTAATCAATCATTATATAACGACATGAAATCAACCAGAGTACACATTTTTTTTACTATCTTTCAGATTTTCCAAAGGGAAAGACGGGGAAAGTGGTGAGGACGATGGTGGGACAAATGCCACTTCCGAGCTACTAGTCCTTTTTTCTCTTCAAAATTATATAGATAACTACTTGTACCATTGATTAGATTTAATTATTGCAAAAAAACTTTAGTTTCATGCATAAATATTGATATGCATCAGCTTCATTCGCTGTGAAAAGTATTTATTCTTGATTCTGATCTCATCTGCTTTGCTCATGTGAGACCGAATTTCAGCCATTTGGCTTAAAAGGTCAAGGTCGACCCCAAAATCAAGCCCAAACTCTGACTCGGTTCAAACAAATAAATCTATTGGTTGGAATAATTCTGACCAAGTGAGCTGGTGCAAATGCACGGGTGCATCTCTCCGCAATTCGTTTATTAATTCGCAACTTTAATAAATAAAAAAAACAATTATACAAACCTTTAAATATTTTCGAATAAAAATTGATTTTTATGACACCTCCCAAAGAATATTCACTCCAACACCACTAAAAAACAGTGCTTCCTGATCCTGTTTCACCTATATATGAGATAACTTTGACTTGAGGAAAAGGCCGGATCATGTAAAAAGAACCACTTACGGTTGCCTCGAGAAGTTACAATCGTTGCTTACCACTGTTACAGAGGCGACCGTACGTAGTTTCTTTTTAGATGATCCGGCCCTTTCCTCAAGTCAAAGTTATCTCATATATAGGTGAAACAGCCTGGTCCTGACCCTAACCTCCGGACAAGACTGGTTCTGGTTCTTCATACTTGCACGCCCAGAGGTGGAGCGTTTCATGGAAGAAGACGCCAACCTATTGAGGACATAGAAAGAATTAAAGCTTAATGATGAATTTACATTTTTTTAAAAAGAAAGCTCGTTTAGCCAAAGAAAATTGAAGATTTTCTAGCTTACCCCCGAGTTTATGGATTTGACCATTTCGAAAAGCGTTTTAAATCCAAACTCCTCCGGGATGAGTTGGCTGCCGTATTCTTCTTCATACTTTTGCCCCAATGTTATAACGAGGATGCCCTAAAAAACGATGAAATCGTAAATGAATGAGGAATACATGCAGTCTGAACTTGAGGAATCCAGTCATATCTTCAACTTTTAACTAAATACTCACCTCCGGCGCTTCGGCTTTCAAGATGGATATGATCTTATTTTTCACCTCGTATGGAAGTACGCCTCCGTCAGTGATTGCCATGTTTAATTATCTTCCTTATCGATAAGCTAAATAATAAACAACCTCAAATGATGATGATGATGAACAACTTTGTTGCACAGGAGACAGACAGGTGACAACCTTCCAGCGCGGTTAGATCTGGTAGTGGGAAAGAAGAGTGCAGCTGCTGGACAACGAGTGAGACTTATTATTTTTCGGTGGAAAATCTGTTCACGCTTTTTCTTTTGTGGACATCTGTTCTTGTCCAATTTTGCAAGGAGAGTCGATAACCCAACAGTGCTAGCTACTTTCTGGACCTCTTGAACTGTATAGGAGTAAGTAATTTTAAAATGTTCTATAATTAACCATCGGTTTTAAAATCTCGACTTTTATTTTTGATTAATAATCTACTTGTTTGGTTGTTGAAAAGGTTTTATAATTGACAATTATTGAAATAGGTAAGTTTTCATCATGGACGACGAAGGTTTCAGTTATGGCGACATGCACAAAATCGTGCTGCAAGGGATTATGTCGGCTGGATTTCTGGATGCTCGCGGAGTCAAAAATTTGTTCAAGGGGGCTTGTAATGCGCTAAATTGTGAGATGACTTATTTTAATGAATTAATTAGATTCCTTTGCTAACAAACTTCTCACTTGGTTAATTCATTTAGTGGACGAGGAGCAGCGAACCTCAATGCAAGCTGTGCAAAAGGTTGTGCGAGAAATTAACGAGAAAATCAAGCCATATGACATGGCGATTAGGTCAGCATCTTGTGAACTTACGGGGAAAAAGTTTTACGTCTTTTTGATCACGGTGGAAAAACCGATTATGAAGTGAGTATTATTTATAAGAGCACATTTAAACACAATACAAATTGGGGAGGAACAACGACTACTCAAAAATTTAATTTACTTCTATTTCAGAATGCAAACCCTGTTCTCAAAAGGAGAATTGGAATTATTTCAAAAGATTATGACCGCAGTTCTCCGTAAGTACGATCATTTCGCTGTACCGGTCATGGATTGCAACAATATGGCTCGAGAAATTGACGCTCGCAACTTTTCCATTGAAATGGCTGAAGCATTTGTGCAAAAAATGATAGCGTTGCAGTACTTTGCTAAATATTACTTGGATCCAAAGGTAAGTAGATAATAAAGATGACATATAATTCAATTTGAAATTTCTGTCACTATATAATTCATTAAAATTTGTACGAGCAGGGACCAGAGTATGAAATTACGATTGGAATTCGTACTATTCGCGAGTTTGAACCCATCCTTAGAGAAGTTTATGACGATGTGATGACCAATTGCCATCTCTGCAAGATGATTATGCTTCACGTAATAATTTTTATGATTAGTATTGACGTCGTTATATTTGAAATTAAAATTATGCAAAACTTTATAAATCCTTTCAAACTTCCAGGGACATCAGTGTCCAAAGTGCAGCCTGTTTGTACACAAGGCTTGTCTTGAGAAGTATATAAAAACCTGCAAAACATGTCCAGGCTGTAAGACCGGTTGGACAGAGAAGAACATGGTGAAGCGAGTCCGTCAAGCACAAGGGGACGAGACACCGGACACTCCTCGTCCAGAGAAGGAGAACACACCATCTACTTCAAGGGGTTCCGGTCGGCGTCAGCAGGCTTCTCCACAATCGAAGCAAAAAAGCCAGCCAGAAATGCCCGTTTTGCAGCCAATGGTCGCAGGCAAACGAGGGTCAAGATCGAAAGTGAAGTCCCCCTCGCCACAGGCCTCCTCCACCAGCAAAGGAGGAAATAAAGGCGCTACAAAGAACACATCTCCGACACCCTCTAAAGGTTCTGCTGCTACGAAGGGACGTGGAGGTAGGCGAAAAAAGAAAGCAGCCGCCTTGCCATCCTCATCCGAAGAGGACTCCGATTAGGGCAAATCTCCCTGGTTAATGGCATTAGCTACGATGTTATGAGTCTATTACTTAATTCTACAATCTTCTATTTTCAAATAGCTTCAAAGCCATGTTGCTTTTTCATATCGTAATCTTCTAGTTATACTATTGTCAAAATGTCAACATACTTAATATATTTTTTATTAAGACTTTCATAATTTTGTACTTTCAAACAGCAGTATTATTATTAACTTGACCATCAATAAAATACACGCAAGTTATCATTGTATATGCATTAAAAAGATCAATGAATATTTGACACATGTCGAGGCGAGTGCATGCATGTGTGCAATATTTTTGTTTATTTAATGTCCAGCACACACGTAAGATGAAGAATGAGAAGCAATCCCCTTATTAATTATTTAGCAATCCATTATTTCTCTCATCTTCATTACGGAGTGAAAGCATGCAAGAGAGCTCCCATTAAAACTTAAACTGCCCAATCGCCCATAAAGTCATTCAAGGTAAAAGCAATTAAAAATGTATACCGTCCAGTCCTACCTGTCGTGGTGCATTATCGTCATTACGCAAATTGCAACACACCAACCAACCAACTGACCCATACTTATAGACCTATGTCAAATTTATAGTAATGACCGTCACGATGTTGTCTCATCGATACATGTTTTTGTTGTTCCGAGTACCTAATTCTCCTACCCGGGTAAGAAAGTACTTAATGAGGGTGGGCTTAATAAGAGACCTAGACATACATGCATGTCCAGTGGCCATGGAAGTGTGGGGACAGAAGGACAATTTCCTCACGGTTAATCGATGATCCCATCATCTGTCCATGTTATATAAACCCCTCCCTCCCCCATTCTACAATGTTAGTGTCCCCGCAGATTTCCCAACAACTTCCGCGGCCACTGTTCATGCCTCCTCATTATCCATTCCAATTGGGAAAAACAAGCAACCACCAGGCTGGTTGAAAAGTAGTCTCATCAATTATGATTATCCACATAATTTAACTATTTAACATAACCCATGAAGTTTTGCACATTAGACAAAAATAGAATGGACGCTTAGTTCGCAGTCAGTCGACTAAACGACACAGAGCCATGACCATTCTTATTGATGATGACTCCTCTTCCCCCACAAATCCGGATTCGGACTCGTCCAAAACGCTGAGGAGTCCATGTCCCCTCAAATCTTCGGGAAAGGGGAAAACCCTCCCCGAAGTTTTTCTCGAGCGACGTGGCAAGAACAGTGATCCAGCTGAACCAGAGTTTTGCATGGTAAAAAATAGTGAAAATTGCTGCAGCATTTGAGAAAATTTTATCGTTTTGTGTTTCTTGCAGAGAGACAGCATCACGAAAGAGTCGTATCGTTTTGCAGACTTTGACGACCAGACGGCCCGAATTGCCAGCGCGTTCTACAAGAAAGGAATGAGAAAGGGGGACGTGGTGGTTTACATAACAAACGACATGGTGAAACTGCCTCTCTTTCTGGTCGGGGTTTGGCGAGGGAACGGCATTGCGAGGGCAGTCTATCCCGAGGAGGATCTAGGTTGGCAAAATTCTGACCTTTTTTTATGCATGCCGTGTCATTTGATATAAAATTGAGTGCACTTGAAAATTATTAGAAACATTGCACGCTGCTTTGGAGGAGAGTCGGGTGGGCTGGATCTACTGCGGACCTGAGACTGCGGTCATGGCACTCTGCGCAGCCTCGAAGGTCTACTGGGACGTGGAAGTCATCCTCACCAACGGGATGGCTGACGGATGCACCGATTTCGGGGAATTTCTCCTCGATGATGGCTCACAAGTGCCCGAGCTGAACATCTCCCCCACAGACCCGGCCTTGATGTTGTGCACCTCCGGTAAATAAATATGTATGGCTTTCGTGAGTTAATTAAATTAAAATATCCGTTACTTTTTTCCAGGAACGACGGGACGGAGCAAGTCTGCAGTGCACACACACGAGTCCATATTATCAATCTTATTGGCAATGGAAAATATTCCGTGGTCAACGACAGGGGAGAATCCCAACTTGATTTTGTCAAAGACTTGTCACATTACAGGTGGCCGGCCGATAATAATGACAAGGTTTATGTTTAATGCGATTAATGCCTTATGTTTAATGGTTAATGTTTTATTTAGGGACGCTGTGGCCACTATCTATCATTCTGAAGGGGGGATGTTGCATCGTCATGGATCGTGCCACCGTAGAGAGGTATGCTTTCCGATTTTGACCAAATTAGTGTCAATCAATCACAAGTTTAGTTAATATGAAATTTGCAAAAGGATAATGGACGCAGTGGACGAGTATAAGGTGCGTTAGTTAATACTTATTTACGTAACGGGCATAATTTCTATACACACTTGTTCATAAAACATACAGCCGAGAGTGATCTGGGGGTTTCCCACCCTCCTCCTCCAAGTGGCCAACAGTCCCAATGAGGAAAACCGTGACCTCACCAGTTTGGAACTGTCCCTCTCCGCCGGCTCTCCCATAACGCCACCGATGATCCAAGCCATCAAAAAACTGCCCAATATGAAAGGCATCATCAATGTAATTACTAGAATGGAGGTCTCCTAGCGTATGCTTTCCGATTTTGACGTTCGAAACTAGTGTCCATCGATCACTAATTTAGTTAATATGAAATTTTCAAAAGGCATGATCTTCCAATGCACAATTTTGGCAGAGATATTTGCATCCGAAGAGGAGAAAACGCGCAGTAAATTTGGAAATGGCAAAATTTCTTAGTTTTCTCCTCTTCGGATACAAGTATCCGAAGAGTATCTCCTCTGAGTCGCATCTTTTGCCACATTATTTAAACTTTTGATCGATTGACACTAGTTTGGTCAAAATCGGAGAGCATACCCTGGGAGACCTCCTTATGTTGACTTATTCATGCTTTAATCGATGTGCAAGCTGCAATAATGCATCATTTTCACTGCATATTTGTTATTTATGCTTCAATTTATATGCAGTTAGAAATCTACTGCATAGCAGTCTAGACTAAATTGATTTCACCCCCAACAGCTCTACGGTTTGACAGAATGCGTCCCCGTCACGTGCTGTATCGACTTTGAGAATGTTATGGAAAACGGGGACAGCGATGACAATTCATCTGCCTCGTGTCTATTTGAAGGCAATTACTAGTAACTAATAAATTATTGGTGGACACATGTCAATTATTTTCGTTTAATAACTAATTCAGACCAGCCTGAATTCACCGTGGGCAAGGTGTTTCCTGGGGTGGAAGTGCAGGTTCGGGACCCCGAGACCGGAGAAATTTTGGGAGTGAGGGAGCAGGGAGAAATCTGTGCAAAAACGGAGTCAACTTTCTTGGAGTATTTTGAAAATCCAAAGGTTACAAAATTAATGGGAAGGGGTCGTTCGTAAATTATGTAACGCAAAAATTGCGATTTTTTAGACCCCCACATATGTAGGCACGATATTATTGGAGCGTTAAATCCCCCTTGCGTTACATAGCATAATTCATGAAACGGGTCTAATGTTTAATTCGAATGGGTCTCAATTATTCCAACTTGATACAGGCGACTCGAGAAGCATTTATCGATGGTTATTTCCGAACTGGTGATATTGGATACTACGATGAAAACGGGTTCATCATGGTTGTTGATAGACTGAAGGAAATTTTTAAATTCATCGGAAATCATGTTGGTCTCATGCCTACTTAATTAGTGCTGATTTCTACTGCCTGATAAACCTAAAAATTCTTTTGTAGGTTTCCCCAACGGAAATTGAGGACGTCATATCACGCCACCCCGCCGTGGCGATGGTGTCCGTCGTGGGGATGCCGGACCCTGAGGGGAGGGGACATGTGCCGAGGGCCTTCGTAGTAAAGAGGACAGGGTACGAGGACACGACGGGGGAGGAAATCCGCACCTTTGCCGACAGTGAGAATTCCTTACTTATTATTTTACTACTGGTCAGTTACTTGGTAAATTCTATGGACTCGAAACTAAACCTTGCAGATAACCTGGCCGACTACAAACGGCTGAGGGGTGGCTTGTATACGGTGGATGCCTTACCTCAAGGGAAAACAGGGAAAGTGACAAGGTCCTTGGTCCAGCAAATAGTAGTGGATCAAAATAATGAGGAGGTAGACGTGGAGACTTAATTTGCTGCTGTTGATTGATTTGATTTAATATTGAGAAAACAATCACAAAATGTCACAAATGTATATCGCACTAGTCAGTGACTAGTAGTCACCAGATCGTACACAAAAAATGTGATCAATCACTAGATCGTACATGTAATGTATGTATAAAACAAATACATATTGTCTAATATGCCTGTCAATGTTATTTGTCTTAAGCATCATTGTTGAGCATAAATTGACCTCTAATTTATATTGCAACTCTTGAGAAAAGATGCATCGTACAGTTACTTAAAATAAAATATTGTAATCATCACAGATACAACGACTCTAAGTTCAATTAGATAATTTGGCACTTGAAATTTCTTTCACCTTCTCCTGTAGTAGAGCAGGAAAGCGATGGACAGCACAAAGAAAGCAGTTCCACAACGAGCTGCACAGCTCCATATTTCCGACGAGCTTGTTGGCTTTTTGACCGTGGAGATGCGATATCCTTTGCTTTCTAGATCCCTTAGCACCCTCCGATGACTGCAAAATAATATAAAGCATAATTCACCACCTAAACAATTGCGCTGTATCATTTTCACTTACCAGCCAATGCCGCCACATGCAATTATGACTTCACCTTGTGTGATGACTTGTATTTCAAAATCTCCATACTTTACCATCAATCCTCGCAACTAGAACAATGAATCAGAAATTATAACATCAGAATACATATGCAAGTAAATAAGTGCTGTGAGTGGATATACTTACGGCAACAGGATCTACGAAAGTATGCCCAGGAATAGGGTGCACCTTTATCCAGTCTGGTCTTTTCGAAATAGGGTCAGGTTGGGAGAGATGCTGACATTGAATAATCAAAATAATTAGAGTTAATATCGTAAATAAAGTTTCGTCTGTTCAATAATTTTTGTAACTTTTTCTACTCATGTAATGATAACGAATTGCAGATATCATTCGAAATATTGACAAGTAAAGCAAACTTTTTCCTCGTTTTTCCACTAAAACTTCTGTATAATCTATTTAAAATAAAGACATGGCGTCTTACAATGTTTGGTATGATGCATCGCCCTATATTGATTTCATCCTTCCAACTGGACAAACGCTTAAAAATCTCTGTCAGAGTGGGATGAGGCAATTGTCGGTAATCTGGCCTAATTGATACCCAAATTAATTCTACATTCTAGAAAATTAATAGCAAATAAAATATACCAAAGCTTTGCAACTTACAAAATGCGGGGACGGGCTGCCAAGAATCCCAATTTCAGAAAAACAACCCCCGTTACAACAGCATCAAATCCTGTGATTCACAAGAAATCAGCAGATCAAATATACCACCCACTTAATAAGTAGTTAATCACATAAATATAAATACCCGCAGTGTGACACTTTGCCGTTTTAACTCCCGTCTCCAAGTTGGTTGTCCTCCCGAGAACGAGGGCTGTATAACATAAATTAATTTACATGATTAGAACGTTCATACATTATAACGTCTTCCCTTTTATCAAATACCCTCGTGGTAAGCGTATGTATCGTTCTCAGGGATAATTATCGGTTGCGACGTATTTTGAAGGAGGGCTGATACATTAGAATATAATGCAAAGAGGTTGGTGTCGGATAAAATGTGATCGTCTGGGTCCTGATTCCTGCGAAGAGATGCGATCCCATAGGCCGTGGCTTTGGTGTCAAACACGCTAGGAAATAGGTCGTGAACTTGTTTCTTGAATTCAAAATAGTCGGCTGCAAAATAAAATTGCGTGACATTATTGTTATTCTCATGAACATGTAGCGAGTTTTACTTCACTTACAAGGCAGTTCTTGTACAAACTGGTGATAAAGGAGCATAATATCCAACAACATGTTATGCCCGACGATTGGCTTTTTGAACTCTTGCATAAGTTTTACAACTTTTGAAAATCCTTCCAACCGGTCAATAATCTCGTTGATGTCCTTATCCGACAGAAATTCGATCCTCTTAGGAAAATAATGCTGTAAAAAAGTTATAGATTCACTGAATTGAAATAAAATCACCAATTGATTTACAAACATGCAAATCGACTCTGAAATTTTATACGTACAGGGTCGAGATCTTCGCAGGTGTGCATAAAGTGACGATTTACGTCCAAATATTTCCGAACACTTTCGAGCTTTTCCTTATTCAGATATGGGACACCTTGTTTAAAATACTATGAAAAAATTAGAAACAACGCATGTTAGCCTTTCCTGTATAATATACGAAATTTTATAATGTGTGCATGTATTTACCTTGTTGAAGTCAAAGTCATTCTTGGTCAAAAAGTTGATACAGGAAACTTGCGACGAAATTATTTCCCTTTTCGCATAAGCATCGAATGAGACGGGGAAGACGAAAAAGTTGTAAGCGTTGACCATATGCTCCTTCTCGTTCTCGACCGACCGTTCGAAAAAGGCGAGACCAATCTAATTCATAGTCAAAATAAGTTTATCTATTTATTGGGAACAATACTAATTTGCACCCTTTTAATATGGATAATTACTTGACAAATTGCAAATTTTGAGACAACTTTATCCCTCAGCTTTACATATCTTTGATCCGGAGTGTCAAATAAACTACGACAGAAATTAGTACCAGTTATTGAGAACATGTCAATTTAAAATTCTCATAGCCTGACTGTCAGGCCCTGACATGCTAATAATACCTGTTCTTATCTTTAATGTCTTCCGGGTGCAGGCCGGTATATTCGGCATCCAAACTGATGAAATTACATGTTCTCATCCGGCTCTTAATTTCTGGTAACAAATCCTCAAAGTTGGAACGGGTCACCTCCGCCATGATTAATTAAAGAGGAGTTGTCGCCAAATTATCAGAAGTTTCTGCATAAATGCAACGTTACAACCGGTAAAACGGTAAAACAACTCAAAATGTAGTAAAAACGAACAACGTATTTCAGTAATTTATGGTTTCTTGACTTGTCAATATTGGAACTTTTGATAAATTTCTGATAAATTAATCCTTTGAAATCATTACGTAACTCGTGAATCAATTAAAAAACTATTTCATACTTAATTTGTTAATTTTTGTAAATAGTAAATGTAATTTACAGGTGGTGATTTTTTATTCGATTCGAGCCCAGAATTTTGCTTTCGGCATCAAACATTCTCAACTTGACCACGGGAAGGAGATTGAGCCAAAATATTTGTGCACGTGCGACGCGCACCTCCAGCAAACAAAACCGGCTGTTTATAATAATTGTTGCCTGCTTTATAAGAATCTTAATTAATAATTAAGCTTTAACTAAGGATTCAAAATCATGTCCCAGTATACGTCTCGCTCCGAGTCCGATGTGGGAATCCGTCTTCGGCTTGGAAAACAACCCAGACTTTGTGCAGTTATCAAAGATCGGTGAGTTTTTCTTTGCTTAGAATTTAATTATACGAAGAAATAATTAATTTGACAATTTTCTGTAGGTATTCAGACTTTCATGTTAATGAAATCGACCCAGATGGAAACATTGTAAAGTTGACGTCGCTGACTGCACCGGTTGACAGTGAGTAGTTATCTATTCATGCTTGATTAATCTTTTATAAAGTTGACTTAATTCAAGATTTTAATTAATTAACTAACTAATTGTGAACAGATTCAGCAGCAGAAGCTTTGAAGGATCCCCAAATTATTACTTTAATCCCGGAAGATGTTCGTCAAAAAATTGGTGATATGCAGGAACGGCTCAACGCCGTGGTAGATAAGAGAAATATCAAGAATGATAAGGAATGTGTCGAAATTAAGGTTCAGTTGTATTCAAAATTGTATTAAATTATTTAAGAATAAGTTCTATCATCTCCGAATTCATGACAATTTTATTTCTTCCTTCTTTCGTTAGGCGACGGATCTCGAAAAGGAGAGCAGAACGCGGATACATCGTTGGATTTCTACATTTGATAAGCTCAGTTCTGAAACGGTAGACAAAGACGGGGACAAGTTTATCACAATTGTTGCAATGAAAGGTTTACTGCTTGCATTTTGCAATTCACATACTTAGGATTAGACTGAAGTTGAATTAATATTGTTTTTCTGTTTTTTTCCAGGGGGCGATCGAGGCAAACGTCGCCCAGCAAATCGGGCGAAATATACTCATTGTGTCCTCTACAAGGAAGGTGTTGAAACATCGGAGGCGATTGGATTCATTGCCAAAAAGCTAAAGTATTATAATACGTTAATTAATGTCAGCTCAGTTAACTATTGTTGTTTATTAATTATATGTGCTCTCTTTTAGTATGAACCCAGGATTCATCTCTTACGCCGGAATAAAAGATAAACGAGCCAAAACTAGTCAACGACTTTGCATTTCAAACATCGAAGCGAGTCGTCTCGTTTCAATTTGCAAATACAGGCAAAATATTAAACTCGGAAATTTCGCGTACCACCCCAAACCCATTGCTCTCGGAGATCTGAAGGGGAATCATTTCAAACTGCTCCTCAAAAACTTGAGATTTAGCGAAGGGGACGAAATTGAAAATTTAGGATTGAATGATGTCGTCACTTCCGCCATGGAGTCGCTCGCATCTGCCGGTTTCATCAACTATTACGGGATGCAACGTTTCGGTTCGTATGCGGTGTCCACACATCAAGTTGGGTTAGAGGTCCTGAAGCAAAACTGGATCAAGGTGAATACACAGACAACCAACGAATATCAATTAACAAGCTAATACTAATTGCTTTATTTCTCCTACTTTTCAGGCCTACGATTTACTCCTCTCTCCAAAACCGAACGATCCTTCATTCCTCGCCAAGGCGAAAGATTTGTGGTTAAAGGAGCGCGACCCTATTGGGGCACGTTCCATGTTGCCCTCTCGATTTGTAACTATTGAGTCCAACCTCCTTCACGGTTTGGCCCGTTCCTACGCGAGGAACGATTTTGTCGCCGTTTTTCTCAACATGCCGCGACCACAACGACTTCTATACGTCCACGCATATCAAAGCTTAATGTGGAATCGGGTCGCGTCCTTTCGAGTGGAGGAATATGGGATTGATTCGCCAGTCGTGGGGGATTTGGTTTACGTTGGGGAAGGGGAAGAAGAAATATTAGAGTTTGAAGTTAATGGTACATAATAATACCTATTTTATTTTGTTCTGGCTCTTAACGTAAGTAGATAATTCCTAATTTTTTTTACACATACAGATGCTCTCAACGATGTCAGAGAACACTCTGCGTCCGATAGCAAATCCGCCCCAAAGAAGTTGGAAGTGAAAACGTTAACCCAAGAAGACATTAACTCTGCAAAGTACACAATTTACGATGTCCTCATCCCTCTGTACGGAAGTGACGTAAAATTTCCAGAAAACAAAACTAAAGACTTTCTTACCAAAATGTTGGAAGATGAAGGAATTAGTTCAGACTGTTTCGAAAGATTTAGACCAATGTGAGTGCAATTCAATTAAAGATTTTCCATGAAATACAAATAATATCCCAATGAATAATTCTAATTTGTTTCTTCTAGTGGAGATAAACCAACCGGTGGGTACAGAAAATTGCTCGTCCGTCCCACCAACGTGTCGCACACGCTGCATACTTACTCTGACTCTGATAACCTCGACTCTTACATTAAATCAGACTGGGAAGAGCTAAACGAAGCGTCGCCATCAAATGGGGAATCTGCCAGGGCGAAGACAGACGACTCTTCGACTACCACCGATTCGTCCACTTCCAAAAAAACTTGTTTAGTCCTCGCATTTTCTCTTCCTTCTTCGTCCTATGCGACAATGGCACTGCGAGAAATTATCATGGAACAGGACAAATCATGTCATCGCAACGATGATGCCAATAAAATCTCACAAATTGAACCTTCCACAAAGCAAGAACAAGCACATAACGACGACCCCAGTGAAGCTGAACCGTCTCTAAAGAAGCCAAAGGTTGCCGAATAGTTGGGATAATTCTGATTTAATTTTGTCCAAATGTTTATTACTTGACATATTTATTTATATGCAATCAATAAAGACTAAATTAATTATCATAACATTTCAAATACTAAACAGACATTTGTTTAACCTTATGCAATACTAAATATTTACTACATAAATTTGTTGAGATCGTGCGAAAACAATGACGCCGTTCCAGCCACTCCCACCCGGTCCCCACCTCCTCCACCACCACCCTGGTGATTAAGATGAAGTGGGTGGTATGCTCCCAGCCCCGCCAGGCTGAGTGAACTTGTCGCCACCATCCTGTTCAAGTGGCTTCCCGCCGAACTTCGAAGGAGGTCTGACACGGAGAAGGGGACCAAATGTGGGAGGAGTCTCTCCATCCCCCCACCAACGGGATGACCTTGACCTTGCTGTTGTCCTGCCACCTCTTGGGGCTGCCCAATCATCAAGTGTGCAGCCAGCATTTGCGACTCTGGAAATTGCATATAAAATGACGATCAAGTAAACTCACCACAAGGTAATTATGAGTTAGGAGTTAGTTAATTTTCGCATTTTTTTGGCGAAATGTTAAACGTGAGACTAATACGAATTAAGTATTTAGGCAATCACCCAAGAGTTTTTGCTGCATCATATTCAAGGAACCGGCCGTCTCTTTGGCGAAACGGTAGTTCCACTGAAAAAGTTGTTCGAGGAAGGGGTTCATTGGTGGGGGGAGGAGAAGGGTGTGACTTCCTGGGGACGACGTGGTGCTCGTAGTTGTCGTGGGTGGGTAGGATGCCAAAGGAGATTCCTGGGTCCGATGATGACCACTCCCTAAAAATGCAAAAGCAGCCGCCGCCGCTGCAGAAGAAGGTGACGAATGTCGCGTCGTCGTCGAATTAGGTAGAAATGTTCCCATTTTAGTTTCTGTCTCCAATCCTGGCGACGTTTCCATCTTGTTCTGCTGCTGCTGTTGTTGTTGTTGCTCTTCTTCTTCGTGGGTTCGCAAATGTGCTCGCAAATTACAGGCCAAGGCAAATTTTTTGCTGCAGATATGGCAAGAATGAGGCTTATCTCCGGAGTGGAGGAGTAAATGGTTGCGTAAATTCGTCTGTTTGGAAAAACCTCTATGACAGATTGGACAGGTGTAGGGCCAACTTCCGGAGTGGACGTACTGATGTGATTTCAGGTCCCCGGGGGTCGGGAACGACTTGCCGCATAGACACTTGTGTGGCTTTTCTTTGTTGTGGGTCATCCTGTGATAGTATAAATTGCTGGAAGCTGTAAATCTCTTCCCGCAGACGGGACATTCCTGAAAATTCCCAATTTTTAAGAATTTCAAGTCAAATTTTGAATATTGTTGTATTATTACGTGAGGTTTTTCGCCCGAGTGGATGCGACGATGTGTATTTAGGGATGAACTTGTCGAAAATCCCTTTCCTATAAATTGCAAATATTTTACTCCATTAATTCAGAGGGCCGATATCCGGATATGTGTTTACGAAAAAAACACCAAAAATGTTTACGAAATATGTACGAAAAATCTTAAAAATATAAATTTTCACAAAATTTCTACTTTTGAATTAGGATTTTTTGTGGTCCAATTTCTTTGAGCAAAAAAAATGGCTCACGTCGTTAAAATATTTACAAAATATATGCATTTCGGAAATTAATGTATTTAATATTTTTTTTAAATGTGAACATTTACCACAGACAGCGCACTCCTGAAAAAATAAAGAAATCCAAAAATTAATCAACTTTCTCACTCCTTAAATGTTACATTATTAGATAATTTATCATAATTTACATGAGGTTTTTCGCCCGTGTGGGTACGCATGTGCCGCTTGAGGAGGGACGGCCGGTCAAACGCCTTGCCACAAACTTCACACGGAAGCAGGGAGCGTTCTCGTCCACGTGTCCGAAGGATTGGGAGACGTCCAGTCGAGGCTGGCGGAGCTGCGAGGACGGACGAGATGGAGAATGGGAGGAGATTCGTCGCCGTCGTCGTCGCCACCACCACCCTTTTCGCCGGGGGAGATGGAGAAGATAACTTCTTATCGTGCATTTGGTGAATGTGATGATGATGGCGATGATAGCGGTGCTGGACGTGCTTATCGCCGGCATCAGTCTTCTTGTACAGTTGTGCTGGCGCTGATAAGTCGAGGGGGTGCAGATTACTGGTATCTTTACTGGCGACGAGACCGCGAAGTTCAGTGAGCGAAGAGATGTCAAAGGTGCACAGCAACTTGACCCCTGGACCGACATCCTTCGTCAGAGTGAAGTCAACCTGGCCCGAGGCGAAAGTCCCGATAATATTTGGACACGAAGAAGCAGAATCCTCGTCGCCATCGGCGTCATCATTGGCGTCATTACTGGCGTCGTGTCGAGTGGAGAGAAATCGGACCCAATTGCAGACACGGAATCGTTCCCCTCCTTCCACAATGAGGCGATCGACACAGCCAAACACGAGACGAATCTGGATAGTGGAGTAATTTTTGAGAAATTGAGACATTTTTCATGCCATGGAAGTAGATGGGATTTTATTATATATAATTTTATTGAACTGTGTGTATGCATTACATTAATTATGACACACACGTGAAGAGTGAGTTATGGCGAAAGTCATGCTATGTTATGCGGCGTTACTTTTGTGTGTGTGTGGTATCTTCCCGTCCCAGGAACCCATAGTTTATCTGCCGTCTTGTCATGATAACGTGTCATGTCATCAATTGCCATCTTAGCAGGCGGAAGAAAATTATCTTCCTATACATATTATGCAAAAGGGTGAAACCCTATTAAACGAAGACTTTGTCTGTTTGTCTGTCTGTTCGTCAGTTGGATAACGCGACGGTTTATTCTGCATTACTCTCGTCGTCGTCGCTATCGTGCTTCTTGTGTGCTCAATTTGACGATTCAATCCATTACTGGCTGACCCCACACCTTTTGCAGGCCATCCATCAAGGAAAAATCTCTTCATTCACGTACATGTGCACATGCAAGGTTTACCCCTCCTTTCGCTTTCTCTTAGACAAGAGAACTACACCATTATGCAAATTGGATTGATTTCTCTATCATCCGAGTTTTCAAGAAAGACGAGAGTAAATTTGTAGTGAAAGTTGGTTGGTGCTGATTTTTTGGGGTTACATACTCCAATTCATTTCTGGTCACGCGAGTATCAAATATGCATCTCGATAATCTCGGGATATACAGTGTTTTGGTGCAAGGAACCACTTGCAAGAAATAACGGGGAAAAAGTGGTTTCGTGCAGCTTTTTTGACCTGCAAGAAATGTAAGGCGCAAGAAACTTTCAAGGCGCGTGGTTGGATAGCGCATATTTCTTACACTTTCTCCTAGTTTCTTGAACCTCACGTTTCTTGCTTTACAGTGCAAGAAATGCAGCAAACCCACAAGAAATGAAACACTGGATATGCATACAAAATAGTTCAACAGACTATGCTAACATTTTTAGGGAGAAATTACTCACATCATGTCCACGGAGTGGGGGCAGCTGTTCCTCTCCAAGGTCTGGAATGAGTTGTATTCCACCCTCGTTCGCGTGGAAAATCGTCCCCTTGGGGAGAAAGTGTTTCGCCACGATGACACAACCCCTCCTGGCCAAAGGTCGTTCTCCTGGCGGTGGTGGGGATGGAGATGAAGACGTCGTTTCATAATCATCCACATCCCGCACAATTCTCGCCCTGTTGGTTTTCTTGGTCTTTTTGCGACATTTTTTCCTGCACGCTCCTTCCTCATCCTCTTCGTCGTCTACTTCGCCCTCGTCCGTCGTGGTTACGGCGACTTCCGTCTCAGCTTCGTCACCCTCGTCAACGTCAATCGTCTCCGTTTTGATGGCGGATGTCAACTTTTTGTTGCGTGAGGGGGGAGAAGATGAGGAAGAAACCTCGTCGACATGCTGGCTGCTGACGACGGCGTCCAGTTCCATTTTCTCGCCCCTTTTTGGACATGGATCTTTTGAAAGGGCTGGTTTTCTGGGGAGCACGACCACCGCGAGGGACGACGGGATTAAGACACGAGTCTCCATAATTATGTAGTTAATTATAATACGGTTAGTTGGAGAAAGTTTGGACTAAACGAATCTCAACTTGCCCCCAAGTTACGATTTCCCTTGCTTTATCACACTGTAATTGTTACGCACGCGTGGAGTCAATCAAATTTTACTAATTATTTGTATTACCAATTCAACATTAATAATTGCTACGAATTTCTAGTGCTGTCTCAACTTGCCTCCATTCTAAAATGAGCACTTTCTCCACACTTTCACCTCTAAATATATATTCACAACTTCTTCTACTCGCCCAATCCAGTCAAAAATCGGTCCAAAGTCTCAACTTTCTCCAATATTTCTCACATTATGCTTCATTCCTTCTTAACTTTCTTCTTGTGAGTCGTTATCAGTCCGTGGCTGCCCCCACACTGCACTCCCAGCATACTCGACACCATCACCAGTACCAATTCCGACCCCATAAACTAAAGATGAGCATGATGATCGTGTCGTCGTGGTTTTGCTTGATGCTAAATCCGTCCCAGGCAATAAAGCGCAGGTATGCGAGTAAAGGTGTGTGCTCGATCAGAACTCACAGTAAGGCAAGCAAGGAGGTGGTAAAACACGGGAATTATGGGCAGTGGCTTATGCCTCACTCCTCCCTCGGCTCAGTCACCCTTACCCATAAATTTCCTCTTCGAAATCATCTCCTCAAATTCATCTTTTTCATTTCATCCTAATCCGTTCATGTCAAATTTCCGTACGAATTGTTCCCCAAATTTTGACAAGATACGGTACAGAGGTGGGCAAAATACTTTGTCAAAATCCCGTACTGTGAGCACCATGCAGGGTTTGGATTTCCAGAGCCGTTACACCCACAGAAAGACCAGAATCTATATAGATACGTGGAGAAGACAGCAGTCGTATGAAAATACAGGTTTTGTGAGGAAATTAACTTTTTGTCCTTGTCAAACTATGTACATTGTTTTCACAATTTTTTAAAATAATTTATTTTGGCAGCGATAAAAAGGTAATTTCTTCAGAAAACCTGTATTTTCGTGTTGCCAGTGATTCATTTCTTGCGGGTTTGCTATATTTCTTGCAGTGCAAAGGAAGAAAGGCAAGAAATGGGAGGTGCAAGAAACTGGGAGAAAGTGCCAGAGAAAGAAATATGCGTTATCTCGCCACGAGCCGTATGAAGTATAGCGGCGGAGCGTAGTTTCTTGCACCTTGCATTTCTTGCAGGCCAAAATAGCTGCCAAAAACCACTTTCTTTCAATTATTTCTTGCAAGTGGTCACCTAAAACACTGCGTGTGACTTGTATTTTTCACGATTTTTCACTTATTTATCTATAATCTCATCTTTTTGTGGGTGCAACAACCCTGTACTTTCCAAAGTATTTTGCCCACCACTGGTCACCGTAACCCGTCTGGTACGTGAGGGTGGAGCTATGTGGGGTGTGTTATGACTTGGTGGGCTTGGTTTTGTGGTTAATGATGAATACTGCTTCTGCTGGTAACATATTAGCCAATCCGACCACAAAAAGGGTGGTTGTCGAGAGAGAGAGGAGACAATGCATGTGTCACAACAATGGGTCTGAATATGAAAGGAGTGCGAGAGAAATGTCACGGCGGGGGGGGGAGTGAGCGAAGGAATCATGCCAAGCAGTTCTGTCACCACAATGGATGGATTCACAATCATCAAATTTTAATGGCTGGGAAGAGAAGAATTATTCTTATTACTGTAAAGGATCCATCTTGGATTGCGAGAGCGATGACGACGGCGACGACGACGACACGCTGTTCCTTGGTTTGGTTAGCATGATAATTTCGTGTAATTCGAAGAAATAAAAATAAATCTAAAGAAAATGAATATGCATTTTATTTCATGTTTTAAATATCTATGTACAAGATCATGTCACAATGGCAGAAAAAGTTAAGCGAACTCATCAGCAAATTATGTACATATGTATGCATTTTACGCTCTTTTTATCATGTAATAAAGCGATTTGAACCACTCAATCTCGTGTAAACACATTTTCTTGTATTGTGAATTTCTTGTGTAACTTGACCAAAATTAGGGATATGTATCTACAAACATATGTAATGTAGTGGTTTAGACTGCTAATGATAATTCGATAAAATTGTCATTGAGAATGTGTGTAATGGGGAGGCGGGCGGAGGAGATGAGATGGCAGCAATAAAATAACAATAAATTCTCATTTATCACTGTCACCACTCATTTACCTGCACAGAAAGAAACTCACTCGCATTATTGCTAAATTGTAATATGGCTGAAAAGAAGAAGGTTCAAGTACTTACTTTACTTTACTACTACCACTCAATCGAGGTTCAAAGTGGGGGCAGAAATTTTTAAAAGGCTATTTGTCAAAGGTGACATGATGTGCATTAAGTAAAATGTTTGTAGGTTCAGAGCTCTTACATATACAGCTCAATGGGATTGTGTAACAGGACAAAGTGATCCTTTTAGCTCAATAATTTGCCCAATAATCATAACTAACTAATTTGAAAATTCGAAACTTGTTTGGTCACTTTTTCTGATCGGGGTTGGGCTCGGCTTGAAATCATGGATGGACACATTTAATCGGCATAATTACTTTCGTCCTTGCCTTGTTTCAGCCTCGTTTTCACCTTTCACCCCGCTTTCTCTCTGATTTGCTCTGCTTTCCGGAGGTAATTAGCAGCCCAGGCAATCCGAAAACTCTGCCGTCCATTATCCTAATTGCATGATTAGCAATATTGGTGTAATGTGATGACAAAGGTCGTACCAGCACTTTGCGTACTTTACATAGATACATACTTCTCTAGGTGAATCTGGCTTCCTAAAACGTTGGCCAATGATGATGCCCTTTCACCCACCCCGTTACCTTGCTTGCTTAATTTTATTGGGTAGGTAAACCAATCAACAAATCAATCAATTATAATCAGTGAAATTTCAGTGAAAATGTGCTCGTTAAAATGCGTTCATCCCGTGAAGATGAGACGGCAAGGTTCCATTATTTACTAAAAATTCCTCTCTCTGAAACAATGGACAAGTTGCGTAAACGAATTTCGTCAAAAGCGCAAGTATGTATTTTCTTGTATGTAATTCTTCAAAAATGGCAAAAAAGCGCCACCGTTCAATATCCGTGTCCAACTCGTTGATAGATACCTTGTTAATCGGACGATTTTTCACACTCATCCTATGGACCCCAAAAAACACAGGAATTAAATGCGTACTGCCACCACGTCGTCGTCATCCTCTTCTTCTTCCTTCCTCGCATTTCGTCACAATTACAGCGTTTCGTCACTTCTTATACAACTTTTTTTACTCGAATTACTTATGCATAAAGTTCTGGGGATAAATGATGTACTTATCTACGAGTAATGCGATAGACGAAAAAAGTGGAGTGACGATACCACCAATGAATATCCACTAAGTTTTGAGAAGACGTACCACCAATAATTAATTATTTTCTGCATTTCACACCTGAAAGGGGAAAAAAAGTTATGCAGCAGTTCCTACAAAAAGTGGGATGCTTTCACGTCCGCGTGGATATTGGATTCATTCCGCCCGTCATTACACACGTTTACGCTAACAAGACTGAAAATAAAATGGGATTTGTCACTAGTCCTGAAATGTGGTCACTTTTCTGGTGAAATTGGACAACAAAATCGCCCCTCTCTGAGACGACGATTTATGTATCATACAACCCACCATCAACCATGCGACTTGCTGAATCACTTTATTCCCTGTCATCACTTATCTGTATCATAAAAAAAATTTACGCTGGGATACCAAGTAGTAATAAGTATAACACGATAATTCATACACTAATCATTAAAGTCTCCCAGCGTATGTTTCCTGATTGTGACCAAATTAGTATCAGTTGATCACAAATATGAAATTTGTAATTTCTCTCAGGTGGAGAAATTTGCATCCAAAGAAGAGAAAAAGTGCTGTAAATTTGGAAAGTTTGTCGACTTTAGGGCGCGTTTTCTTCTTTTTGGATGCAAATATCTCCACCTAACATGCCCATTGGGATGTTGTGTCTTTCACAAATTTTAAATTTTCACACTAATTTTCTCAAAACCGGAGATATGCTGGGAGATCTCAATTGTGAGTACAAATAAAATCTCCATTCAGTTTCTGTAATTCATTCCCAATTTATTTTTTTCTTTTTAAACTTTCACCACAATATTTGACCCAAGACGAAATAAAAAAGCAGGTTTGAATTTCATCTCCAATTTCTCACATGTCATTCCCAACTACTGTTTCCCGTGATATCATCTTTATCCGCCGCGTCGTCGGCTCATCTTGTGTGGTATCCAAAAAGACAAGAAGGGGGTCCTCCCTCCACTACCGCGACTGAAATACAATTTAATCTCCCATTCTCCTCCCATCACACAAGAAGAAGAAGAAGAAGTCGTAGATTTATTATTATTATGCAATTCTCAGCGTGAAGATGATCTCGACAAAATCTTGAAATCGCATCTCCCGTATTGTATAGAGATGCAGCCCTACATATTTTCTGCAGGTGGGGTTTGCCTCGTCGTAGTATTGTAAAATAGTTGGCAAAAAAATGTGGCACGGAGGAATAATTCATATCCTAATTTTTTACATTACACGGGTGGTGATGGTGGTCGTCGTAGCGTGGCTAATTTTTCAGCAGTGGTGGTGCTACACCAATTTAGAATGCAGCGTTTGTTGGGGCAATTGTAAAATATTGGAGCAATTGTTACATTACATTGCATTGTTGTATAATAAAAAGTATTGGCTGGTTGATTGAACACGGCCATGTGAACAATGGGGTAAAACACACAGGGAAAAGTATTGTCTTTTCGTTCTGGACTGGATATTGGGTCCAATGCAACATTGTAAAAGTTAATTGATGAAGAATGACCCAGCACAAATGTGTATGTACGCCTCTCTTCTTCTAAATAACTGATCAGCCAAAGTGGATCTCGATCCCTCACGTCGATCCTTCCTCATTTTTTTAAAACGTCCACACAGTAACTAATTGTAATTATGGTGGGATGTTCAGTGTGTATGTACGTCTGTCTGTACGAGAAGGACGACTGGACCTGGACATATTTATTTATAGTTCAAAAATCCTGGGAACTATGTTTCCAGTATTTGAATAATATTTATGTTTCTGGACACACCTTGAGCAAATTTGCTGCTCTATTTACATAATTAGACAAGAATTTTTGGCTCAAATTTTACACCATCTTAATTAAACTTTGACTTTTAATAATTTCTGAAGGGGTAGAGCTACCGAGTTGATTTTAATTTCGAATTCTACTTTTTGGTTTGATTTTTGCGTACAAAATCTCAAGGGACATGTTTCGTAAAGCGATGAGATACATGTTATCTGTAATATGCGAATCCAATTCATTGCACCTCTATTGATCACCAATTCATCCATTTCTACTGGAATTTCATCCATTTTTTACCCCCAGAAAAACACGCATTCCTACAAAGCAACTGGCCCAATTTTTCTCGATCCTTCCCCATCCACT